GTATTACTCATTAAATGTTGACTATCACGATGCAAAAGTGTTGAAACTCTGCTTAAAAGAATGTTTCACTAAACAAATCTACAAAAACATAATAAAACCCAAAAGAGTATCTCAAAAAGTAGTTTTTTTTTCTTTCTTAAGGTTTGGAGAGAAAAAGCGGTGAAACGACGTGATTATGCAAATCACTTCACTTAATCAGTCAGAGAAGTGTGAAAAACAAATTATTAAATTAATATTACGATGGCTAATTTATGGAAATTTTTCTTTTTTATTTCTGTTCGTTGTTCTTGATTTTAAATTTTTATCTGTTTTCATTCACTCTTTATTGCTCGTCGATTTCCAGTTCCCAATACTTGAATATTTCATCTTCTTTGCTTTAATTCCTTTTAATCTTCCTATGAATTTTTGGTTAACGTGAAAATGTTTTTGATAGCCTAAGCTTAAGCTTAAGGTGTTTTTGGGTAAACAAAAAATTAATCATTGAACATTCTACTTGAAGCATTCAAGATAAAGTATACAAGCCTGAATTTAACATTTAACATGATGTTATAACAAGTTTTTGAATATCATTTTCATTTTGCTGGAATTTCGTAATTATTTTGATGCGGTTAATTATCAAATGCAATTATTTTTTCGCAATTTAAAAAGGTATGGTGGGGTGCATATGCACATAAATATAACATAAACGAGTTTAATGTGTTTTTGAATCTTGATTCTCTAAAGGGAACATGAAAAAGCCTATAATACAGTGACACACGCGCGAGTCTCATTCCATCATTACTTCAAATCTTTTGTTTTTCTCTCGCTTTTTTCTTTTTTTCCATTGATTTCACCCCAGAATTTTTTATGCTGAGGGTAACATTTTTTCTTTGCCTTTCACGGGGCGCAGTTTCCCTCTCATCAGCATCACAAATACATTTATACATTGAATGAAACATAAAAAATAATATTTCGTAATTAGTATTGCTATGTTCGCATTTTTTTTTTCATTTCACAATTTCACATTAAATGAGGGACATTAGAGGAGATGAGAAATAGAAAAGAAACATTAACAGGGTAAGGAAGATAAAAAAGGGAATGAGAAATGACGATGATGAATAAAAAAAATTGGCAAAATGTTTCAAATCCAGAGCTGTATTGGGAAAAAAAGTCTCAATATTAATTTTCAAAACTTTTGCCTTGATCCCCTATTGTGCAACACATAAAAACTTAATTTCTTTCTTCTCGTATGTGTACCCAGTCACTTTTTTCTTCTTTTCATCGCCCCCTTGAGCAAAAAAAATCGTCAGCGCTTCTTGTCTCTCGCTCTAGCTTGTCTCATATATTATGATTTTTTTCAAACACGGCACCCCCGAGAAAAAAAACTTATGGGTAAATGAAAATCTGAGGGTAGCGAAAAATGAAAAAAAAAGAGACGAGGAAATTTCGTGTTTAAAATGAAGAAGGAAAAGATGCGAGTAAAAATCATGCACACGACTTTGAACATACAACTGATGGTGCTTCACGTCGAAGTGAAATTTTATGTATTTCTAGAATTATTTTCTTCGCTCAATAAGCCGAGATGTGAGGTGTGGGTGGAAAAAAAATCAGTGTTTATGCTGAAACATTATCACTGCATGTGTGAGTGCTAAATTTGAATTTGTACTTGACTTGAAATTGGAAATATTCTTCTTCTGTAGCCTATTTTTAAAAAAAAATCTAATTTGCTGATGTTGGAAATTCTTCTCTCTCTTGTATCGTAAGAAATTTTCTTACTCATTATTGCTGATTTTGTTTTTGTAATTTCTTTTTTCTATATTTTTCATTATAAATTAATGCTTGATTTTTGAGATATTTTAAGGCAGCACAAAAAAATAATGAACGATTTTTTCTGAATGGGTGCGGCCAGATGCAATTATCTATAAGAAAATTTCATTGTTATTGTTTTGGATGTCATGCTGAGCTTTCAATATTTTAATTTCAAATACTTCAGAAGAATGAAAAAGTTGGATTTAGAAGATAACGAAAAGTCCTTCTAAAAGATATCTAATTATGCTTTTAAAAAATGAATTTTTCTATTGACGATAAGGGAAACCAAAAGGAAAATTCCGTGTTTTAAAAATTAATTTATTTTCCACTCATACATTTACAAGAAGTATTGAGAAATCATTCAATAAGTTTCGATGTGTGTTTTTCCTCCTTTCTATAATTTATAAGCGTCTAATATCCCGAAATATTGATTTTCCCTTTTTCCATACTATATTTATCCTTAAAAAATGTAATATAATTTATCTCCTTCTCGTTCTCTTTCACCCATGTCTTACATTACATTTTTTATGAGTTGAGGGGTTTAAGAAGCACTACCATGAAAAGGAAAAAATATAATATATATTTTTAATTTTTCATACACATTTTCATATTTGCTTCACCACCAAAAACCCCCCCTCGGAAAATATAAAAATAAATGAAAAGGAGAAGGGAAATTCAACTGGGGATTTGCAAAAAAAAGAACCAAAAAAAAATTAGGGAGCGAAAAATTATTGCAAAAATATAAGCACATGTACATGTAGATACTTCTATTTATATATTTATTACATACACATTTGACTGTGTATGAGGAAAGTGAAGAACTGGAAGTCAATTTTCTTTAAAAAGAAAGGAAAAACTTTCTCAGCCTCACCGTTCCCGCTCTACTCTAAAATTTTCTTCATAGATTTTTCATCAATTTTTTCTCATTTTCCTTTACATAATTCTAAGATTCCTTATTATATTTTCTCTATTCACCATAGAGGAAACTGCTCTGTTCCACAGTTCAAGACGTGTGTGGGTGGATGGAAACGGAGTTTTGCCTTTCATGTACAATAAGCATAAAAAATCCCATTTAATGATTTTTTTCTCTATCGCTCTTCATATGTGTTTTACTTTTTTTTTCTTCGTGGAAATGCTGGAAAATAAATTGTTAAAAAAATGGTAATGTGAATTTATATATCTACATATAGAAGTTCACATTATGTGAGATGATGATGAGGATACAGAAAGAAAAAGAAATGGAATGGGGAAATGTGGACTTAGAATGATCATAGAGTTTCATAAACGTATAACGCATCAGTAAAGAAATATTTAAAAGAACAGAACGGTACAGGTTTTGAGATGAAGGATATGAAAGCTATTACAGAAATGCTTTAAAATCCTTCTATTAAAATACAGGTGTTATCGATTCTCGTTATGATATTTGTAGCATTTTTCAATTTCCATCCGACTCGAGAAAAAAAGCTTATTTTGTGAAAGCAAAGCAGTAAGTACCGAAATGAAGCAAAACGTTGATGTCAATGGTTTTCTTTTTATATGAACTTTTAACGTAAAAAATAACAACTGAGTTAATGGAGCCGCTATGGTGCCTCTCATCGTCAAAAAAAGAAAGAAAAAACAAAAATCTTCAGAAGCGTACACACAAACTTATATCAACATATCGTTTATCATTTTTTCCTTTTCTTTTTGCCTTCTTAATTTTTTCCCTTATTCTACGGGAGAATGAGTTGTTCGCATTTGTGTATGCTTCGCTTTCTTTCTTATTTTTTTTTCTTTTGGGGTGAAAAAAAAATAAATGTGGGTGTCATATGTGTGTATATATTTTTTATATTTTCAAAGTTCTCCTGGTTTTTCTAGGGTGAGATTTTCATCCTCTTCGTATGTATAATGTGAGGTACTTTATTACTAACTCACACTCTTAATCTTCCTAAACAAAGAGAAAGAAAAAAACCATTAAGATATGGATAAAAAATACACATGCGGAAAAGGAATATAATAAAAGAATAAGACAAAAGGGGGAAATGTTTCTAATGCACCTCATTCCACGTCATCGGTTTTATCATCTGACCTGTTCAGATGTGATGTATACTTTCTTCTAATGTAAAATCACCCTCCATATACTATATGTGCTGTTATCTAAAAAAATGTGAAGTAGATGTACGTATTATAATGGCTGTTGTTTCCTCACACTCTCACCATTCGAAAATTTCTCTGCTTTGCGAATAAGAAAAAGCTTTAAAGCCTCCACTCGCACAAATATAAACATAATTTTCCTTCTCACTTCGACTTTGCCTTTCAAATTTTTCCAATCAATCGCAACTCGCCCCCTTTTCTTCTTTTTTCCAGTCACCCACGCTATACATTTTGAAACCTTTTCTTTTTTTACTTTTTTCCATTTTAGATCTCATCCTCTTTTCCACGCTACACCCCCCCATCTAATCTACACACATTTTCTTTTTTCTTTCTTTTCTTTCATTTTATTAGATATGTTTTTGCGCATACATTTCCTTCATACATAAACGTGTCAAATACAGCAACAACAACGGCAACACTTATCATTATTTTTTACAACGAATGTGAATTTCCTTCTTCTCAAATTTTTTTTTTCATCTTTCCTTATTTAAAAAGATATTTCATACCAGGGGTTGACATTGTATTGAATGCTTATCGAACCCTTTTTTTACCAATTCATTTCTTTTCTGGTATAGATGAGAGAATGAGCAGAATATTTTATCAAACAATAAAAGTTTAATTCATTAAGTTTTTTTGAGTTTGTATCGTTTGTGATTTGTTCGCCAAACAGCTAAAAATATCGAAAATGTTCCTTTTTGTTTAAATATTAATATAGAAAAGGAAAGCACAATCATAAATTATGTTTATGTTGCACATTTACAACTCAAAAAAGAAATTTTTTAAGGGGTGCAATGAAAAAATAGTTCGATTACTTTTAATCACCCCATTTCTTTTTCTTTTTTTGTTTTTTACGCTGCTTTCAATAATTACTAATCAATACAGTATTTTTTATAATATATTTCGCTTAGGGGACTGCAGAAGTTTTCTCAGTTATGAGTGAACAGTGATGTTTGTGTGGAGGGTTCAATCTGGTTTACTTTTAAAATTGAGAAAAAAAGAAATAAAAAGTTCTTTTATTTCTATCAGTTTTGGTTCGATGAATGAAATTTTGTCATAGAGATATATGCGTCATTTTAATCCTGTTATTTTGCGATGGCAAAACCGTCAAAATTTTCCCTCCCGTTTGGTAACTGATAATTGAAAAAACTGCGTTCGATAGCTTTCCGATAGTCGCACATGTTGAGGATTCACTAATGTTTTCCCTTCTTTTTTGATTTAATTTCCATTTGTTTCCATTTAAAAAATGTCTCGAATTACTCCTTTTAATCTTTATAAAATTAGAAAAAGAAAAAGAATTCTATGATGTTAGACGAGAATGCAAAAGGGTCGATTTTCTGATTGATTAAAAATCGAAATTGGATCGAAATCGAAAAAAGGAATTTAATTAATTGAAAATTTTTCAAAAGGAAACCAATAATATAAGAAAAGTGCAAAGCATCCGCCCACACAGATACATCCATTAGTAAAAGAAACCTTTGAATAAATAATGTGTCTGGTTTTTCTCTTTGCTATTTTCTTTGAATCAGTGATTTTAATTCTCTTAAAATCCTTTCGTCTCCTCGAATCTTGAAGTATTATACGAAATTTCCACTTAGATATGAGAAACTCATGTTAGTATCGACACATTCCAGAAAACTATCGCATAGTATCGATGAAAAGAATTTCTTTTGATCCTATTTCTACGTCACATATGCTTTTATGTGAATATGAATACAAATTCAACAAAGAGCTAAGTATGACTCAAGTATCTGTGCCTACACTTACATATATTAAAATATATATGCTTCCCAAAACCTAATAAGTAGCGTTAGTTGTTGAAAAAAACACTTTTAAGCGAAGCGAAAGGACTTTTAAAATTTAAAATGCTCTGCTGAAATGTACAAATTACTGTCATTTCAATAGCAAATAAAACAATTCATTTAATCGCTTTTCCTATGTTTTTTTAAATGAAAATTGCACCAGAAAGTATTTTCCATTAAATGATGGAAACGGTTAAGTTTAGAATTTAACCTCGATTTTAATTGAAGGTTTCATGATGGTAGAACACTGCGACTACCACTAATAACTTAGACATTTATGGGTTAAAACTTTAATGTAAGTGCATTGTTATTAAAACAACAGCATGAAAAAGAATTATTGTTTCATAATTTCATCGGTGAAGTTTTTAAATACATGTTTGGATCAAAGAGAATTTTTTCAAAACTTATTCCTTTTGCTTTCATTATTTTTCATATTTTGTCATTAATGTATTTTATTCCTATCACTATCTTGTAACTCAAACAATGCACAATAAAAAGAGGCAACGTCTTTTTAAAAGAAACAACGTCAGAAAGTACATATAAATGATTCATGTTCAATATTGAAGCTCAATCAATAATCAATAATTTATAACTTCTAGGATCATAACTTCGTCGTGATTTTTTCGGTATTAGAATCCTTTTTGTTTATTGTCATGAGATCCTGGCATAATTCTTTTATATTAAAAAAGCTTTGATGGGACTGATTGATATTTTTCCAGTTTTATCTTCATAATTTAATATGATTTATGTTGATACTGATTGTATTAGCTTTGAAATCTTTTTTGAGAATTTCCTTCAAGATCACCAATTAGTAAACACAAATGCTTAATGAAAAAAATATCTACATAATTCATAATAGATAGGAAACTTAAACTGATTGGAATTTTCAATTTGTTTAAATTCTAGCAGTCAAACAATGACCAGAACTTCCGTTTATGGTGTAGTATTTAAAACTTATAAATAGAAAATAATTTCAACTGTTTTACTTGAATGAATATATTTGCAAACCTCAAGGGGACTTCTCTGAGTTCTTCTATTTAAATAAAGTCCTTCATTTTGTGTGTAGTAAGTAAACTTCTTCATCTCGTTATGTTTTTAATATATTATTAACAAAATTCTAGAAAGCTTTATGAAGACATAAAGAAAGAGCATTTGTATGAAAAAAATGTTACTAAAGTGGGTGCGTGCATCAAATTCTGTTTAATGTTGCTTAAGATATTTTATCAAAGAATAATGAAAAGAGAATCTTCCTTAAACTAGAATCTGATTATTTTTTCCTTTGTTCAACATATTCCCATTGCTAAAGAAAACTTTCTAAATGTTACAGAAATCGTATATTAATTCAAGGATTTTAACGCATACTTTCAAACCATTCTCTCTCCATAAAAGAAAACTCGCAATAATTATCAGTCACTTTAGATTATACGCTTTTACAGAGATTTCTCTGTAGAAATTCGGATAATGTAAAGTACAAAAAATTCTCACCAAGAATCTCACCTAGAAATCAAATGAACAAATGATTAATAGCAACAGAAGAATAAGAAATCAATTAAATTCCCTATATGTACTTAAATAAAAGCTTCTTAGATATGTGTTTTTTAAAAGATAATAAAATTTCCATATCGATTCCCAAGAATCTCATATATTTTTATTTACATACACACATATTCAATACTCTCAATTATAATGCCCTTTGTATGTTCTGAAGTCTTGTGTATTTGGTAGGGTGACCAGATAAAAAAGAGGATTTGTTGATACAATTATTGCTATCATTCTTTTGTTCCTTCATGAATCGCTTGAACAACAGACGATAGAAATTTATTGTTGATCAGAATTGTGATTCTTTTTTTAAATAACTTATTTTGAAGGAGATATTCTTGATGTTTAAATCAAAATTGCAATGCTTATAAATCTCAGTAAATCTACAAGCTTGCATTTAAATTCTACATGACTGTAGATGATGATGAGGCGAAACGGGACCAAAGTGTTTCAGTCGCTATTGGACTGTTATTACGGCTTACTCCTGGTCATTCTCCATATGTATGACACTCATTTTAATTAACTTAAATTTTGTTCTGCAAAATTATGAAGTTTAGAAAGCAATAATGTTCAACTCCCAATCTTATTTTTCACACCATCTAGACAGCCTAGTAGATATTTGAATTTTTTGCGCGCACTGTTTATGCATAATGAAAGGTGAAGTTGCTGGAAAGAAGAGAAAAGAACACAATTATTGTTTCTTGTGGCAATTTATGGCAGTCTTTTTCTTATTTTGTTTTTGTTACAGACCAATCTGTGGTTTTCTGATGAACGAATTTCTTTTAGCTTCGTCTTTTGTTTCCTTGATTGATTTTCGCAATAATTTTTCGCTCTTTTGCATAAATATATATATGTAGATACGTTAGTCTGAGATTGAATAAAAACTAATGAAATTTTGTGAAGATATAACTATGAAAAATGGATTTAAGTGAAGATCAAACAATCGGAAGACTGGTAACGGTAAAATCCTTTATGATTCTCATTATTTATTTATGATTATTATAAATATCTGGAATAATGAATGAGTTTTTATCCTGATTATGCTCCTCAAATTATTTCCTTGTATATTCAGTCAGAAAAGTTATTCAGTTTGACTCGTATTATAATCCTGTTCAGCAATCGAGTCTTCAATTTAAATATATTTTCATCTATCAGCCAAATTTCTGTTAAAGTTATAATAATAAATAAAACTTGATGATGAAAGAACATTTTGAGTATTTTAATTTGATAAAATAAATTTGAAGAATATTCACACACTTAAAGGAGGTTTTTATCCAAAGTTGAATAACTTTCATTAGAAATTGAAGATTTACTCTTACATAGAAAAGGGTTACCCAGCTATACAAATATTTATGTTTATGTACATATCTAATCGCTTTGATTAAAAAGATGAAGAAATATTTTTTTCGACTTTTATACTGATATGAAAAAATGCACGTTCAGCTCATAAGAAATCATTATTCTACGAAGTGAATATTAAAGATGCTAAATATTTCTTTTTGCTACAGAAAAATCTTACACAATAGAGCTATTGTTTATAAAATTTTGGTCTTTCTCTGTGCATTTAAAAAATGTTATTTAACAAGGCGCGATATTTAAGGCAAAAGGTAAAGCGAATTTGGTTTTTGCACAAAGATATATTTTTGAAAAGAGATGAAAGGAAGAACTAAGATTAAAGACAAGGATAGTGTCTGGTCATAATTAATTTAATGACTGTAATATTTACCGCGAGCAAAGCTCTAAACAGGCAAATAAATGAATTGCCTTGATTATGGAAATACGCTCCAAAGGTCATAAAACATTTCTTTTCAAGATATTTTTCTACACTGGTTGGTGATCCCTCGACGATGACCCAAAGTAAAGTCAATGGCTTTACTTCGCGCTTGCCTTTCATTCTACAATATTGTGCATAATGAAAAAAGATTAAAATTTATGCATATTAATAAAGCTGGCTTTTTTTTCTCGTCCAGACGTTTTCATTTCTTTTCTTCTTCAAGAGACGAATTGTATAAAGAAGAATCAAGGAATAAGAAAATAAAAAGACAAACTCATATGCATAACTCAGAGCGTGAGTTGAAAGTGTTACAATTATGAAATAACTTGCTCGTTACTGATGATCGGCTGAACAGAAAATTGTTCATCCAATGTAGTTACACATAGAGAAATCTTATTTCATTTTCATTAAACAAAACTCAAAACATGATTTAAAGCCCAAAAAAAAAACCAACGAAATATCTCATCCGTCTCTGACTTGTCAATCTGCACCTGGAGAATCTTAAGAAGAAACAATTTCAATAAGCCTCAGAATATGAAGAAACATAAAAATAAATAATTAATGATAGTTTTGTTGTATTTGTAATCCATATATTTTTCTCTCTCTTCGTCCATCCAGCATCACCTCAACTCTGTTTCTTTTTTATTCATTATACTTATTCGGAAAAAAAATCAAATAACTTTTTTTTCCGTTTTACACTCGATACAGCCTCGGAATTGGGATTATTTTTGATTTCTTCTTCCTTGAACAATTGTTTACGAAAACATCGTTTGACTTCTTTTAGTACCTTTTCTTGACTTTCCCAAGTCTCACTTTTTGTTCCACAACCTGAAGCATTCGATATACCAAAACAAAATCTGAAATGAAAGCATTCATTCCTCGAAACTAATACAAGGAACAGAAATTATGAAAACAACGCACAATATAAAGTTAAAGAACTGAACGAAGGAATAAAGAATTTTTCTTAGGAATCAATTCTAACATTGTTATTTATTTTTTAATATAATTTCGTGATCTCTTCTTAGTCCAGAAATGAATTAAAATTTATTACTTACCTAAGTAAACAAAAAGAAAAAAATTCAAAACTAAGGAATAGAGAGAAAGATATAATAGATATAAATCTATTTAGACGATCATAACCCAAATAAATTAAGTTTCAATAAGTCGCAGACACAACGCTTCTCTTTATTAGCTTCGTTTCTTTCCACTAAATCCATTCCTGCTTTATTTTCATTGTTCTCGTTTCTTTTCATTAACTTTTTTTTTCGCTCGCGCCCTGTCATAATACATTCCTTCGTTCATTAATTCCTTAACAATGTTTTCTTTATTCCGCCTTTTGTGAGTAGGTGTTAGATGGATTAATTAATTATTTCACTCTTCTTTTTTGACCATCTTCAGATTACTTTTTTCCCCTATCAAAGAACTTTTTTAAGGTTTAAGAAAAGAGAATAAAATTTTAAGAAACCTCCTAACAAAATATTTATACATTTTTTACTATTTAATTCCAATATTTATGACTCATCATGCTGTAGTGAGTGAGACTAACTGTGTGGTATTTTTTACGATAAACTCTCGATTCTTCACATCTTCTCGAATAAGCTTAAAATTTAAAAGAATGAGAAGAGAAAATAAAACAATCTTTGAGCAACATATGCAAACGCGCTTTGGACTACTATGGATTGATCGGGTGTCTTTATCTAGCCAATAAAGACCCACGAATCTTATAAAAATTATTCAAATGCTTGTGCTCGATAGGTTACGATATCTCTTAAAGAGTTAAAATTTTTGTATCAATGTTTCTCTCGAAAATGATTTACGGTTCATCTTGATCAGTCATTGAGCTAATGAAAGCAAAATCACGAAATTCAGTCGAAATCCCAAATGATTAATTAGAAAATATTTGTGATTTTTATTGAATGTTCAAGTCATTTTCATGGAATTAATTTTTTTCTCTGACTTCACAATGCCCATTAACGTGAAGCACTATTTTAAACCAACTTCATCAAACTTTCTTACAATTTTCAACTTTGGGGGAAATTTCACCCATCATTATTACAATAAAAAGAAATTTCTTACATGTGTAGCAAACATCAACATGAATTCAGACACAACAACCCATCAGAATAGTTTTAGTTGCAGTCGTTTTTGCAGCCAAGTGGGACATCAGACGAAAAAAATAAAATAAGGAAATCGATATATCGATCGTTGCTTTGTGCTTTCTTGACCTTTTTTTTGCTATGGCTTTAAATTTCAGACAAGTGGTCAGTAGCTTGCAATGATCTAAATTTTTAACTTTGTTTTGGATGACCCCGCAGAAAAAAGAAGTCGATAAGTTAACAATAATGAGAATTTTTAAGCAAGAACTGCATGCGTTTTCTTCTTCGTAGATTCTAGAGTAAAAAGATATTCAAGTAGAAGATTGTTGCGAAAAATCAATGTTTACTGCATTGTAAGTGCTTAACTTGTTACTGTAGCTTAACTGGAGAAAAAACTGATAAGTAGAACGAAAGCCAAGATTTGGGTTTGGGATCTTTCTAAATTTCAATTTTTGAACATTTATTTGTATCCACTCTTTTCGACACCGTCTCTTTCTATCTTTCTTCAATAACCACAACAGAAAATTTCATTCATAGTTTGTTTTTTATTTTATTAATGTAAATGATACTCGTCGCGAAGTGGGTTCTGTTTATCTAGGCAGAAGAATGTAATTTGAAAAGCAACGGAAAAAGATTTAAAGTTTTTTAATTCTCTGGAAAAAAATCCAACAGAAAAAGTAAATAAATTTATATGATAATTTTCTTCCTCGTCAATGAAGAAGTTTTGCCAGCGTTGTTTGTGTATTTGGGCTTGTTTGAGTTTCGAGCCACTCAAAATAATCTTTTAAAGAAGATAAACTTTGTTAATTATCGGTCGGAACCACACCTCATGACGTAAGACTACAAAATATTCAAATTGACTTAAATTTGTGAGCAGTATCCGAGAAATTGTCAGAAACTCAACTTGAATAAATGCTTGTAACATCAATTCAGATTTTATTTTCTTTCTCTTTTATATCATGCTATGTAACAGCCAGCGTCAACAAAATATTGCTTAACAATGTGATTATTGATACGAGATATTATTCATCAATCCAGAAATATCGTTAGTGTCTTGAAGTTTTGATTTGTCGCTCTCTTTTCTTAAAAACAAAAGGACAAAAGCTTAAAAAAATTATTATTCCAAAACAATAAATTATTCATTAAAGATTTCGGCTAAGAAAATGAATTCGTCTTTAAATGATTTCAAGATGTTTTAAATCTCCCAATTCTTTTGTCATTTATGCTGACTGTTTCGTTTCGTTCAATCTAACGGAACTTCCTTGCGTCTCTCAACCTAAAATCAATCTTCAAAAAATTGAAATTAAAAGAATAAAATGAAGAGCAAAAAACAATAAATTATCAATTTCATTTTCATTCCTTTTGTTTTTCAATGAATGAGATTTTGCAACCGCCACAAAAATTAAATTAAATTTTATTTGCAATGGTCAATCATTGATTTAGGAGTTTTAAGCCGCCAAATGGATGCAAAAGACAGCTCATTTTCTCGATTTGCCTTTGTGCTGTAAAGATTCATTAAATCAAACGGTTTTATGTCTCATTGTTTTCTACAACCTTCTTTCAAATATTTTTTCTTCCTTTTTTTATTTTCAAAGAATGGACTTACCAAGAACTTGCATATTTTATGCTCATCCGCTTCTCTCCCGAGAAAAAAGGATTCAAAATAAAATATTTAATTGAATATTTTTAAAATGTTTTAGATCATAATAAGAGAAGTTCTTTTATAGTTTTGTTAAAACAGGGATTGAAGTAAAGATGAAGCTAATTAAATTAAACTATTTAAAGGCTTATCGTAAATTAGAAATTGAATTTAAGTAACACGGTCAATATTTTGTAAGCTCTTTTCCTTCTTTTGCTGAAATGAGATTTATCTCAAGAAGTATGAATGTAGATGCATAAGACATTACATTAATAATATTGTGAGTAAAAACTCAAACTACTTCTACATAAATAAGTAAGCATATTAACTAACCCAATAATCTCAATAATTTAGAAGAAATACAACAAAAACTAATTCATTTAAAAGTGCAGCTGATCAAACAGAATCGATTTATCGTTGAAATTGTGTTATCAACTAATTTTCTTTTAAATTCTTTCCCATTCCTTTCAATTCTATAAACGTTTTGTTTGACTTATATTTTTTTATTTCTCCTCCTTGACTCGTTAAGTTGTTCTTATCTTTAGAGTTAACAAAACTGCGTAAAAATACTGAAAACAAATCAAACAAAGACAAATTCTTGTTTGTGAAATAATAAAAAGTGCAAAAAGTAAACGAAGAAGGAGAAAAAGAATTTCTAGAGATTAGGAAATTAAAGATAACAAAAAGTAGATAGATCGATGTTTGTTGTTTTTCTGTTGTTGCTCCAACTTTTTAATCAAACTGAGGGGTGAGAGAAGCGATTTAAAATTTATTTGTTTTCCCTCTTTGACAGTCTGTGATATATTTATTATCAGCTCTATTCGTAATTTTAGTTAACTTTTGAATGAACTTTTTAATAATACTAACAACAAATTGTCCAAAATTTCCTTATGAAAATGTTGCATAATTCTGCAACTAGTGATTACTGTTCATCATTTACATAGATGTTAAATTATTTCATACTGACGAACGTGTTGCTGTGGTTCATCTAATAATAGAAAATTCATTCCACATCAGCAGCAATGTGTTAAAATTTCACCGAGAATTTTATGATTTCCATATTCATAATTCACAATGGTGTAAAGTGAGGGTGTGTGATGATCGAGAAAAAGGGTTAAATGAATCGAACGAGGGTGTGTTGAAAACAGATTGTAATTATCATGTTCACATGAACAAATGAATCTGAATATCAATTAAAATTCTCTGTTTAATGCCTTCACTCCCTCATTTGCTTGTTCATTAACAACTGGTAATTTCCGTTTAATGTAAATTTGACTTATTACACAAAGAAGTGTGGAGAGTCATGCCGGTTTATAAATCAGGTTAATTACTTGAAGTTGATCTTTGACGTTTGAAATTGCGAATACGATATCTTTGGGAGTAATTGGAGGAGAATTTAAATCAGCATTTTCCTCTGGGAAGGAATGAAATTTTCGATTCGAAACTTAATTTTAGAATACTTATCTAAGTATCTACTGCTAAGGGAAGAAGATGAAAGAATATCTGAATATCTAAATAAATTGTAAATTTCTCACTACCCAAAGCGAGAGAGTGAAGGCAAGAATTTTCGCCAACAATGAAAGAAATTAGTTAAATGATGCTTGATGAATGAAATATGATGCCAATGGTGCTTACTTCTTCGCCCGTAAATTTTAACGACATCAAGTTTCATATTTATTAAATATAATTTTTCAGTTAATATTCATGAGATTTTTAATCAAGATAAAATGGTGATTGTGCTTGAAAGTCGTTGAAACTATTTGCATGTTTTAAGATGGAAAGGATCCGAACACATATCTGCATAGTACAGACATTTAAATCAGCATTCAAATAAAAGAAATGTTTTAAAAATATTGAATCATTCTTATTTATAAACCAAATGACGTGACAGAACTTCGTACGAAGAAAAAGTAATGTCCAAATTTTATATTTAAATTTTTGTTTGATGCCAAAATAAATATGACAATAAAGTTATATCGTAACAGCATCAATCTCAGAATTTCACTGATTTGATAAAAATATTGATAAATAAAACCAAATTCATCGTTGCATCGCATAAAAATTATAAGAATCTAGAATCGACGATGCTCTGACTAATCAAAGTAATTCCCCGAAGAAATCAACAATAAACAAACAATCAACTCATTCAGTAGAGGCGTATTCAATGAAGAGAAATTATGGGGAAAGTGTTAAATTATTTGAGAAAATCTAGCTGATTACGTTGTATTGTTCTTGTTCATTTATTAAATATTTGCGTAATTTCCTTTCATAACTTCTATTGTTCTTTTCACAAACGACTGACGAAAACCCCTAAACTAATTAAATACATATCCAGATAGAGTAAAAATGACATTCAAAAACAAAACTTTCATACTCAAAGATTTATTATTTTTTATTTTATAAAATAATTTTGTTTCGTATCTTTCTATGCTTAAGATTATGAATTGAATTCGTTTTTAAAGCAGTTTCATCATCTTTATATGTAAATTGTAAAGCATAAAAATACAACAAAATATGTTCTATCACAACCGAGTTCTATTGTGAGTTTCCCTCCTTTCTTAGCTGTCTAATTAAAAATAATAAAATTTCACAATTTGAACTCATGCGAAGGAAGTAAAGAAAATCCCTTTTTCTCGATTAAAATTATCATAAAAATCAGCATTCTTTGCTACTGAGTGAATAAGTAAGGGAGTGAAAAAGGAACTCGACTAGGATTCTGCATGTCAATTCGTTTGTATTTGCATGACTTGTTTCTTCTGACTTGGCAAGTTGGACGGATTACACGTTTCATCAGGTGGCTGATCTAATGTTAAAACCCTCGATTACCCCAATTGCCAAGTAAACCTACCTAAGTAGTCACAATTTCTTAAAATATTTATTGTCATTTTTACTTAAATATAGCACAAGACAAAAAAATGAAATCATTCCATCGCGAAGTTGCACATATTTGCAAATACATTCTTTCATCTCATCCTAGAAAACATTTAGCTAATTGAAAAAAAAAGTAAATATTCCTCTCGATAATTTCTAATAACAAGAAATTTCTTCACGTTTACAAAGTGATCACATTTTGAAAGTAAATCAGACAGGCATAGATTGTTTCTTACATTTTCGTAGTGTTAAAAAATTTTCAATCATCTCATTCCGTTTCAGAAATAAATAACCTTTTGTGACTTTTTTCTTTCTTCTTAATTTCAGTTAATTTAATTTCTTTAACATTTGCGACGTGATTTAATTTCGTTTTATTTTCTTCTTCATTTCTTTGCTTCTCCCGTACATTAATTTGAATTTGGATTTCTTTTATTCAGCATTTTTAATGTATTTATATGTATGAATACTTTTTCAATCTACTTGACGTCTAAGATTAAAAGTTTGAATTAAGAAACGTCTTTTGAAAAATTTTTATTTTAGTTATGTTGGCATTTAAACTTCCTCAGTTTTCATATATTTCCATATATTTATGTATGTTTATGCTTTTTTATCATATAGATTTGATAACATTATAAGTCAAAACACTACTTTGAAATTCCCAATGAGACAACACTTTTTTCTATTATAAGCTGCGAAAATATTTATAAAATAACAAAGCAATAAACAATTCAAGTACCGACTTAAATATCCAATAGATATAAAAAGTAACGGTTAAAGAATTGAAATTAATCTTCAAGTTAACTTTTCGCTCATGTACAAATTTTGATCACACGCCTTACGAATTAATGATGAAGCGAAGAAATTAAAATTGTAATGAAATGCTAAGTGAAAAGTTTTAATAAAAGAGACACAGCAAACGAAGAAGAAGGAATACGAGATCGTTTCGTCACATACTTACGTGAAATAATATGTTGCACAGTGGGGTATGAATTGAAAATTGTTTTTTTTAATCAAAGCCTTATGAGAGACGAGCTCAAATTCGAAGAATATTCCTTCATGGACCAAAACATTCTTACGAATATCATTCTTGATGCGATACAGCTCTTTGAACGCGGGGCTAAATATGCGATGAACAAATGTAATTACAGCCCCGAAGTGATGAATTCTCATTTCTTTTTCTCTCTCTCACTCACTCGTATTTTAATTGTCTAATTGTTATGGTCAAAAAAGAACAACATTCTTTCTTTTCGTGCTTCTCGAGTCGTTTCTCTGTTCACGAGAAGACTGACTGTTGATTGTTAAGTTTTAATAAGATTTTAATTTCTTACGTCCGATGGTGTAATTAGATTTGGTTGTTTGGTGATTTTGCTTTCTGTGTGTAAAATGTTCGGTACAATAATGGGGATGATTTATTAATGACGTAAGTTTAAGAGCAGCGGAATAGATTTTAAATATTTGCTAAACACATTTCTTAGGAATTCTCTTAGTAAATATTTCCCATCCAAAAAATAATTTTGTATTAATTGCTGTAATTATTTCCTTACAATTATATCCCATCATCTTGGAGCTAAATTTTTTTTTTCTCTTCTTTTAATCATATAATTAAACACAAAAAATTTACCTTCAAAGTTAATTCTTTTTGGTTGCGTTTCTGTTGTGTCTTCGGCGCCAATCTGTTTTTTTTCCTTATTTTTATGTATAATTTTTGTTGGGAAAGTGAATGAGACAGAGGAGAGAAAACTATTATGTTCTAATTACAAGACGAAACCACAACACATCAACAGAAGACTCCAGAAAGAGAAACGAGAAATTTAATTTACTTAATTTCATTAATACATTTGAAATTTTTTTCTGCTCTTACGTTTCGGGCTTTTGTAATTATAGGTCAATAATAATCTCGCTTTAAAGCTGGCACCAGAAGGAAAGGAAGTTTAAGTATAATGAACAATGCTGATTTCCCTATTAATTTTTTTTCTTAATTATACGTACATACATAAAGAAGTACGATAAGTACGATGATATCATCATACTAAAGTGATTAAAAACTTTATAAGATCTTCATTATTTCTCGTCATCTTCTTCAGAACCTTGAGGGAAACATTATTTAAAATGCTTTGACAAATTTATAAAAAAAAAAAGAAATTCGTTGAACTTTTCTTTTTCATTCAACAAAGAAATCAGTAAGCAGCTTCATAAGTATAAAATTCTTTTTGAAAGTTCCTTCAGATGTAACTCTAAATAAATTCTCTCAAAGAATTCATTGTTCATACGAATTGAACTCTGCTCCAAAAACGCAAGCAAACAGCTACATTCATATGAGTAAAACAGAACACTCGAAAAATTCAAATTTATAAATCTCACATCACAGACAACTAAAAGCGAAAAACCACAGCCATAATTTCCATTCCTCAAGCCACATTCTAAATAATTATCGATAATTATCGCTGAACGAAATAAATAAAGAAAAAAAATCATCTTTTCACTTTACCTCATTCCACACATACACACACATAAGCATGTGTATCTCACACACTTCCCCACACACACAAATGTCTAAAGATTTTTTTATATTTTCATCAAAATTAATTACGAGAAGGCCCAGGAAAAATATAAAACCACAACACACAATCATCTGAATTGCGAACGAGTGAGAACGAAAAATGTCGATTATTGACTCTTTCTGAAGCCTCTTTTTTACCTTTAACTGGCACATCCAAATTAAAAATTAATAACACATAATAATGATTTTGGATAATTATTTCTGTTTATATCTACATTCGAGAGTGAACGAAAGATAGAGCTTCGGAATGATGTAAGTCTAAATTTTAATTTGAGCTCTGTCTGGAATAAAAACTCTTATAATGTTTCATATACAACTTGAGTTATTTAGATGATTCCTTCAATTTAATCAAAAGTCTCGAATTTAATTTCTTGATGCGATGTTATTTTCTGCATTATAATTTTAGACACTCGCTTTTTTTGTGAGAAATAGCTTTAAATCGAGTTCAAACGTTAAATTTTTAATCTATGGACCTCAAAATTATAAAAATTATGCATTTTTTTGTATGTTGCCATTAATTTCTTAAATTCATGTTTTTCTAATGATGGGTCAATTTGTCCATCAAACATCGTTCAACATTTCTCATTATATTATCTTTATACGAATATAATTCAAGCATTCCACATATTTCTAACGATTAACTACATCGCTCTACATTGTAACTATTGTTATGATGTCAATTAATATTTCCTCATGTCGCTCTCTCATATCACGTGGTGAGAAATTTTTTCATACATTCATGAGATGACTAAAGTAATTGGAAGATGAAATGACTTCAATTCAATGAAACTTTCCAATGTTGTGTACCACAGAACTGTTGAAATATCTAGTGGGCAGTTGATATACGACTTTTCATAGTTATATTTAGTTTTCCAAAGAATTAATGGTCAGATTTATTTAATGATAAATAATATTTTCATAAAATTATTTGCATAAATAAAAATTGTGAATAAATACTTAAATCTAATTGTTTGATGTTAGACTCTTTCAAATGATCATCTACCGTACATATATTCATTATACTTATTACCCTAATTCTAACGAATTGGAAAAGTGAAAAGTATCGTGTTTAACTCTATTAAAAATCCAAACATGCTTTAAATTGTGCAATTTGTTCTTGGGTGTTTGCAGTTTTGTTCTTTTTTTTCTGTTGTTTTGTTATCAGTTTCCATCTACCGCACGCACAGTGCGATTAATTTTTGTGCGTAGTTATGCACGCATAGCCCAACACCTCGTTTGAAATCCCATAAATTTTCATGAACTATAATTAAAGTCTTTTCAATTTTAACATTCACATACAATAATTAAATTTTGGTAGCTTTCCTAACTAAGGGATTAATTGACACACTCTTTGATGTACCCCACAAACATTCATTTTCTTTAACCACATTAATTGTTGAATCGCCAGCAAAGCAAGTCAAAAATTCATTCGAAAATATTCTCAAGAAATAGAAAGAAAATCGAGCAGGAATTAGTTGAACAATGGGCCACCAATTAAAATGTAATTAAATTCTTATAATAATTTTCCTAAACATGTTTGAAGTTTTCTTTCGTCTTTCCTGCTTTTGTGAACTTGTGGTGAACCGTTGAGTATTACAGGTCACATGTTGATAGAAACGACGCTTGGTGGTGCATGCAATTTTAATTATATATCGTCTATCGTTTCTAATTGAAGATTGAAGTTTGTCTTCGGAAAGAAAGTCTTTTATTAAAAACCGCAAAGAAAGTTTTGTTTTTAGACGATTTTCGGTTTCACGTTACACGCTATTCGACATGAAGTAATATATCGTTGTGGATTTCTACTACATACCTGGGTAGAATTATTTAAGCTTGTAATTATAAATTTATTGTTGTTTAACTTGTCCGCTTGGACTTCTTTTCATCGACAACAACACAAAACCAAATTAAAATTTAAAGTAACAAAAATCAATGTTTCTTGCTTTAAATTCTTCACTGTTCATCTATAATAACCCATAATTAAATCTTTTTTAGTAGCCTTAATTACAGGCATTAAATGTGGAAGGAAATTTTAATTGTTAGTGACGTCAGTCATGGGGTTTTCACTCAAATAGGGGCATCGTTGATTATCGTATTTCTACGTAGTTTAAGTCTTTGCTCAAGTGACCAGTATATTTACAATTCAATCTCATATTTCCTATTTTTCGACGATGACAAACAATTAAAAAGGAAACTGGAAATTAAGAGTTTCAAGAAGAATTCTTTATGAACAAACATATAACTATGAACATATTTATGCGTATATGTAGGCAAATCGTATCCAGGCGTGACGTCATTGGTTGGAACAATTGTCAGAACCTAATTTGACTCATTACGCAACAGAAACGAAAGAAGTAGAAAAAAAACGTTATTTAGTTTTTAATGATGATTAATAATGAAAACTACAATTAATAATCACTTGATTTTTTTTTCAGAAGAGATGTAATTGTCATTTCCTGCTTCGTTTCATTTTGGGCTCAAAGTCAAATCTCCGAAAAGAACAAATATAAACAAAACAAGTTCATGAAATCATTTTGCCGAAACTAAATGCTGGGTGTTTTGGGGACGATTGAGAAAGGAAAATTAGACAACATAGTCAAATGAAGTCAGATTTAAGTTTGCTTGTGAAAAAAAAACTCTTTTTCAGAGATTACAAACTGTTTACTTGTTTCTCATCCATGCAATTCCACATTTCTTCACACTGTTTATTATTTTACTTTTGAAAGAAGTCAAAGCAGTCACATATTTATTTTTTATCTGTCGTAATGGTACACTAACCATGTGATAATTACATTTCTGTACTACTTTATTTCTGTTTCTTTTTCGTTTACGTATCTTCTCATTTCATTGAGTTTCATAATTTGATCTCTAAATCATCTGCCTCTGTTCTGAAGAACGATTTGCTTTTTTCATTTTTCATGTACGCAATTAATTACAATATCTGAAGTCTGTTGAGAAATGTGCTAATTAAGAAGAAACGATTTTTAAAACGGAATTTAAAATAACGTAAGAAAATTTAAATGATTAATGTTAATGATATAATGTGACGAAGTTTTTTAGCATACAAACATTATTTTTCCACTCGTTGAATGGGTTGAGTTCTTCTAAATACAAAAGGAAGACGAAATCAAATTGACATCATCAACGAAACTCTCCTACTAAACTTTCTGTTAATTGTCACAATTTGTGACTTTTCTCACTGAACCATAAAATTTTAAAATTTCAACAAAACACTTGAAGAGCAACAACGAAGCATTTAAATCATATTTTTCACCTGATAAAAATCTCTCTTTTGCGCCCGAAATAAATGAAAGAAGCGACGAAGTTTGTCATTAAAATTATAACAATTTTATAATTTGTAACGCTTTTTTTAACTCTCGTAATATAGCGTAGAGTACTTACACCGACGCACGGTTCCATATCGTTTATTCACTAAATTATCATCACACATCAAAAAGTCAACGTAATTATGAATAGAAGCAAATGGGATCGGTAATTATATCGCAAAGACCTGTAAACAACGTTTATGATAAAAAAAAGTAATGTCGTTGTTGTTGTTGTGGTCTTTTTTTTACTTTCCTCTTCATGAATAGATCAAATATTAAAAAATCATTCATTTCGTGTATGCATTTCCAGTTCCATTCACAATTTTTTTTTTTGATACATCTATTTAGAATGAGAGCAAAATATTCTTGTTTACTGATTTGTACAAAGGTGATTAAATGCGTACATAAATATACACATGTAAGCATATATTTAAGCAAAAAAAAAGTTAATTTACATTCTGTGAGTGTGAACAGTTCGTTCTTTCCTCCCCTCGTTTTGTTGGTTCCAAATAAAATTCATGACTTAATCTATTAATGAGTTAAAAACTCAAAATTATCTTTGTAATGAATGAAGGAGTTAAGCAAATGAAAAGTTATTATTTATAATGATGATATTAATGGAGCAAAAAACGTCTGGTAATTGTTTAAATAAGGGTTTGATGAAAGGGTTTGTCTTCATTTATTTACAAAATAACCAGATTTTTGGTTGGGGGAGACAAACGATTCAAGAATTGGGGTTAATATCTTGTTGATGACGATGATTAAAAACATTTTGTAATGAGAACTCCCGAGCAACAATTGAGAGATAAGAGTGAAGAAAGGAACAATCGCATTGAAAGAAATAAAAGGGTTAAATTGTTCATTTATGTGGTGGCATGTCAGGGGAACTCGAAACATTGTAAAAGGATCTGAGAAAGAATTAATTGCTTGCTAACTGTCGAATTGTTCTCGTTTCTAGAAGGAAGCTGAAAATTTATGCATAACGTTGTTGAGGTGTCAATCACACCACTCAATTTTAGAAGAGACTTCTTGAGCTTTTGATCTCTTAATCATTGAAATTTTGGCTCTTCCCTTGCCGTCTTATGTTTTTATATCCCAAATGAAGACAAATTATTTAGCAAATGACTTGAAAGTTGCAAGCAACTTTTAATGGATACCATGTTTGTGTCGCCCTGATTGAGGAGTATTTTCAGCTGAAGATGTTTGCGTAATTTATCATCTCAAAGAGAACGTCCTAGGATGTATAGATAGATATTTAGCCCTCTTAGTTTACACAGCGTCGACGATGACATTATAATTATATTTAAGCTTCTGTTGAAAATGGGGAACATGTAGAAGAGAAGCTACATGTTAATTGGGGGTGTTTTAAAGTCAGCTCAACATGGATACAATCCTTTGATCTCATATAAAAAAATATCTACACATAATTGTGGTGGGTGAAGGTTTTCATTTTGAAACACAATCTGAATATCTCGCGAAGCATTTCCATTTAATTACGAGGGTCGAAAACAGAAGGAAAAAAGTACATTAAAAAAGAAAAGCAGTCATTAGAGTTAATTAAAATCGTGATTTTTTATTTTATTGTCGGATGATTGCTGATAAAAAGCATAAACAAAATTGTTCTTTACTTTTCATTACAGCATTAACTTTCGGGCAAACATCACGATCCCTACATACTTAGAAATCCGCAAACCAAAAACAATTCTACAACAGTTAAGGTGACTGTTGGCAACAATAACATCAACATGAAAGTGTGATCTCAAAAAACCTAACATATTTTTCCCCCATGAGATCTGGCCTTCAACTTTGATGGTCCATCTCGAAACCTTACTTGAGGGTGAAGAAAAATTCGCACTTTACGCCCTTTCCAGTCCAGATGACCGGGGGAAAATAGGGTAGGAAAATCCGTGTGGGAAACTTTCACGGTCATGTTAGAATTTTCCCACATGTCCACATGTTTGTTTATTTATTGTTTTTCTATTGTTGTGACCACTTTTACTCTCAAACTTAGAAATGTTTTGTTTTTCATGTAAAGATTTTCTTTTTATTTTAAAGAATGAAATCCTGCAAATGACGTTGAAAAGTTTTGTAGGCTTTACATCTCCAATGTGTAAAGTTGCAAACACCTTAACGCTTTATTCTTAAATATCATAAGTTTTGATTTCAATGATCCCAAAATCAACAAGCAAAAAAAGCGTGGCTAAATTCAATTACTTACAAACAAGACCCGACAGCGAAAATAAAGCCGGAAAGAATTAAAGTAATTAAATTCAAACTCATTACCTCCACCATTTCACCCCCGCAAATTTTCCTTTGGTTTTCCATTCTAACAACAAAAAAAGCTGTCGAGACGAGGCGACTGAATCTTTTTTCTTTTTCGTCGTTCTCTTAATTAATTCATTAAGGAAGAGAACGAAGAAAAAAAATTCGACAACAACATTTTAATTATGGGAAAATTCAAACTTTTTCTTCACGCTCCTTTGTTTGTTGAGGAAGTTCACCACAAAAATCAGCATATCTTATGGCATCATGCCATGGAAAAGCAAAGGAAAAATGAAAGGGATAATTGTTGTTAATTGCCCCAACTCTGATTCCGTGGGAAAATAGAAAATTTGCCTTAGCGAAATTTTAATTAAATTCTTGAGTCGAAAAAGAGAAAAAGTTTGTCGAAAATTGATTCAACAAGAAGCAACGAAAGTTTTGAATTTTGTTTTAAACTTAAGAAGATGTGATATTTGGAATGGCAATTACAATTAGCACATTGATTTAGATACATATGGAATCATTGTCTGGCCATATCTTCTCGGCCATTACAAACATTATTGTGGAATAATCTCTGTCAGAATACGAGTATTAAGTTAATTAGTATAAAGCTGCTAATGAAAAAGGAAAACACTGAAATAAGTTTCCAAATGATTTTCATGGACAATTAAAAATTGGAATTTAGAATGAAGAAGACATGTTTGTGTTGCGTGTAGGATTGTTAACTTCAAGAAGTCATACTATTTAACCATCCTGATTATATTTATTTTAAAGTACAATTAAAATCGATTGTGAAACATCATGCATGAAGAAATTAAGAACATGAAGCATAATTGCACATCTAAATACATGTGTGATGGTTAATGGTTATGTTTAAAACAGTCAACAACTTTATTAACAACGAAGAAAATAGGAAGAAATTAAATTGAAATTTAAGTCACCACAGTGACCAAAAACCACCGTAACGCTTGAAATAATTGACGTTCCAATGGTCAACATCTCTTCCTTAGGGTAGGAGTAAAATATAAGCAAACATCTGCTTCATCAACTTTGTTAAGAAAAAGTTTTTCAATATTTGAAATCTTCTTCTTTTTGCTTACCTCATTTACATGACAACTTAATGATCTTGTGGATTTTATATTGCAGAATAATATTCGGAATACATATAACAAGTGTTATCGCTACTTTGCAGTTAATTTAAATATAAAGTTAAAAAGTTAAGCAAACAATTCTTGCATTCATCTTTGTGAAAATATTTTGTCTTTTAATTTTGAAATCGTGTCATCACCAGACTAAGACTACAATGTGATATAAAGTGATATGAAAGTATTTATTTATGATGTTTTAAATCAGCCCACAAAATGAAACTTTTTGCTGTCAAACACAATTAAAATGTAAATAAGCTTTTGTAAATTGCAATATTAAGCACAAGCAATTGATTAACGATATGACCTAAGCTTTCAATACGAGATGATTGTGATAATGTCGAATGTAAATCTTCTCAAATATTCAAAATTTTAAATTTGCAAGGAAGCAGTTAGTCATTTTACTTACTTTTTCAATTAATAAGTTTCATTTTTGGTTTGATTATATCATCAACTCATTTCTATTTTAAGACAAAAGAACGATGAGTTACAGCTCTTCATATTTCTAAGTAATCAAATACATTTTAAAGGTCAAGGACCTCGTTTATCTCTTGATGGTGAATTTTTATTCTGAACTTTTTTTACCCTCATGTAAAAAAGTTGCAATCGATTTAAACATTGAAAGATGGAAAAATCATACTCATACATACATATAGGTTTACAATAGCAGATATCATGTGAGAGTCCCTCAGAGTTTTTTTTTATCATATTAAAAAGAGTAATTTACATCTTACGCTAGTTTCACCCCTAGAAATCTTACCCTCATGCCACCACCATCATCTTCACTCTCGAATCAAATTTTATCGTAAAAAATACGCAATTTTTTTATATGTTGTTGAGGGGGAAGACGGTTTCTAAAAAAACGGTATAATTAAAAAAAAAAGTCGTGAACTGCATATCGTTGGAATAAGATATTTGAAATCCCTTTCTTCTTTTTCTTTTATTATGAAAAGTCTGCCCTGGAGGATGCTACAAAGCGAAATAATTTCCCTCATTTTCCTTCCAATTTTCTTTTTAAATGCTTTTTCTTTGTTCTTGGTCTATCTTTTATAAAAATAAGAAGCTAAGAAAATTTGAGATATTTTTGAGACAAGAACTCATTTCTGATATTTTCCAAATTTAAAACCAACTGTACAAAGAATGATTACGTCCTTTATATATCGAAGAAGACTTTCAAAGTTGCAATTGCTAAATTTTTCAAAACGGGAACGATTGAAATTCTTTTTTGTTTCTCGCAGAGAATTTGTACATTTGCCATATTCATTTCTTGCTCCATTTCAGAATGGTAGAATATTCCTTTTACATGATTCTGAATGATGCTGCGTTTCTTTCTTGCGTTTGATTTCGAATAAAAAAGTTTTGAGACAAGTTGAACGTTCATAAAAAACTTCAATTTGAAGGTTGAAAATGAATGAGAAGTGATCAAGGTACAAGCTCTGCTTCCCCTAATCTTCAGCACCTTTTTTTTCTTCTAGTAATTAGAATAGCCCTCTTGCTTCAACTAAGACTTAAAACCATGAAAGATGATGCTGAAATAACACTGTTTACTCATTATTAAAAAACTCACTGAATATGTATGCGCCTCAACTGTGGATTATTCTTTAGAAGAGGGGAGAGATTTTTTTGTCGACTGGCAAACCAATTTACGGGGCATATCAAGTAGTTTTTTGCTACCTCGCTACAAAGCAATTAAGATTTGTTTCCTTTTACGCAAGTGTTTTTTGTGTTTTGTTTTATGACACCCAGATGGTTGTAATTAATCCAATTATGAAGAAAACGTTGGTCCATTCAGTGGTCTAATTAATTTAGCTTTAAGGTTTTTGATACTTTTAACAGGGGAAAAGTTTTTGTTCCTTGCTGTTTTTCTTGCTGTTGATAGCAGAATCGCAGATGGTTTACGTGAGTAAAAAATGTAACAAAGGTAAGTGGATAGAGCTTAGTGCTAACTTGCGATAAATTAATCGTTAATGGACCTCGTTGCGAGTGTGAGTGGATAATTTTTAAAAAATTCTTGTGTAGGCTTTCTTTCTTTATTTCATTCTATTCCTTATTAAGCTAAATATCTACTTTTTATTCCCTCAGAGGATATCCTGGTGTGTTGTTTTCATCTTTTTTTTGCTTTGAGGTGTTAAAATGTTTCCAAGGTATCTAATTTTTCTACCTTTTTCCTTCATAATCTTTTCAAGGCATTGTTTTGAAATGAGAAATCATGATTGAATACTATCTGAAATGTTTCAGGTAAATGATGAATCAGGAAAAAAAGAAACGTTTGAGGAATTTTTAGAGGATATTTTGTCACTTTAATTTCATTCTTAGCTTCATTTCTTTTGTGTGCTCAGTTCCAACACCAGGATGAATTCTGAGGCAACACAAAGAACGAATTTTAAACTCGAATTACAATAATGTGTATGTATCGGTCCCTCTACCTTTCTTATCTTTCCAAAAACAACCTCCTACCTCCCCGCAAAACATGAGCGAATTTTTTTCCTTTCTTGATCAAGTGATTTTTTTTACATAAGAGGGGAGCAAAATAAAAATAAACAAAAAATTCACCGAGAGGAAGAAAAAAAAAGTTCTTTCTTGCCATAACTGAATATAACATGCACATATACAAAACAAATCAAATTCTATGGCAACACTCAATTCTGCATACATTAAAATCTGTTCACTTTTTCTCGTTTGAGCACGAAAAGAAAGAAGGAAAAAAAGAGAAATTTTCCTCATCTCCGAGGAGATGTAGAGGTATGGGCAAGAGTTTGGGGTGCGAAATGGGCTAGGGAGAGGAATGAACCACTGAAGCAGTTTGCACCCCCACACACGTCGATGGAGAGAAAAGCAAACGGGAATCTTACACATAACGTCTTCGTGTGTTGAGTTCAGAAAAATTTTTGCATACTTTTTCCATATATTTTCTTCATATGAGGCAGCGAACGAAGCTATCGCCAGGCATACAATTTATATATTAAAACGAAGTGAGGAAAAGCAACAGTTATGTCACGGCAAAGATTCCAAATTTCTAGGTTGAAAAATAATTTAGTGATATCATTTTTAATCATTTCCTTCGTTACCATTTTTTCATGTCGTTCTCTCCAACCCCAAACCCTCTCCCACACTCCTTTTCACACACAGCCATCCCATTAAAAAATGAAATAAAAATCCAAGACGAGAAGAAAATTGAAAATGGATAAAAAAAAATCAATAAAATTTCTTTCTTGAATTTTTTTTTCTGTTAGAAGATTTTTAACGAGGACTGAGGAGGCCATAAAAGGGAGCACAACGAGAGAGTATGAGGTTAAAAGGGTATTCTTACATCTTCTTGCACAAACAAAGGAATTTGCTCGTTCAGTCCGTGTTTTCTTTCGGGCTAAAAATTATTATTCATATGGAAAAGTGTGGGTGGAGAAGTAAGAAATCTCATTAATTTTTCTGGTTTTTTTTTCTTCTTTTACTCTTCTTTAAATTACATAAATTGAAGCAAAAGCGAACCCCTTTTGTTTGAAATTGTATCCGTTTTGCGCATATAAATAAGTCCACCACCCACGCCCTTAACTTATTCACGAGAAAAACGGCACCCTTCGTCGATAACTCATCGATAAATTTCTCGTGCTTGAAAATGAAATAAATATTTAAAAAACGAAGATGAAATGGAATTTATTCCGATATCTCGGATATTTTTCAGCGTTAATTGCAATTAAAAATATAAATGATACCAAGATAAATGGAAGCATCGAAGCGGACGATGTCGTCTAGGGATAATTTAAAATGAAAAAATAATATGAAACTGATTTATAATAATTCTTTAAAAGAATATTTTCGTCATTATGCTTTTGCAATAACAATTGTCTTTGAAACTTGCATTTTGTTTTTTAAGAGAATCATGAAAATCTACCTGATGTGAAAGGTATTTGTAAACCTTCATCACCACAAAAAATTCCTGGAATCATCCATGCCGTTTCTATTTACAATTTTCAATCACTCGACTTATCTTTCTTTTATTTTACTACTATGTGTGGCTAACAGGTGGTCAATAAGGTGAAACGTGAACGGATTTTTTTTTGCTTTGCTACAATGTTTGCATGTGTGTGTGAGTTAGCGTAAGCGAATGAATGAAAATATCGATATGAACCCCTGTTAGAAGGATATTTGTCCGGTGTTGTGACTGAAGGATGAGAATGGTTTCCAATTCAGAAAATTCGCTAGAAAGAATGATTTTATTTCTAATAGAAAAATCTGCAAGAGCATTTTGCAACATTTGAAGCAAAATAAAATACCTTAAGCAATAAATTATCGCGCTCAATCTCGTCATGAACTTAAATTTAGCACAGAATAAAAAAGTAAAATATCAAAGCATTTTCCAATATTGAACTGAAAATTATTGAAGTAACAGCAGAGTGAGTGTATATAGATACAAAAATATAATAATCACTTGAGATTTGAATGGACTTTGTGTGCAAATTCAAGCTAAGTATAAAGTTTCATCACAAATCCCGCAAATCGAGCCTGAGACCCACTCATGGGTATGAAAATGTATAATAAGTTTCAATCATCGTTTGCGGCTACGAATTTTTATTTAATTCTTTAATTTTGTTGCAAAATCTTCATTTTCTTCGTTTTGCACTGCGATTAATTCTTTTACTCGTCCGGAGCATAATTCTTTCTCTCTATCTCGCACCGCGAAGAACGAGCAAAGAAACATAATCGATTCTGATCTTCGGCCAGGATTAATTTCACATTCCGAGGTAATTTTCGTGATTTGCGCGTCGATGGCTGAGCTATACATATTATACTCTACATTTACTCGCTGTTGATGTTCGATTGATGATGAATAATTGAAGAGTAAGAAAATGAAAATAAAAAAAATTCTTTGCTTGGCTATGAGAACGAAGGTATCTTAATTATTTAATTACTTTGCTGGAAGGTGAATTCTCACAAAGGAAAAAAATATGAAAAATGGTTTTGTAAAACGAGAAGAGATTTTATTATAATATTCTACTTATTAATATTCATAATAAAACATGTTTTATCTCGGTATTGTCATATTTCCGTGTTTTTTAACAAAAGTCTAGAACTGATAAAAATCTATGTGTTTAAAATAAAATGAAGAAAAACTAAACAAGGGCAGCAGTGAGACATTGAAATCTAACAAATCACTTCCAACCTCCAATACATCGATTTAGGCTTGGATATATAGGGGTGATTGGCCGCACCGGTGTTGTTGTCTACACTTGAGGTTGAGACTCACTATGAACTTTACTTTTTCTTCGTTTCGTTCTGTGTACTCTCGGTCACTCTCTCAAATCACGTAATACGTGAAACGAAAGAAAGAAAAAATATTTCAAGGCAAAACGAAGCAAATTCATAATGAGAAATTGTGGATTAATATAAAACAGAAGAAGAAGAAGAGTCTGGCTTTGACCATACTGCACGGTTTGCCTGTAAGCTAAAAAGTTGCAATGAACGAACGTATTTGAGCGAAAACATCATTTTATTACGAGATGCTTTATTCTTTGGAAGCAAATTCTTTTGACTGCGGATCAGACACTTCAATAATCCCATTTTATAGCTTGAGCAAAAATCAGGAAAATATTCTCCAATAAAAGGTGGACAAAACCTAGTTTTAATTTTATATTTCACAAAAGATATTTCATGCTAAGAGAAAACAAATAGAGTGAAGAAAATATTGAGTGCCCCACAAACAGAAAACTATAAAAATGTTTATACTTTCGTCTGAATAGGTTTGGCACTTGCCTGGAATTTAACTTGAAAAAAAAAATAGAATCAGAACTATTTTAGAAGTGAAAGTCTTTTAGAGTCATCTTGCTTAGAATCAAATTGTCACTTTATACATTTGTGATACATTCGATTTAAATTCCTTTTCTCAGAAATTTTCACATTCCTTTATATTTGTCCCTTAACTAATATCCTAATGACTACTGCTTATTATTTTCAAAACAAATATAGAATAAAAAATAGATAATTAAATATTCTATTAGGTATGATGTTCTTCATTGCTTGCTTCTAACGGACGAATTGCACCTTGGATGAAAAAAAACATCACATTGTGCAATTTCTTAGCCTCTGAGCTGTGTTCCTTTATATTATTCATTTTTAACCAGGGACTGAAGCATGTGCTGATTCCCATGCCATTAATGATCTCAAAAAGTTATTTTCTTTTTCGGAACTTTTGAAATTGAATTAAATTCTAAATAACTTTTGATCAATTTAATCGTTCTTTATTTTTATTAAAACTCGACACAAATTCCCAGCCCTGATGTTTAATATACTTCATACATATGTTCAATATGTGTGACAATAGACATTCAAGAGGGATCGATATTTTCTATATTAAAAATTTAAATTAATTATTTGTAGTTCCTGAAGTCAACTGAAACACAAAAAAGGGAGCCATTTAAGAGTCAAGCTAAAGACAATCAAATTAATTAACAAATTTATGAGTCTGGGTTTTGGTATCATTTTTTTTTCTTTGTCCTCGATATTCTTCAACCTTGAAATATAAATGAGCTTAAGAAGTCTTTTGAAGACATTTGGCAAATGTGACTAAATTCAAGAAATAAATAAAAATGTGACATGCATCAGCCTGAAAATGAGGACAAAAGTAATTTTATTTCTTTTTTGGTTAAGGTTCAAGACAGAAAGGAGAAACAACAGCATTTTCAAGAAGTTAATGAAAGAACTTCCTTCGTCTTAAGTGTAAATCAAATTGCTGTTAATTATTTTTTAAAAAATAGTTCGTTAAGAACTAAGAAAATTTTTGCGTATGATTAATTTGTAGATATTTTGAATATAGGGAAAATTGATCTCATATTTCCTCAATCATGACTCATAATCGCTTAGAATTTTTAAATGTTTAACACAATTACAATTTTGGAAGAAGTACTTAAAACCACTAAGGGGTTGGTCAATTATCGGCTTCCCCTCCTCTTATGTTTCTTTTAACTTCGATTTTGGACTGATTTAAATTTTAAAGTAAATTCGCGCACAACGAGTGTGGAAAGCAATGGTTAAGTGAGAAAAAGAGGGAGGAAAAATGCAATATAAACAATAAAAAACGTTTTCAGGATACACCTTAAATTAAAGTTGATGCATCATCGTTTCTCTAACCAGACACGGTCGTTGTTTGGGATAATGGTCGTGCATTATTTATTTTTCAACTGAATGGTATACAGGTTCTAGCTAGTGAATATTTCTAACATTAAAGTCAACGAGCAAAAAGGCAAACTTTATCTATTTAAAGTAGTTAATGTGAATATGACGACTGTATGAAATAATTAATGTAATTAATAGAAATATCGTCGAAAAACAAATCGTTTGAAATTATTTTAATCAAATTCTGTCACAATAATATGTTTTTCCCTCAACCTCAATATTTTCTTGAATAAACAATTAAGTTTTTTTTTCTCCTCGAATCTTTTTTCGTTTTCTGTTCATCTGATGATGCGCAATTAGCACCGAAAGTCTCTCGCTCTCTCTTGCTTCATTATTTTTGTTGTTGTTTTCAGTTAAGATCCAATTATCCGCCCACATAAAAGAATTCCTGTATTCGTTTCAACATAAGCGTCTCTATAAAGTTCAAGCACCAAATGAGAGAAAAAAAATCATTAATTAATGAAAGAAGAAAAATTTTCTGAGATAAGATTTTGAGAAAAACTCCAAATCATGTAAAATGCATAAATAATATATGTATACGTATGTACGAATGTTCGTATGTAAATGAGCAGATTTCATTGGCTTGCTGATGAGCCAATTGAAACAGTTCGAGGGGAATTTTTTCTTTCTTTCTGCTGCCTTCATGTGTCGCTTGTGCCGGGGCTCGAAAGGAAATAAGAAGAAAAACAACAACAAATGAGCAGGAAAATAATGAGACGATGAAAAAAGCGAAGAGATGAATGAATATTTCGTCGTGTCGTTTTGTGCGATTACAAGTTGTGAGTGTATATTAGTGTGAACTGTTAACTCGTATATGAAAGAATAAATAATCATCGTTGTAGTAGTTTTTCATTATAATTTTCGCCGCTCATTCAATGACTTTGTATTGCTATGTCGCGGGTATTGTTTTGTTCTCTCACTTTCTGCTGTATTAAAAACTTATTAAAAATATTTTGGTTTCGTGATAGACATGATAAGCGTTTGGAAGTAAATTTTCCCAACATAACATAAAATGATTTTTTGAAAAATAATTAGATACATATATACGCAAAGAAAATAGTAAAATAGTCAATTTATGTCTCATTTTAATACTTCTTCCATTCAAATATGCTTACAAGTAGATGTTATTGTGATTGAAAAAAAAACATTTTATTCGCAGTCATGTTGTATCAGTATAAAGTTCATCACTATTAACAACGCTCTTTCTTAGAATGATAATCATTGTTTCAAACAGTTTTCCAGCAGATATCTACTCTCATTTATTTTCTTCTCGTCTCTCTCAATAATTTCCTTCTTGCTTTCGATACTTTCTCTCTTTCAAAAAAAATTGTCCAACACGATCTATACGAAAGAAGAATTAAAAATGTATAAGGAAAGTAAGGAAGCATCAACACAAACCCATGCGCAATTATTCTCTTCATTATTTACTCACACTTTTCCAAACATTTTTCAACTCATTTGGATATTATGCTTGTTCTTCAGAGAAATTTGAAATTCATTTTTACACCAATACTCTCATATCTTGCATAGAGGTAAAGATAAAAAAAATTCTAAATGAGTGCCTCATGACGGCGTGACGAGAGTCGAGACTGTGAAGAAGAAATTGTGTAAACGGTTACTCCTGATCCTATGATATATGTTGGGCTTAAAGGAAGAGTAACAATGCACATATACAATCTCAAACCTAATTTTCAAAAGAAGCATCGTTGTATTCAATGCAAAAATCTTAGTCAATAAGTATGAAACATTCAAAGAATTGCTAAATATCAAATTTTAATTATTAATTAAAAGAACGTACAATATTTGTTCTTGAATATTTTAGAAGAAGAAGATTTTTTTGGAAGATTCTTTTTGAATTTGCAATTTAAACCAATTTATTTACTTCAACTTTATGTGATTTATTCAGAATATGAAATAGGAAAAAGGGATTATTTTTTAGTGAGAAGAAGCTCGAAAAATCCAAATCTTGATCCAAGTTGATAGCGAACGAGAGTAGATATAACTGAGAGATTCGTTTCTTGATTTTAACACTATAAATTTATGCTTTTCGTTACGTATGTTCATTTTCACCCTGCTCACATACACATACTCAGAAAAAGCATACACAATCTCAAGTTTGTACGTGATGAGCGCGGGTACGGCGGATGGATAAAAAGTAATTTTAATATTTCTTTTTTTGTTCTCATTAAAAATCGGTAACAATCAGGGAACAGTAAAATTGACACATACACACAGCAGTTGCGATTCGCGGTGACTTCACGCACACTGCCAACATTACGGCGGATCTCGACTCACTGCTATTTTTCCTCTCTCACTTTTTTTCAACTGTGTTTATCGCTGTCGGTGTAGAGATCATTATTCGGAAATTTGTGCTCAATGTGAGAAGCGACTCGGGATTTTGTGTTGTGTTTTTTTTATTCTTCTGTAAATTAATGAAAAGAAAAAACAAAAAATTAAAGGCAAGAAAAATTGAACAGTGTTTTATTTCTTAACGCGATTTTCATTCGATATTCAATTTTAGAGAATTTAATAAGTAAGAGTTTATAAAAAAATAAAATAATAAAATGAAAGAAAGCATTAATTTGAATTGTGAAAAGTAGAAAAAAAAAAATGTATAGGATATTCTGCAATTATAGCAGAGTTTTGTAGACTCATTAGCTTGAAGGAGGTTGTTGATCACAGCCCATCCTTTCACCACCCGCGCCAATCTACCAATCTAAGTATGTGAGATGTGCGCGGGTGTTTTTCTCATCGTGCTCATTTTTTTCGTTACCGCTCGCGCGAGTCCTTTTCCTTGTGTTGTTTTTCCCGACCAAACCAAGCACAATTAAAAAAAAAGGGCAAAATCGCTCATTTAGTGCGGAAGAGAAGAACAAGTGAGAAAGCTTACAAAAAATATTTTAATAATAATTAGTTTTAATTAGGACGTGAACCGGGAAAGGATTGTGTACGAAAAGCTCGAGATTTCTTGATTAGAAATAAGTGATAATAGATTAAAATCAATTTTCTGAACATTTTGATGATGCAATTAAGATCAAAACACAAGTATTAATCAGTGCTGAAAAAAAAAATCTAGAAAAACTTAGTTAAAATAAATTGTTGAATTTCATTTAATTTTTAATTATTTTCTTTTCTTAAAAATTCCAGCCTACAAAAATTGAATCAAAACACAACAAAAGTTCCATACATTTAATTTAAAAAAATATATAAAGAAAGTTCCACTAAAAATATTGTGAATGCTAAAAAGGAAACAAAAAAAATCTTTTTTTTTGTAAATTATAATATCTATTAAGAAAAAGTGTTTAAAAAATTGTTCCGGAAAATATGCTTAGATTTGTGAATGAATAAACTCAGTGGAACATAAATATTCCTAAAATAAATATAAAACAAAAATTCCTACTAAAAAATTAAGCTGTTTCTGTGCTAAAAATATTCCTATGGATATCTTAAAAAATATTAGTGAAAAGAAAATTTGCCAAAATTGTGATTTTTTTCTGGTTTGAGGAACAAATAAGAAATTTTTACCCTCGAAAGTCCAGAGCATCAAACTCATTTTGAGGATATAATTACACAATTTTCCCACATAAAACGGATATATTAAGGTTTGTTATCATTTACTTGGCCACTTTTACGGATCGGTCAATCACTGTTTCATCGTATTGTCTTCTGTTTTCCACCCTCTTTGTAGTTGATTTATGTGGAAAATCGCCTGTGAAAAATCAAAGAAAATCCCAAGAGAAGTGTGTTAAAATTGTGCGAGAGAGTTTTGTCTTCCATCCCCTCGTAATTATCTTATTTAGCAAAGAGATTTAATTAAGTGCGAAATAAGTGAGCAAAAACAGATATTTAGTGTTATTTAAATGTCATTGGACATCAAGATAAGAAGCTTGGATAAAATTGGCGTAAATTTATAGCAAGACAAGCGGAAAGATTAGTAATAAAATTTATGTCATAAATGCTTCGAAAATTATTTGTTAAACATAAGTGTTAACACGTTTACACGTTTTGTTCATTAATGACACTTAACGTCTCCCTCTAGGTCTCACTTTCGGTCATTTTATGACAGTGCACCTTTCTCTAGATTCCTTGCACTCCCTCAAGAAGAAATTTCGATTAAACTGCCTTGTTTGAAGATAAAATAATAAGATAACAAACACGCATAACTTTTGTATCGTGCGAGTGGTCTTTACGGTGTAACTCTTTGGATCTTTTAGCGGATTAATTTACCTAAGGGCAAAGAATCAGCTGGCTGTTAGACATTATTCAATTCTTTACTTCTTTTCTGCATTTTGTTCGCCTATTTGCATTAGAATGTTCTTTTTAAATCAATGTTGAATTACTAAACAATTCTTTAAAATTAATTAAGGCAAGTAGAGATTCAAGATATCATCAAAAGTTTTGATAATTCCGGGAAATTTATTTCAGTCGAAATATTTCAGAAGACAGGAAACAAAATTAAAAAAAAACATACATCAAGGCGATGATCATTCTTTTTACCTTTCAGTTTGTGCAAAACTCACATACACACACACACACACACACATGCATGAGAACGGGGAAAATGAATCGAGCTAGAAACACCGGGTGGAAGAAATAAAAAGGAGACAAAAGCTACATATTAGAAAAATGAATATTTTTTGCACCTGGACATAATGTCGTGCAAAGTTTCAATTTTAATTTTGCATTTTTCAAGATCTAATCGTCATAAGATCTTTTCGTTTTCAACTTCATGTCTCTTTCTTTACTTTTAATCTTTTTCAGTTCTCAAAACAACAAAAATAAATTCTTAAATGGTATTCTTTAAACCTCTTTGTATCCTTGAATAAGTATTTGAAAATCTAAATTTTAGATGAAACAATTGAACTGATGGAAAGGGGATTCGAAATATAAGTTTCCATTTTGATTAAAGTAAAGGTCTAGGAATTTCGCAAACATAAAATATAATGAGACACGCAAGAATCATCTCCGAAATTTCAAAGCAGGTCAAAAAAATGCGTAGATGAATGAAGTGAAGCAGGAAAAAACTAGTTTCTCAAATGCTTTTGAGGTTCCTTCTTTTGTTTGTTTATAGTTGTAGAATGTTATATGCATAGAAGGGAAAAAAGGTGCTACATAGGTGCACTATGTTCTTTCTTGAATGTGTTCGTTGATGTCCTAAATTACCTGAGGATACGTGCAAAAGACTGATCCAACATACTCTTTTCTTTTAAAAGATGTTTCGACTAAAACGACTATGTGAATTTTTTATATTTAATGAAAGCTTATGAATCGGTGTTGCAGTTAAGACTCAAATTCCTCTTCTTGGTTTTTTCTTTTTTCAAAAATCTGCTTATAGATGAGAATATTTTGTAAACTCTTTGAAGTATGACAGAGTTTGACGATCTTCCATTTGTATTTTATTTCACAAACTAGAACGACTTAAGAACAATAGAATTTCTATGAAACCAGTTTTATTTTTCATAAACGCGCCAAATAGGAAAAATATAATTATCTAGATACATATAGAAAAAAAGGTAGCAGAAAAAAGATTCTTTGGGCTTTTAGGGATTTTTTTTCTTTTGTCTTGCGCCCTTTTCTTTTTTGCTTGTCTTCAATTAAGTTTTTCTTATTATAAATATTGAGAATGAAGAAGCATAATCTCTGCAAAGAAACAGACAAAAGACGATGAAATTTCATTAAGTTTCTCAAAAGAATTGGCTCTACTGAATTGGCAGATGTGACATTTGATTGCTTTAGACATATTAAGAAGCATTGTGAAATCAAAACTAATTAAAACTTCGATACACACAAAGATGAGTCATATGACTGTGTATATTTTTTTCTTCTTAGTCTATTATTTAACAGATTTCTCCAATATTTGCTAAATATTTAAAATATTTTGAATATATAATCACTCACCACCGTCATTTTTAATTTAAAATTTAAAAATAAAAGTTTCAACTCACGCCTCACATCTGCAATAATAAATATGTATCAGAAAGGGTTCTAATAGCATTAAGATTTTTGATTCATTAACATGACAAATATTATTTCCCTTGCAAATAAATACATAATTATATGGTCTCATATTTCCCTGAAAATCATTAAAAATAAAATTTCTAATGAAAGAAAAATAATCTGTTCGCGTCGTTCCCACTCGTTTAAGCTTTCGCTCCATTCAGCGTATGTAATTTGCACAACAGTCGCTTTTTAAAACTTAACAGTCAGACATCATTGCAGAACATCGTTGAAATTGCCGAAATTATAACTCTCTTCTCGAACGTTAAATATTTATTCGAGCTAAAACGTTTCTAACAAAATTTTCCAATATCATGAAAGTATTTTAATTCATTTTTAATTCATTTAAATTGATTATAATTGGCATTTTGTGGCTGTGCTTGATTGCTGTGTTAAGGGGTAAGGTTCGAAATTGGATCATGAGTGATTTAATTGAAACACCCAAAAAAGTATTTTTTTTTGTTTCTGACAGAAATGAAAAGAATTTCAAATTTCAAATTTCTATCCTCACTCTGATTCTGATATGAATTTTTAATTTCTTTAATGTCTCATTTTTAAAAAGACAAAAAATGTAAATGTAACAATCGAACAGAGTTGTGCGTGAGTGTTTGTATAATTATAATAAGACTCGATCCATACTCGAAAATGTTTAATGGTCAAAATGGAAAACAAGAAATCAGAGAATAATTTTGAACAATTATCCAGCAAGTAACGTTGTTAAACTCTCGTCATGCGTATGTGTGTGGATCAGCTTTAAAATAAAACCTCATCACTCCAAATAATAACAACACAGACAACTCTGAGGGCAACAGCGACGAAAAATGTATAATTTCGTACACCTGGGTTGATTTTTTTCTGTTGCTGTGTTGTTTCACTTCTTTACTCAATGGGATTTTTATGAATTGTTGTTGTTGATGTTGTTGTTGGTGATGCTTTTATGAATTCTGCTTTTTCGAAAATACTTCTGCTGTTTTGTGAAACAAATGTGCTGCTTTTATGAATCTCTTCTTCATCTGATCTTTTTGACGATTTACAATGTGAATATTTCAGGTAGCGACTGAAAATGAGGGAGGGCCGTGAATGATCCTGAATTGCTACTTACAGAATAGATTAAGATTTGAGTTCGGATGTCTGATGAATCGCTTTCGCAAAAGCATCAATATATTTTCTTAAACTTCATCATGAAGATTGTTCACAGATGATTCAAGATTTAAAAGAAAGAAAAAAATCATTCAATCGACTCATATATGCATTTTATTCTTCAACACCTTTACGTCATACGACATCATCAAGTAACCAAAAGAGGAAAGAAAAAAAACAATAAAAAATAATGTTCACGAGTAAAATCGGTTAAACAAGAAACAGAAAAATTCCTAAGAATGTTTCACGGTTAACACCGATACCAAGAGAGGCGAAAAAATTGTTCTTCACAAAGATTCTGGAAGATGATTGATGCTTTTGTCTCTTCTCTTTTCGTCTTCTCCTCTCCTCGTCTCGTTTATTAATATGCTTATCTCGTCAGACTCATCAACAGCTTTTTTTTATTTTCGGGTGATCGTCTATTAAACACATTACTCAAATACACACGAAACTTGTATTCAAGCGAAGACGATAGAGAAGGCGAAACTCGAGAAATCTGAGAAATTTCATTGGAAATGAAAATCAATTAAAAATTATTAATTATCTCGTCCCGATTTCTCGAGAACGTTTTCTGATTTCTATTGCCATTGTTCGGAGATCGACAATTTTTTCTCCATCATCATACAACAAACACTTCAGAATTTCCAATTTTTCCTTCATCGTACTACTCACATCTCGAAATTCAATTTGAATTGTTTATTTTTTTCTTCATCTTTCTACTCGTTGAGGTTGAAAACATAATAAATTAATTCTGTAATTGAATTTTATATTCGTATTCTTCTCCAATTTCTTGAATTGCACGAACTTAACAATAAGCCAAAAATTTCTAATGCCATCATTTAAAGCATAAAAATGAGAATTCAAAGTATTTCACCAACAAAATATTTATTTCCATAAGAACAAATCATTTATGTCAAAAGCAACATTTCATAAAACTACATTAAAAAAAATCTCCATTTGATCAACAATTAAATATGTGATTGTAAAAAATTTCAATGTATCAAATTGTAATTGTAAAAATGGCGAAAACACGTTCGCGTAGTTTGTCCACTTTAGTTATGGTCATCGGCCTAATTAAAAATCTATATCTATTACTTTCAATGTAAGATTGTACTTCAAACTTCTTAACTGATGGCCAAAATGAAGAATTAACACTTCATACTTTCCTTTCTTCTTAGTATCTATTTTGTATTTTCATGTAGTGCTGTGTGATTGATGTCTTTTTTCACTTCTTCGATTTTTATACTTTTGATTCAAAGTATGCTTATGCTTGGCTCACGTGGAGCTCTCGCATTTTTCCCTCCCGCTTTTTTTAATGCTGCCTTCATTGATTTCTAGTTTGTTTTTTAAAAAAAATCGGGTCCTAGACAGCGACAGAACTAGTTCCAAATGAGCTTTGAACTTTATTCAATTCTTTATTCTGCGAAGGTATATTCGTTATGTGTTGTGTTAAGAAAGCGGGCAAAAGCATCGAGAATCTTAAAATTCAAACACATATATATTTCTGTCTTTAACCTTTTGATTGATTTTCAATTAAATAAAAACCATAGAGAAACATGAGAAGCAAAAAAAAGAAAAAGGAATTCTTGAATCGGTAAATTCCCAAAGCGGCGACGATAGTGAATTAAACACAGAAGAAAAGCAACAACGCTCTTCTATGATTTCTTTCTCCGGGTCTTTTTGGGTGGTCGATTTATAACTTAAAAAGTTTAAGCTTTAGAAAAAGCAAGATATGCGTATTAAAATGATGAATAAATATTGTAGATATGAATATCGTTCCACACCCTGACAGTTATTTTAAACAAGCATCAAAAAATCAGAATGAATATTTTTAATTGGTTGACTAATTGGGATCAATTGAGAAGTATTAATTTCAATTTTCACGTACACTTCGATCTTGCTAAATTCCATGATGAAATGCACTCTTGAAATATTCCATTCAATGTCAATGGCTAGAAGAAGTTAAACAGGAGGCTTTAACTATCAAACAACAAAGCGACTACAAATGGAACAACCAACAAAACGTTGAAAGTCGACGACGATAAAAAAAACGATTTAATTCAGCACAGAAAAACACTTTTTCCCATTGATTTCCTTTATGCTTTGCAACCCGTAAAAAAATAAAAATAAAACGGCGAGCGTGAAGGAAAAAGGTCAGTGTCCAGTGAGATGGGGGAGTTTACTAAATGTGTGTGAGTGTGTAAAAAATGTCTAAAAGGAAGATTGAAGGTTTTATTTTTCTTTTCATTTTCTGTCCCATTTTCAACATACATTTATTGTTGACGGGGTGCACTACATTCTCTCCTTTCGTAATCAAACTTGACATTGGTAATTTTTTTTTATTAACAAATGAAATTAATATTTTGCATAAACATTATGTACAAAGTTTCTCATATCTTTAAAACTATGCTACTTACCTACAAAAACTAAAACTGCTTTTCCTATCTTCAGATAGTAGGAAAAAAAACTTTTCGTATTTTTTTTTCGTTTTCTTTGAAATGGTTAATTCATTAGAAAATTACATCCGATCGGTAATTTCTCCTACTTCGTTGTTGCTCTCCCGAAACCAAAGCTCTGAGTTAATTATAATTAGTCATGCGATGTCGAATGAAAATAATAAAAAAATCTCAGTTGAGACACAAAAAAATGAAATGAAATGAATGGTTTACAATGTTGAATGGTAGCCGGTTGAGGGAAATTAAAAACGAAGGTTTAATTGCTTTTTTCGTCATCAAAAATCAAGAAAAATACAATGAACTGATGAAGGGGGAAAACTAATTAGCTGCATAATTATTGACTTTATGGGACTGTGATGTCACGCGGGATTCATGAAACGTGTAATGTGAATCGATATTATATCGATAAATTCGCCAAATAAAAGAAAAACAAAACCTAAAATCAAATGAGAGGGTGGAGAACGATGAACAGTAGGAAAAATATTATTAATAGAGCACAGCTCGGTGACTACAGAACGAAAAACAATAAACAACAACTTTACCGCGCTCGAGTCTCCCTCGTTTCGTGGGAGTAAAAAGTTTGTTCAATAAACTATTTTGTAGCTTTTCTTTCTTCTTTTAATATTCACTTGGACGGGAATGGGAAAAGATTTGGGGTATTCCTTGTTCTAATGCTTTTATTTCAGTCAGAACTAAACTGCCACCTTCCCCCGGCCGCCATTCATGTCATTAATTTCTGAAAGGCAACAAAACTGTAATTATAACTAAACCAAAAAGTATCAAAGTTAATGAAAGTAATAAAAGAAACCCGTGAATTAAGTGTCACAAGACAAATGAACTTTTATGTATAGTTTTGTCTACATTCGAAATTGATTTTTGTTTTTCACTTTTTTATTCCATTTCCAGACTTCTACTTTTGTTTCGTGAATATTAATGAACAATTTTGTTCGATTTATGATTATCATGATTTTTTTGAAATCAGAATGGTTAATTGTAATTAGATAGTCATGCGACATGATGTTTAATGATGATGAGTTTTCACACATATACTTATGTTATGTAGATTACTGTTAATTACAAACAAGGCTAAGTCGCATGAATTGTCTTTTTTCAGTTTTAATAATCCAAAATAAAAACAAAACAATTCAATTGAATGCATAAAATGTTATCTCATTAAATATAAAAAGATAATTTCTATCTAGAATACAATCACTCAGTAAATAGCTGAAGCACTTCTTAGTATGAGTAGAGATTTGCAATAATCGAGATCATCGCACGAAACGCCTAAAGGCGACGAAAAACGTTCTAAATGCAATCAACATTTCGCCTCCTCTCAATTTTCTTCTTTTCCTTTTCTCGTCTTTCTTCTCTTGTGCAAGAAAATTCTTTCTTTCAATTGGCTAATTAAAAACATCGAATCAGGGATATGGGATTACAAGCATTGAGAGTTGAAATGGAAAAAATCTGATATTTTTTTATCAATAAGATTTATATTGGTTTAGTGTAAGTGAATATTATTAACTCGAAGAATATGAAAGGAAAGAAAAGAAAATATTTGATAATAATGAATATTATAATAATATGATTATGATGTATAATTTCTATTTCTTCAAAAATATATTTAAAAAATATATTAAAAGTTAAAGAAAAAGTCTGGAAAAAAGCCGCTTTTAAACAATTTTACGAAAATTTATCATTTACTTATTTGATTATCATTCAAGATACAACCACAGCAAGTTTATTTTGATTTCTTTGAAATTATTTATTTATAAAAAAATCTTTTAAAGGTTCTTATTTCACCTTTCTGTTCATCCCACAACTTTAACTTTGAAACTCAAATTGACAGTTTTTTCCGCTTCATGTTTTCATCCTTGCTTAAATCAAATTTTCAATTTCCCCGAAAAGCTGAAACAAAACACATAAAAAACAAGCTTTTCCTTTGGTTTCCGCTATCTTGTCATTGCCAATTAAGCTTAGATCCGTTTGAAAAAAAGGAACAAACTAATGGAAAATATTAAGCCTTTTTGTATGTTAAAAGAAAGATTTGAAAATAAGAAAAGAATTTTCCTCCATTACAATTTTTCTCTCATCTTACCAGAGACCGAATTGTTTTAATTATTTCTCATTGGATGCCTGCCAAACGTTATTTTTCTCCTGAAGTAGATGAGAAAACAAATGGAAATGAAAGGAAAAATCTTTTCCACCCTTTTCTTCGTTTCGCTTAATGAAATTGCTCATTTTCCCCAGGATGATGTTGATCTCGGTTACAAGGAAAATCAGCAGAGGGGGAACAGAAATTACATTAAACACACAAAAAAGAGAAGAGACATTTTTGTGCAAAAATTAATAATCACCCGCGCATGAGAGATCTTGATGATGAAATCTTCTCTTTGCGGTGTTCATACTTTTAACATATATGAATGTATATGGTATGAGTATAAGTGTGTATGTGTGCTTTGTGTGTATGTAGAATAATATATAAGTATTTTTAAGTGACTGTATGTTCTTGAGTGTTTTAGCAATTTTCACTCCCTTTCTACTTCCCATTTTCTCCCCAAAATTATTCCAAATAACAATCTTTTCATCCTCTCTCTCTCTCCCTCTCTCTGCAATTTCCGCCAATCATCATTTAAGGATTTTTCATCTCGACAATTTTCAGTTTCCCACATGAAAGGCAGTAAAATTTCTTTTTGTTACATTCAAATTATAATGAATTATAATATATCATAAAAATAAAAGAATATTAAACTTTATCCAATCTATTTTTATAATTGAAAAGCGAGAGAAAATCATGAACGAGTTCATTTTTTAGTTAGCTTAATGCGATTTCTTGTAACTCTTCTCGAATTGTCTGATGAGTTTTTCATCGAATCACCAACATGAAAAAATGATATGGAAAAACAGAAAAGAAATCGACTCACTTCTTCATCATTCCCTTTCCTTAGACTTTCACTCTTCTTCCTTTTTTTTGAAAGGCGAATGAATGAGTGGAACGTATGATTCCTCAAGGGAAGTTGATGTTTTAAGGATCTTTGGAATGAGTTTGGGAGAAATGAAAAGGAATGGGGCTAAGATGGGGTGTACATAAAGAGAGTGCTGAAGCAACTACAGTTTGAGGTGATTTTAATGCGCATGTGAAAAATCGTCGACGAAAGATGTAATATATTTTGCAGAGCTTCTTTCTTCTTATAAGAATCAACAAAAAGAAGAAAAAAGAGTCGTAAGAAAAAGTTTAGAATTTTCATTTAAATATTCACCTAATCAAACATGTCGGACTTAAAAATGTTCGATTACTTCGTCTTTAACGCTTTATTTGTAATGACAATAATGATGAGAAGAAGTTAATTTGGAAATGTTCAGTTCTCGACTTATTAGGAAACATCTACTTATGTTCAATAATAATATAACTTAATGAGGTGTTAGACAAGTTTTTTGACTGACTTTAAAGAAAGAAGGTAAAAAAAAACATTCGGAAGCACTTATTAATTAATCTGGCTCCGAAATTCTTTCACGCATCACACTACTAGCTTCCAGAGAAGAATCTATCGTACAAACTGTGTTAATCACTTCATTAAATAAGAACCAACTCGCATCAACAACACTTTCAATACAGCTCACATCTTTTATCATCATGTTAAATATAAAGTTTCTCTTAATGAAATCAAACAGAGGAAAAAAATGTTAGGTTGAGTTTGATTTGAACACTGTTGTGCTAAGTGGATGAGCCAAATTCGTAGCAAGCGTGCTGACACTAAAACCGAGGAAGAAAACTAACTCTACTTAACTAGATAGTCATAAACACTCAATTTCCTTCTAATATTTGCTTCTGCTTCTAGTGTTTGTCGATGTCTCGACGATCGACCATAATGTTTACTTTTTATGATCGCGTCGACAATTCCCTTGAAAGAAATCTTGAAAAAAATCAAGCTTAGCGCCATTTAACTCATCTTAACAGTAGATATGTAGACACTTAAACATTCAAATCGAAGCTCACTGACTGACAAGTTGAAACTGTGACCAATAATTGCTTTTATGACTTCAACCATCCCCATACTAACTGCTTATTAAAACTGTTGATTTTTCAGGCTACTTAACGTAAATTGTTTTCTGTAATTTACACACGCAAAGGTCGAAAGAAATGTGTATGATGAATTAGCCGTGGATGCTGTGCCAACATGGTGTGGTCACGGTTCATTTCACGCAATGTAATGGGAATTGAAATAGTTTCAAACGCAACAAATCGGACGATGACAGAAAGAAATGTCGAAACGTGTTCAATTCAACGCTGAAGAGATTGGAACTTACATACATGTGATGTTCTGTTTTAAAAGACTTGCTTTTATTTTCTCTTTATGAGTCTTCTAAATGTTTCTAACAACATTTATGTGTAGTTGATAGAATAAGAAAACTTCACAATTCAATTCGAAGCATGAACGAGCGAAAACATTCGTAATGAAAAATTCCAAAGCACTGGTAAAGTTCACCGTCGCTCGCGATCGTCAAAAATTGTTTCGTTTTCCTTCTTTTTCTCTTTTATTTTGTTGCTTGTCTCTGTTCACGTATTGCGTAAAATAAGCAGAGACAAGAAAGAGACAGAATCAGAGTTTAATGTGATCAGAATATTAACTTTTCATAATGCTTTCCTGTGCATGAATATGTGAAAATAAACTAAATAAGCCAGCCAGAGATGATTGTTTGAGACGCGTTTTGAAGTCTTTTATTTAAGTGGTGTGGAGTGGATTCAAATTCTCCTCTGCCTAAAGATCCAAGAAGAGTTCATTTCATATCAAAGTTTCTTTATCTCAAAGGTCAAACTCAAGTGTTTCTTTTTCTTATATCGTAAATAAATGTTTTCAACATATTTTCGGTGATTTCAAGAAAGCAACAAAGCGATAAAATTTCCACAAAGTATTCCAAAAATTAATTGGTGTCCCGAGAGAAAACTTGAAGATTAACCGGAATTGATTAGTTTTAATTACTTTGTCCGCGACAAATTAGTCGAAAAGAGAGAAAGAAATAATTTTAATTTTCGACAAGGTTTTCTTTCTACCATTCAGTTCACGATTCTTTTGTGGGCTCGACGATGGAACTTGAATGATTAATTTAAGTCTTTTTTTTTGAGCGAATTCTTTGGTGTTTTCTTCATTCAATTCAATTAAAATTTGCGCAACACATTTTTAGTTACCAACTTAGTTTGCTTACTTAGGTAGCTTGGGTAGTTAAAAGAAAGTTTCATATGCGAAATATTACTTTTTCCCCTGTTTTGCAATTAAAAGTGTTCTTGGAAAAAGAAATCACGGATTCTCGTTTATTTATGAAATTTATTGCCTTGTCGGCATCTTATGTCTCTCGGTGCCCCGTTGGGCTTCGCTCCGCTTTTAGTGTCCCATTGTTTTGAATTTCATTTTCATTCGGCTAAAATTTTCTTTGTTCTCTTCTCTCTTTTCCCGAGTTTAAAAAAATATTTTTTCATCTTTGTCCGCTGAGTAGAAGAACGGAAAAATTAAGAATTGCGTTTATTTAATAAACCAAAAAATATATAAAAAATTGTCCTCGAAAATGCAAGCGATTGTTCCATTCATGAATTAAAAGCTGCAAAATATATTAAGCGGCAGCAGCGAGAAGATGAAGATTCAATGAGAAGGGCGAACGAGATAATGAGCTTGGGATAAAGTCAAAAACAAAATGTTGAAAGGAGACAACATAAAAAGTTCTTAAAATAAAAGCGACAAAAGACAAAAAAAAGATTCTGAAACATTGGAAAACATTCGTTTTTGATATTTTTGTTTTGGTTTTTATTTTATTTCTAAAGCTTTTTATTCTCATCTGCGTTTTTGTTCGAAAGAAAAATATAACGCCAAAGGTTCGTGAAAAGAATTTCACACAAAGGAATTAAAATAAAAAAAGAATATTTTTATACATATTTCGTTTCTTTTTTGTTTCTTTATCACTTCTTTACTCTTTTTTCATTGTTTGCGAAGTGAAATGAAGCTAAATAAAGAATTCAAATAAGAATGTTTTACTATTTCCTAAGAAATGAGAAACTGCCGAAAACTCCTTATTATCAGCATAAGTAAATTTAATTTTTTCTTATTGCTTTAAATATTATAAATTATAAAGAAGCTGAAAAATTTCCATCGTCAATTATTGTCTTTAAGTGTATGTTTGTATATGGAATTTGTCATCCAATCACCATTTCATGACCATTTTTAAATCGATGTTCAAAATGCGAAAATCCACCCCGAAATATTAGCATTGACAACAGCGAATGAGAATTTCTTTTCATATGATTGCACATTTATCGCTTATTTTTCTTTCTTGCAATGATTTTGTTGCTTTTCGATTCGAAACCAAATAAATTTCTTTTTAACTTTAAAGACGAATGTGACACCGTAAATGGAGATTTTTTAAGAAGACAAGAAATGAAATTAAAAGAATAAATAAGAAAATATGAAAGAAAATTCATTAATAATTCATTAAAACAACAATTAAAAGAGACATTGCGAATATATCTAAGAAGGGGAAAAAAGAAACAGTGAATTGCCGACTTTAACATTAATCTTGTAGTAATTTTTAATAATTATTTATCCCTCTGTTTACTTTTTAGAATGTTATACTGACCCTAATCGTGTCAACCGCCACGGAGTCGATTCAGTTCGACGGCCGAGCTGTGTCGCTCGGCTCTGGGGCATCTACATTACATGTCCCAACGTCACCATCAACATCACCGGCTCAAGCTCCGTCAACGACTTCGCCAACCGACATCAATTTGAATGTGGTAAGGAGCTCATCGCCAACCTCGCAAAGTTCTTCGCCATCACGGTCACAAACACAAATTGACACAATTTCACCTTCAACAACAGAAAAACAATCCACAGACGATGGACCAGATATCAAAAGCATAACACAATTGCTACAACAATCAGCACAACACATATTCAAATCGCAATTGGATATGCCACCGCCAACATCCCCCACAACGGCACCATCACCAAGAAAACGGAGACGAAAGCGTGAAGATCCACAATCCTGTCTCACAAACTCGGAGGTAAGAATTAATGAAAGACCGACCATGAGAGACAAGTTTCGTTTGTCGTCTCCTCGAGATTTATTCTTATCATCATTATCTTAATGAACATCAATTTACTAATTCATTCTCACCAGATCACTTCCCATTTAAGTATCCAATCGTGCATGATAACAAAAGAAGAAAATGTGAAGATCTCTTTTTATTCTTTTCATGATCTCAAGCATTGATTTATTCATTAACTTTAATTTAATCTACATTAATTTAACTAAGTATTCATCGCCCGGTTTTCGCTTCTAATGGCAGTAAATACTCGTACTCGGATGAACTGCTTTTTTCTTTCTTTCTTTCTTTCTTTCTCTTCATGTTTAAAATAAACTTCATAATTTTAACAACGCACTGATGCGTTTAACTAAAGTGGAATGTTTCATTGGATAATTGTCTTCTTAAAGGGTGGGGAAGACTACGACGTGTGGGGAGATACATATACATAGATTTCTACATAGATATATGTTTATGTAGAAAACAAAAAAAATTCCATAAATTTTCATTTATCACATGTGTACGTAATTAACAACTACTTTAAACTAATTGAAAGGTTGTTTTATTTGTCAAAAGCGTTAAGTCGGAATGTTTGTGTCTCTACATTTTACATACATACTTCTTTCTCACTCTCTCTTTGATTTAATTAAATCACTGGCCGGATGTGTCACTTACTTATATCTCCCCATAAAAACTCATCGAAGAAGCAAATGAAATGAAATGAAATGAAAAAACATCCAATGACGATTGTAGATATTATCCATTTGACCAACCAATAAACATTTGTGAATGCTAAATCACAATCATTAACTCTCCTCTATCTCGCTCCCCCTATTAATATCAATTAAACTAATTTACAAATAAAATACCATGCTGAATGAGCAACGAGATTGCTGTAGAATGAGGGAAGAGTGAGGGATTTGCTGAGTACTTATAGTGATTTTACGAGTTAACAACCTGCGAATGTCTTCGTTTATGTATCTATGCTTATATCAGGAAATTAACTGAATTGTCAACGCAGAAAAGTTGAAATATTCTCTAATAATATCAATAATCAAAAAATTAAAAAATGTATTTTAATAAGCAAATAAATGAAACGACGCATAGCGAAATGAAAAAATAAATATAAAATCATCACATGATGATGATGTTAATAGAACTTTATGGAAATATTTTATTTTTCTACACGTTTCTAAACTTGTTTGATTAACAAAATAATAAAACTTTTCAGTATCCTGGGTTATCTCTTTCACTCAACTTAGATATGTACAGTTTTAATGTTCGTCACTTTAATGACTGTTTAATTAACCAATAAATGAAACGCAAAAGTTTAAAAATGTTAATATTGTAGAATTATATACATACCCACACGAAGAACTGATCAGATAATAAGTTAAACCTACAAATAAATTATGAGAATCGCACAACGCTACCTAGTCATTTAAGCTTCATATTTACTTTCATATTTGAGTTCTCGAACGAACATTATTTATAGTTATAATATTAAAATTAGAAACAAGGCTATTTATGCATCAATTTATAAAATTTACTACGACGAAAGATTTTCGATTTCATTTTTTCAAATCTTCTCATTTCAGCAGGAATACGATTCTGACGATGCCTCTCCATCATCATACGCTGAAGTTGAGCGATTTCAAGGCAAAGTTGTTTATAATTTAGATGGTAAGGCATACATTATAGATGCCGACAACGAGCTATCACTTCAACTGTCTGATAGTAGTATTAAAGGTATTTAATTATTCCGAATTTCATTCTCTCTTTCAAAACATTTATCCGAGACTTCATTTTATATTTTATTTATCATCCTACAGATGTATCACAATCAAACAATCCAAAAATTCAATCATTTCGTGTCATTTCTTCGCGCGATGCCACTATGAACTCATCTTCTTCCTCCCAGTCATCGGTTGGTGCTTCGGCTTCATTTACTGCCGAAGATGCATCACCAACTACGACACCATCGCTTGAACAACAACAACAACAGCAGCAGCATTCAGACGAGAAAAATTTTGACAAAAATGACAACAGCAGTCAGCATCAACAACAACTTCAACGTCAACAGAAGCCGATTCTCATGTGTTTCATTTGCAAGTTGAGTTTCGGAAATATTAAGTTGTTTTCATCACATGCTAACACTGAACATAGATTGAATCTCAGTGAGTCAGAAAAGACGTTGCTGTGTCGCGAGTATTCGTCGGCAATCATTCAGAAAAACAGCGACGAAAACTCACAAATATCATTTCTCGAGCCTCTTGATGCAACGATGGCTAAAACAACAGCGATGGCTACATCGCCGTTTGATATCAGTAAAAGTAATTTAAATGATAGTGTTAATGATAACAATGATAATAATAATAATAGTAATAATAATCATGATGACGGTACTGAGAATGATGACGAGCCCGATCTAACGGCTGTTAAAACAGATATCAATAAGGAAGCTCAAGACGAGCATCAGCCGAGATTAACGCCAAAATCTTTGTCGTCACTTACCGGTCGCACATCACCGCCCCCGCCACCCGCACTCAATGTTCTTCAGCGTTTGACGGGTGGTGACTTTAAGTTCCTAAACACGTCAGCTGATTTGTCACAGCTCACAAGTCTTCTTGAGCAGCACAAGTCACTGAACGAGTTCCTCGCACAACAACAACAACATCAACAGCAACAACAACATCAGCAACGTCTAGCGTGTCCCGAACATGCAGACACACCTAATCTCAACGACATCGACTGCAAAAATTGTGAATTTTTAAACATTAATCAATTAAATTCACAACTCACCCTTAAATCACCGATCAAAGGTAGTTTCGGCCAACATCAGACGGAATCAAATGCTTCATCAACCTCATCGAAGACATCTTCACCGATAACTTCTTCCGTCACACCAAACTCTGCTCTTCAACTTCACCAAAACCTTCAACAACAACAACAACAGCAACAAAATATAAATACATCTCCAAGTTTCACTATCGGGGCTTGTCCCGATCATATGAATGGGCGACCCATTGGAGTCGATTGTGCAAGGTTCGCTTTTTGTTGTTTATCAATGTTGCTTTAAATTTTAATTCTTAATTTCAATAATTAGGTGTGAAATTCTTCTAAACTCTGCACGTCTCAACAGTGGTGTTCAAATATCAACCAGAAACTCCTGCAAGACTCTTAAATGTCCCCAATGCAATTGGCATTACAAGTATCAAGAGACATTAGAAATACATATGCGCGAAAAACATCCAGATGGTGAGAGTGCATGTGGCTACTGTCTGGCTGGTGAGTTTTCATTTATCATCTCAATGCATGATTCTTTAATTCATAATTTCATTCAGGTGCTGCCCACCCACGCCTAGCACGTGGAGAGTCTTACACATGTGGCTATAAACCATATCGCTGTGAAATTTGCAACTATTCAACGACCACAAAAGGCAATCTCTCTATTCACATGCAAAGTGATAAGCATTTGAATAATGTACAGGAACTGAGCAGTACACAGAACCTTGTAAGTTAAAATTTGAATTTATATATAAGAGAAGTTTCCATTGTTGGAATCGGTTCTGATCTCTGGTTTTAAGAAAATGACACTAAGTTTTCATTCCCTTTCTCGTCTATTAGAGCGTCGCACCACCGCCAGAAATTCGCACATCTCAACCACCTAGTCAAACAACTCCAGTATCTGCCCCATCAACACCACTGCCACAGCAATGTAAACCAAAACCGAAGCCGAGTTTCCGCTGTGAGCCATGTTCATATGAAACTCCAAATGCGCGTAATTATCGTATCCACGAAACAAGCGAAAAGCACACGCACAATCTTGCTGTTGTTCAGTGCAATATCAAACGACTGCAATCACATATGGATTCATTCCTTCAGCAGACTCATTCTGGAGTCAAAGGTGGAATGGCTCAAATACCGTCAATGGAACAACAAGCACAACAAAATCCGGGCCATTTACCTGGCGCTGCTTTGGCTGATCTTGCTTACAATCAAGCACTACTTATTCAGCTTCTTCATCAGAATTCTGTTGGATTAGGTAGCACAACTGGTCCCGCATTCATGTCACTATTACAACAACAGCAGCAACAACAACAAGCGCAGACTAATCAACAAAGTCAACTTCATTATCAACAAATTAATGGAACGAACAACCAAGATATTGATCAAGGTTTGAATCCTGACACTCTTGAGCCACCCTTCGAACAAGATTTCAACCCAGTGTATAATTTCTCATGTCTCATTTGCTCAAATTTCAATACAAACGACCTCGAAGAGTTGAACAACCACATCAATGAGGATCGATCGAGACTGAGCTTCCCTCAGGAATTTATTGTGGTTCTGAATAACAACAACTACACATGTCGATTATGTTGTTACAAAACTCATCTGAAGGCAAATTGTCAACTTCATTGTAAAACCGACAAACATTTACAAAGAGTCAACTTCGCTAATCACATTAAGCAAGGTAAGTAATAACTTTATTACATGATTGATGAGTTCTAATGTTTTAATGTTTTAATTAGGCGGGCTAAGAAACGAATATAAATTTGATTACGTCATTAACTCAACAACGACAAATAACAATTACAATATTACGCAATTGAAGTGTAATTGCTGCGATTATTACACAAATTCTATTCAGAAGCTTAATTGTCATATCCAAAATGTTCGCCATGAAAGCATGAAAATAAAGTTTAATCATCTCGTACAATTGTTTAAAGAAGTAAAGTTTGAATCGATTGATGGTCAGGATATCAATAATAAAGCATTGCAATGTCAGCTGTGCAATTTCAAGACAAACAGCATACTTGACATGGTAAAGCACAACAAAAGCTTACGTCATATTCAAATCGAACAAATTTACTGTCTTCAGAGGCGATGTGAGAGTTTGGAGTCAATGGATATTGGAGATGTTTATCAGCTTGTTGACGGTGAGTTTAAGTTGGCAATTAAATGTCTGTTTTGATGGTTGAATAACTAAAATTATGTCAAAGTAAAGTCACAGAAAATTTTTCATTTTTTTCATTAATCCATCATAAAATTGACAAACATGTAGATGGCAGAAAAACTTTTTGATGAGACGTTCTATCAAAGTTTTTCTTGCATTTTATTGCTTGCTTACTTATCAAATGAAAGGAGATAATAAAGAATCAAAAGTTAAAGAAAGTTCTTCACTTTACGAAACAACTTTTTTCATCCAATTAAACTTTTCTGATTGCTTTCATTTTATTTTCATCTCCAACAGATCTCGATTCATCTTGTTCTGATTATCAGAAAGAAGACGAAAAGCCAAATCTTTCGCCATCATCACGAAACGCACCACAGAATGCTAAATCGACTCAAAAAATACCGGAAAATGATGGATTGTCAATAAGGTCATCGACACCATTAGATATTCTTAAGATGGTTCCATTTGAACAGCTTCAGCAACTAGCTGCAACACTCCCACCATCACAAACGATTCTTAAGTGCAACCAGTGTGATCATTTGTGTGAAAATAAAGTTGAAATGGAACAGCATTTCGATCAAAATCATCCCAACAATCCGGATTGCAATTCGATTGTGCTTCCTTCGATGGCAGCTTTAATGGCTGCTGCACAAATGAACTTTGAACCAAAGACAGATCAGATCAAAAGTGATGACAAATCAGATGATTTGACTGACAAAATGCTCGATGATTCTGATAAATCAAAGCAAAATTGTGACACCGATGTAATGACAATTGAACCGGATATTGATGGTGTCATTATTAATAATTCATCTCGATCTTCTTCCGCTGTCTCGATGCTGGAAGGCGATGAGAAAATCTCCACAGGAGCAATGCGAACAACACCACAAAACCAGCAAATGCAGAAGTCTTCACCTTTCTCAACTTCGTCAGTTACTGCTGATGAATATAGCATCATGTGTCCACTTTGTCAAGAATCATTTGTTGAAAGAAAAGCTTTGGAACAACATGTCATGTGCATCCATAGTGTCAATGCTGATGGTCTCAATCGACTGCTTCAGCTTGTTGACACGAGTCATTGGCTCAACAACAAGAAAAGTCCAGAAAGAAGCGCTTCAACTGGTGCCGTCTCGAATGGGGATTTTGAATGTTTAGTTTGTTCCGACACACTTAAGAACATGAACGATCTACTGATGCACGCAACTGACCACCAACATTTTTCCATTACTGGTCTAAATCAATTCAGTTGCTTGTTGAAATCGTGTCATCAAAGATTCTCAAATGAACAACAAGTTCAACAACATTTCCGTTCTGCACATCTCAATATCGTGATTAGCGAACGACATGTTTATAAATATCGATGTCCAATGTGTCCACTTGCATTTAAAACTGAAGAGAAGCTTAACAATCACTTCATGTATCATACAATGAGAGACGCAACAAAATGCAATATTTGTAATCGTAATTTTCGCTCAACAACATCTCTTCAACGTCATATCGAACAAGTTCATTCAACACCTGCTCAAGACTTAAATAAGTCAACCGATCTAACTGATGATGAAAGAATGCAAACGCCACATGATGAAGCTTTATCAAATGATGACGATCAAGAAGAGTACGATGGTCAAAATAGTGAAAATATTAACGAAGAGTCGAATGCGAAGAGATTTAAAGCAATGAAGCGGAATGAGAAGATAACAAATTACTCATTGGAGAAATATCACGATCCGAATCGACCGTATAAATGTGAAGATTGCTTTGAAAGCTTCACACAAGCCAACATTTTAACAGTCCACAAGAATAGCGTTTCGCATTTACATCGTGTAAAGCAAAAGCAAAAAGAGACACACAGTGGAAGTTCAACTCCCGCTTTAGCCACGTCGCCAAATCAACTTGGCGACTTTGATCGACGATCTGTTGATTTCGATAAGAAATCGATTGATTACGAGATGGAAATTTCAAACACAACTGGAGATTCAAATAAGCGGAAATTATCATCAGACAATGATTATGACAGTCCGAAGAAACGTTTCAAATGTGACATTTGTAAAGTTGCTTATGCTCAAGGATCTACTCTTGACATTCATATGAGAAGTGTTGGTCATCAGGCAAAGGCCAATCGCATCATGCAGCAACAGTTGCAACAAGGTTCGTCGACATCAACGACAGCAAATTCTCAGGATCTCTTGCAACAAGCACAAGTGACGGTGAACAACGGAAACAGTTCTCCAAACCTTGCCAATAATCAAATGTACAAAACGTTGCTAGAAAACTTTGGTTTTGATATTGTTAAGCAATTCAACGATATTAATAAGTTGGGACAACAGAATGATTTGTTGAACTTGGGTGCAGCTGTAGGGAAAGTTCCGCAAATCACACCGAATTTGTTATCAAAGAAGAATGGAAATAATGATGAAAAGAAGGATGAAAAGAAGGATGAAAAGTTTTTCTGTCGTCACTGCAAACAAGGCTTCAATAATGTGTTTGCATTGAAGACTCATTGTGAAGAAGCTCATGGTGAGAAAATTCCACTTGAGATGCTGGAGAAAGAACAAGAAAGTGAAGTTCTCGATTTCTCACAAACAAAGTCAAGTGCTGACAGTGAACATCCTGAAAACATGCCAATGGTCGATCCAATGAAACTTTTCAATCCTGAATTACTTCAGCAAAAAATGAACGAACAAAAGTTTGACCCTGCAATGCTTGCACAAAGATTGATGGAGCAACAATTTCTCGCACAATTTCCTCAAATTTCTCAGAGTTTGCAGAATCTAACGACGGGAAATTTACCGATGAATACTCTTGAGATGCTTAATTTGATGCAATTTCATCACTTTATGTCGTTGAATTTCATGAATTTAGCGCCTCCATTAATTTTTGGGGGTGGTCAACAAGGAAGCAATCTTTTGTCTGCCGGACCTACTGCCGTGAATCCAATCTTGCCAGCTCCTAAACCAGTGTCAGAATCAGCATCTCCTGCTGCATCATCGGTTGCCCCAGCTTTATCTCTTCTTCAACAGCAACAACAACAGCAGCAACAGCAACAACAGGCGACTGCTAATCAACTTCAAGCACAAGTAAAACATAAAGGAAAAGACAAGTGGAATATTGATGTTAATGACGATATTTCACTCTTCCAGGCTTGTGGAAGTCAGAAAAGGGCAAGAACACGCATCACTGATGAACAGTTGAAGATTTTGAGATCACATTTTGATATCAACAACTCGCCGAGTGAAGAAAGCATTCAGGAGATGTCGAAGAAAGCTAATTTGCCACAAAAGGTAAAATAAAATTTTTTATTAATAGATATTTCGTTCACCATAAGTATCGCTAATTGAGTGCTCAATTAATAATATTTATTGATTAAGTTTCGCTTGCTTGTTTTCTTGCTAAATACGAAAATCAAAAATACAAGCAAACTGCTTAATGAAAATCATCCTAACATAACATAATTTTCATGATAAAATATTCTAATTAGGTCGTTAAACATTGGTTCCGTAACACACTGTTCAAGGAACGCCAACGCAATAAAGATTCACCTTACAACTTTGCAAATCCACCGTCGACAACTTTGAATCTCGAAGAATATGAGCGAACTGGAACCGCAAAAGTGACTGCACTGTCTGAAAGCAAAGCTCAGAATACAACAACAAGTCAATCTAATTTACTGATGAACAATTTACAACATCAGCAAAAACTCGAACAACAAAAACTTCAAGAACAGCAACAGCAGTTTTTTCAACAACAAGCCCAACAAGCGTTTAATTTAAGTCAACAATCTCAGCAGAATTTTCCCGATTTACGTCCAATCTCTCAACCATCGAGTACCACAAGTAATGAACGTGACGAGTCATTTATTAAGTCAGAGCCGATGGATGAAATGATGAGCGAAATGGACGGTAAAAATGAAGGAATGGAATATGAGATGGAACGCTATCGTCAACAACAGGCGCAGAATTTCTTTCTGAACAGCTATGAAACGAAATCTGAAAGTGGTAGCTCTGACATTTTATCTCGACCTCAAACACCAAACAGTCTCTATAACAACATCAACGACGTCATTAATCAGCAAATTGAAAGTATTCCAATCAATAACATCACTGGTGGTTCGAACATGAATCAGATGGGACCACCAAAGAAGTTTCAACTGAATAAAATATTTGACAAAAGTTATGAGTCTAATTCGAGCTCATCAAATTCGTCAACATCGAGTGGAAAGCGAGCAAATCGTACACGTTTCACGGATTACCAGATAAAAGTTCTACAAGAGTTTTTCGAGAATAATTCTTATCCAAAAGACAGTGACTTGGAGTATTTGAGTAAACTTTTGCTTTTGTCGCCAAGAGTCATTGTCGTCTGGTTCCAGGTAAATAAATAAAATTAAGAAATTAAAAAATGCGAGAACTTAATCAAACATTCTTTATCTTTTCTTTCTTAATTTATCATCAGAATGCTCGTCAAAAGCAACGAAAGATCTACGAGAATCAGCCAAACAGCACAAAGTAATTTTAATAAAATTTTCTTTAATTTAAAATTTCTTTCTTTTATGACATGAGAGTTGCATTTTGAGTCGAAAGTTTTAATAATGACAAATGATCTTAGCTCTCATGTCAAACTTTGTAAATAATTTCCTTAAAATATCCACAATTCAATCAAATTTAAAACTAAAAGAAGTGTTTCACCATCTCATCCTTAAATCTCAACCAATCTTCCTTCATCATCATCATCAACAACATCAATTACCAACCCCTGATATGACAGCACGCCATATGATGCCACCGAAGAGAAGAAATCAGCGATAAATTACACGTGTAAGAAATGCAATTTAATATTCCAACGATATTATGAACTCATTCGACATCAAAAGAACCATTGTTTCAAAGAAGAAAATAACAAAAAGTCAGCGAAAGCTCAAATCGCTGCCGCCCAAATAGCTCAGAGCTTGAGCAGCGAAGACTCTAACTCAAGCTTAGAAATAAATCACGCCAGTAATCTATTAGGTAATAATTTACTTCATCCAGTTACTTCAACATCAAAATCCCAACAAAATCTCGCGCAAAGTCTCGATGCGGTGGCGACGTCCAAAACGCCGCCAATAGCCGCGACAAAAATGAATTTGAATCATCCGGTTAATCTCATTACGACCTCATCCGGTACACATCCCAATATTATGGTAAATGAACATTGCCACAATTTAAAACAAAACTCCCAAAAGTCTTAATATCAGTTTTCGACATTCTCGAAATTTTGTCCCTAAGAGAAAAACTTTTTTCTCTTAACTAAAGAAGCATTTCATTTGTACATTTCTCAAAGAGTCAATCGACTTGCCATGTTTTTGTTTCAACAAACTGTTGCTTCTTTAAACTACTTGTGTTCAGTTTTTTTATTTAATGTTTTTGTTATCTTTTCGTTTGATTTCTATATGAGTACCATTGGCGCTTTTTTCCGGAATCCTCTCCCTCAAACACCCTCGCCCAAAATAATTAGACTATTGAAAATATATTTCGAGCATTTACCATCAACGCGATTGACCACCAACTCCACAACACATTTCGTGACTTTTAATTATCCTCGCTTTTCTTTAAAACTCCTTAAAAAAGCGCCAATGGGATAAAATTCGTCTTGAATTTTATCATCGCATTTTCTTACGTTGCTTTTCGTTTGTTCAAGTTATGTTTTTATTGTCACCCCGAAAATGAAAATTTGAGAGCAAGTCGAAGAACTTTTTTTTGTTGTTATAAGTTCGTTGTTTGATTTATCAATTTCTTCAATTTATCTGTATATGGGAAAAGCACACGAAAAACGGTTTTAATTTAATGGAACAGTTTTAAGTGCTTTTCTTTAACTGAAAGTTGATGAAATTTTCCAAGTTCCTCTTGATTGAAAATACTTTTTTATTGGCATTTACCTAATTTTTGTATTTTCTCGTTCCATTTGATATCTTTGAACCAAAAACAAGTACCAGCCGTTGGATTTCCACCAACAATCAGCTCCCAGCTTGCTCTGTCACAACAACCAACAAGCGTTCGAAGTGGGTCCACATCCGGAATCACACCAGAACTTTAAAGCAAATAATGAGGTCGAACAACAGCAACAACAACATCAGCAACAACAACAGGGAAATCTTCTAGGGAATTCAGCACCACAAGGAATAATTAATCATAATCATTTACAACCACAATCCTACAATGCTGACCAAATGCAAGAATTTCTTTTGCAAAAATTCTCTACACAAGATTTCGAATTACTTACGAAGAATTATGACTTCTTTCTACAATACTACAAAGCAAATTGTCCAACCGATCAGCAAATGGATGAGAAGCACTTGACGATGGATTTCTTGAGTCAGTTTTATCATTTGAATGAGTTTAAAAAGAAATTGAATGGAAGCCAAATGGAAGCAGATGACAACACAAGTGTCGACGACCTTCATAACGACAACGAAGACGTCATGAATTTAGAAGAGAAAGACGAAACAGATTTTAATCATCAAGGACAACAATCAGATGTTTTAAAAGACAAGCTGGGCATAAGCAGTTATAACAGCAACAAAAGACTGCGCACAACAATCCTTCCTGAACAATTAAATTATCTTTATGAATGTTATCAAAAGGAATCAAATCCAAGTCGAAAGCAATTGGAGGAAATTTCAAAAAAAGTTAATTTAAAGAAGCGTGTTGTTCAAGTGAGTTGAAAACCTTAAATTTGTAGAATCAATTAATTAAATTAATTTGTAATCAACAGGTTTGGTATCAAAACTCTCGAGCTCGTGAAAGGAAAGGACAATTCCGTCAGAATATGCAAATCATTAACAAGAAATGTCCTTACTGCAGTGCAATCTTCAAAGTTAAATCAGCTCTCGAATCACATTTACAAACGAAACATGTTGACAAGCAAATGGTCAACATTGACGCAATTCCAGAAATAAATTTCGTTTCAAAGGAAGTGCATTTTGGAATTCAAATTCCAAGCTTGCCCGATATAAGTAATGTCAATAATATCGGTGGACATCACATGAGTACAGACTTTTGGAAGACAAAACCAATGCAACAACCACAAACGTCACAATTCTTCAGTGGTTTGAAACGAATCAGTGAATTCAGTGAAAGTGAAATTAGCTTTACTGACTCAAACAACGAAGAGTTGGCTGATGAAGACTATGATATGGATAACTTTAATGACGACAGTAATCATATCGAAGACTTTCAAAATGCAGCAACTCAACTTGGTGGCGAAAGTAGCAAATCTAAGCGGCATCGTACACATGTCAATCGTGTACAGAAAAGTATTTTGCGAAAGATTTTCGATGATGTCAAATCACCTTCAATGATTGACTGCGAAAATATCGGACGTGAAATTGGACTTTTTAAAAGAGTCGTGCAGGTAAGAAATCTTTTCTTAGACATTTAAGAAGAAAACTTTTATAAATAAATATTTAAACAAAAAGGTTTGGTTCCAAAATGCACGTGCGAACTACAAAAAATGTCACAAATTGTCGACAAATGAGTTGAAACATCTCCCAGAACGAAATCCTTCGGAACCGTGCCAGTATTGTCCCGACTATAATCCGTTAATATCGAAGACCTTTATGTCTCATGCTCTCTCGCCTCATCACATTCAAAACGTCCATAGTTACGTGATGAAGAATGAATCACATCCAGAAGAAGATGAAGACGATGACTGTCAAGAAGTTGACGTTAAATTGCCGGCACACGAACAGACAAAATTTCTAACATATGAGCGAGATATTGGCGGTGAAAACCGCGATGAAAATTTTCAGACGTATACGAATTGTCATCCACAAAAGTCCCTGCTTGTTGGGGACATCCACTGGATTCAATAAGTGAAAAGTACAATGATCTTGTTGTAGAGTTGACTCGACATTTAATCCCCGCAATTAATCAGAATATTAATGGGTAAGCGTGGTTAAACTTCTTTCTTTTTAAGCTTCGAATTTTAATTGCGACATATTTTTCGCATTTCCCATTATTTACGTATATAAATATCTAATTAAGTTCAAAGTTTTGGACAAATGTTTACATTATTAAAAGAACAAGAAGAACAAAAGAAAATCTTTGTGATTTTAATTTTAATGAAAATACTTTTGCAGTTTGTGATTGATCAATGAATGAATATGAAATGAAATAGAATAAAGTTGTTATTTTTAATTGTCATCATCATTGATCAATCTTCACACTGATTATTCTTTATTTTATATTTTTGCTTATAATTTAGTTATTTTCTCTAATTTTTGAAAGAAAAGACGAAAGAAAAAAAAGAATTAACAATCACGTTGAAAATTATGTAAACGATGATGTTGATGATGATAAATGATTTGATCTTCCGAATATGAAGTTATAAAAAGAAACAAACAAATAAAATTAAATTGATAAGATGAATATCCAGAGAGGGAGAGAGAGATAGAGGGAGGGAAAGAAAGAGGAAGAAATAAAAAAAATTGCCATTTTAGTTGATTAGATTTAAAATCATCATTGTATATAAGTTAGAGATATCCTCAGAATATTTTCAAGATCTTTTAAATAAGTAATAAGAAAGTTCAACAAGTGAAACGCCTCGCAAGTCTTTTAATAATTTTTTGGTTGAGCTTCTCAAATGGGAAATTTAACTTCAAAATTTTCTAACCCGTTCAATTTTCAATGAGAATTTTTTTTCGCAAATTCAAAATTATTCAAAATATAATAAATATTTATGTAAGCCTTTCTTGAGCTCCTCCTTCTGTTTTTAGATTTTATGTAAATTTATTATGTTTCATCACAAAATATTCATTTAGTTATCCGTAAAAAAATAAAAAAGTAGGAAAAGAAAATTATATTTGAGACAATCAAATCACGAAGAAGCAACAAAAAAATATCAAATAAAAAGAAGAGATATTAGAAAGTTTTTCAGTTTTTATTTTATATTTTCGTTTTGATTTTTTGTTTTCAGATTATTTTACATTTATGATTTATTATGAATTCAAACTTTTCACATTAAGAATAAACTTTTTTATTGACATTGAGCATTGTTTCAAAAACTTATTTGCACTTGAAATGAAAATCTTTTGACAAAAATTATTTGAATTTCTATTTTTGCTATCAGAGTTCAATAAATATTCTGGAAGAAATCGATTGAAACAAATCATATGGTAAGATTTTAGACTATTTGACAAATAGTGACGATTTTTATTTTTAAATTTTATTCTTACAGAACAAATGAAACTACCTACTTACATATATACTGGAACTAAGATGAAATAAAACTGTTGAGAAGAGATAAATAAAAAATTTCATAAAACTATAAAAATGAATCAAAAACATCAAATTTCGGTGAAGAGAATCATAAAATGTGAAGCGTACAAAGCTAGGTGATTTAAAAGGACAACATAATGCTACACATCATGCTTCAATGCAGTCAACTGATGTTGTAAAAAAATTATAAAAAAGAAGAAGAAACAAAATAAACTATCCTTAAAATAAATTAAAAAAACACACACAAAATGCCAAAAAAAAGTAACGAAAATAGAACTTAAATTGATTGATTATAAAAAAATTAATTGATGTTTGATTATGTTTTTTCAACGATATGACAAAAAAAATCGACAAAAGAAATGTTCCTAATTTTTCATAAAACTGGTGGTTTCAATAAATATTCCTTTTGCATTTTGAATGAAATATTTTTATTGGTGTAAGAGAATTTCTAAAGTGATTTTTAAATATATCAAAGCAAAGATAAATATGTATCTACTGAAAGAAACCTACTTACCTACCATTTAAACATTATGATTTGCAAGCTGTCATTTAAACTGCTTAAGTACTCGAAGTTAATTTAGTTTTTATTAAACAGCAAACAAGATGGTTGGAATTAAGAACATAAGAAGCCACACATCTACTACACATAAACACAAAACACTAAATGATGAAACTTTATACTCGCATGGAAGAGGACTTTTTAATATTTAATATTTATAAAAAAAAATGGTGAAAAATGAAAATCTTTAAATTAATAAAAAAAAAATTAGATTGAAGTGAAAAGATAAAAATTAAATGAAAGAAAAATGAAGATGAGATGGAAGAAAATTACATATTAAAATGTTCTTTGAGTAAAATAAAATGAGCTCAAAGTTTGAACTTTCGCTTGAACAAATGCTAATTTCTTATTAGATTAACTTTTGCTTTCAAAAGATAAACCAAAGATAAACCAAAGTAGATTTTTGTTTTGTTCCTAAATGATTTCACAATTGAAATCCTGGGTTTAAATAACTAATTAACCATAGCAGAATCTTAATTTCATTCCATTTATTTTACTGGAAGTCTATGTCTTAATTTTTTCCAGAAGAAGAAAACATGTTCCTATCTGTAATAACGAGAAGTAATCTTAGTAATTAAAGATTTAGATAAAGGGTGTCGTATTAGAATGAAAATTTCTTTTAATTTCCTCTTAAACTTTATTTTAAAATTCAAGAAATCAAATCATTTAGTTCCTTTGTTGATGTTTTTCATTTAATGTTTATTAATTAACATGCTGTTGCCCATTTTTAAGTTTCTAATTCATTTGAGATAAGTAAAAAGATAAAAAAAATAAAAGATTAATATTTATCATAATTTCATTAAATTACCAATTTTAAAACTTATTAAATATTTTGAAAGCCGTAAAAGCAACAGCAGTTTGTATATTGATAAGAAAAGTAAAAGAAAATGAAGAAAAATCTTTGATTATAAAAATGATGTCAAATCATTGATGATGCAATTTCCTCGCAAAAAAATTAAATTAAGTAAGGTTAATGAATTAAACTTAAACTAAATTTAAATGGATTCAAAGAGAAAGTAAAATTCTTTTTGGGAAAAAAATAAAATTAATTTAAGGCGCGTAAACTAAATTTTGTGACAGAAAATTTTATTGTGAAAAAAAGCATGAATTATTTTAGCGTTTTTAATGGATAAAAGTTCCCTAGAAATGAGAAAGGTGCGGAGCTAACATCGATGATTATGTAAAATTTGTTGGTATCAAATTTACAATTTTTTTTGAACCACTTAAAGTTAGTTACATCTTATTTTTCATCACTTTTTCCTATAACCATCTTCTCTCCTTCCCCCCCTGCGATGAAAATCAAAATTACATAAATTTTATTTATCAGAAAATCATAAATTTAAATTAATTTTGAAAACAACAAATTTTGCGCTGTCAATAATGCTCCAAGTTTCAATTTTCTTTCCAAAATGTGTGGGAAAGATAAAGAAGGGGGACAACATTTTAAAATGAAATTAGATAATCAGTTTTAAAAGAGCCCAAATTTTCTTTCTTTATGAACACGAATGTCTAACTACTAAATGACAACAATTGAAATCAACCAACCAACATAAGAATAAAAATGAAGAAAAGAAATGGAAAAATTTGATGGGGTGGAAATTATATAATAAGAAAACTCATATAGTTCCTATTTATATTCAAAACCATTATAATGGTGTATAATTGTAAAAGTAATATTTATTTTTTTATTTTTTAATTTTCAAATAAAGATCAAAAATCTAAATGAGAAGGAAGTTATGCTGAAGAATATGGCAGAATATGAATGCAGATTCGAACAAAATCAAATCCAATTGCATGTGAACGAATCAATTGAAAAGATCAGTTGTACATAAATCTCAAAAAGATTGGACGAAAACAAAAAAAAAAGAAACAGTAAATAAAAATTCTATGAATATGTGGATATTTAAATACTAATCATTAAAAGTCTTTTAATATTTTTTTATTTCTAACAGATCCGACGGAATTTTTTTTCTCTTATACACTCGACAAATTTTTTTTCCAGTTGTTTCCACTGAAATATTCAGAAATTTTCCAAAAACAAAATCTTGTGAACATTCTTCAAAGAAAATGCCATAAAATTCAAACAATATCTACAGTGGTTAAACAGTTAAAATTAAACATCAATAAATTTAAAAACAGAACAATGTTCTGAATCATTAAACAAAGGGATTTCAGATTTTTTTTTATTAATAGATGCTTGAAATTTTTATATTTAAACAGACAAGGGTAATAATTTGATTATGAGGGTTTTACCAAATTTGATTTTTAAGGATTTTTGACCGAGATTGGATATCAAAAACGGGCAATCTGTTTAATTAACGGGAAGAACTTTAGCTGTAGTTGAAGAAGAAATGACGGCTCTCTTAATTGTTTAATTGATTTAACAATTAAATAAGCCGCTATCACGAGTTTAAATTATAAATGCTTTAGGCGGCAGTTAAAAAGCCAAATGGTTTCCAAAAGTTCCCATCATTAATTGTACGTTTCAATTGGAACATCAACATCGCATGCACATAAATAATCAATTGCACAAAATGGTTATGATTGCTTTTGATGCATTTCAGTCGTCATGTTGCTGTGAATTGCATTATGCTTTTGATTTCCTTACATGCGTGGCCAATTAATTCAAATAATTGCAAAACAACCTTAATATGTAATAGCAAAAAGAATGACATTTTTTAACAACGTTGTAGACTTACATATGTCATCAGAAACGGTTCTACAATTTGCATTATTAAGTAATTAAACTGTTCAAACATGTGAATATTCCTATTACAAATTATTATTTATTTCTGTTGCTTGCACGTTGTTTGTCTCGTTTTCCCCTCCATCAGAACTTCGTATTATCTGACGATTTTTCATTCGTTGAGTTAACATTTTTCCAAAGCATGTCATCCGATATCATTTCATTTTGTATAGCAATTAAATGGCAATTTCAATCTGAAAACATTTTAAAAACGAAAATATAAAATGAAAACAAGTTTTTGCTTCTTTTTCTTCTCTTTTTCTTCTGGTTTTTTGTTTATTTATTAATTTTCTTTATAACTTACGAACCGTGATCAGTAGTATCACATCGCAAGTGTTTATTTTCGCATATTTCCATTAAATATGCAATCATCATTATTTACTTCTTAAATTATGTATAAGAAATAGGAAGAAAACAATTAAAACAAAAATGAAAGCATCTCGCGACATTTCAACTTTACAGAGAAAACCTTTTTGTAGCTTTTTCTTTTCATTTCATTCCTCTCATCATTTAATTTATATCTGATTATGGGATGTAATAATCGACGTATTGACGTTGACGACAGACTAACAAAAACAGATTCTTGAGACATGCCCCAGAAAGCGAAATAAAATTAAATTTAAAATTAAATTACTTTAATCACTAACTAGATGTATTCACAAGACTTCTTTTTTATGCTTGTGTTTTTCTTGTTTCTTCAGATTCCTATTAACTTAGCAATAGCAATAACATAAAATCCTCAAAACAATTACCATTTCATTCTTTTCAATATTTACAAATTTAAGAAAATTTAACTTTCTTTACGTCAAATTTTCTTCCCTTTTCTTTGAGATTTTTTTATTTCACGTGTTTTTTTTTCGACTTTTTTAAATTTTGATGATTTTTAATTCTTCATGTAAAGAAGAAAATTTTATATAAAAAAGTTTTTATTAATTCCAAGTGGTTTCATTTTCTCTTGAGAGGAAGCTTCAAATTTAAGGGCTGCGGAAGTGGCGCAATACTCTGACGACTAGAAGTTCCAGTGTCGACAAAAAAAATATTTACAAATTTAAGAGAAACTTTTTGTCGTCATCGTTCTTCATGCCAAATTTCGCATTCCATTTTTATGTTTTTATTTATTTATTTTTTATGAAATCGCAATTTAGTTTTTCACCTGCGATTTATGTTAAATAATTTTTCATTACACTAAATTATTTGCAAAAAAGAATTTTTTAATTAATCCTAAAGCGCGCTACATTTACAAGATTTTTTTATTTATTTTTATTCCTATCGATTCTTTTTCTTTTTCTCTTTTTAATTGTAATTCTTTATTATTCTTCATCAACAAATTACAAGCTTGTATCCCCTTCACAGTGCATCCGCATCATCATTCATCAAATCACCATCGTCGTCATCTTTATCCTCTGCTAATTTTGTGAAGAATTGTCTCGTACTGAAGACTGCGACTCCTGTTAATTACATTTTTTATATAAATAAAATCATATATTACGTTATAAAGCAAAATTTATCTTACCTTTTCCTGGATGATCAACCTGATTTTTCCACTTTTCAAATGCCTCCACAGATAACACATCATTGTCGTAGAGAATTTCAAAGAAGGAATTTAAAAGGCCTGTAAACATTAAATTAAAATTTGTCAAACATTTAAATAAATTAGGAAAATACGACAACTTACCTAGGGGATATTCCTTTTCGTAAGCATAACTATTCAATGCATTAATGCACTCGAGTTCGAGTTGTGCTTCATTGTTAATGTATCGTTGAAGAAGCAACGACAACTCTTCCAATCGTGTTGTGTTTATCTTCGATGATGGTTGAGAAGATGATGAATTAAATTCATAACAATGTTCGATTACGGCAGTTGTTAAGTTATGAATGAATTTTGAATCTGAAAAGCATTGAGAGGACTAAAAAAAATTTCATTAGTAATTTGTTAATGATAATAATAAAGATGATAAAATTTACATTTATGTAATTCATGATCTCTTCATTATTTGCTTCCTTCTCATTTAACATCTTTTTAACGTGCGTGATAACATCATAAAGTGAAACCGCTCCGCGACGGAAAATATGAGAAAATTTCTGTGAAAATAAATAAATTAATTTAAAAAAAAATTCTCTTATCAATGACAGTACTCACATTAGCTTCCAAAAATCGATTGAGATTTCCATCATCTAAGAACTTCTCTAACTCAAAGTTTTTGTCGCTATAAATTTTTTGTAACCGACTTTCACCATGACGTTTATTGATAAAAGTGAAAATGAAGCGTAGCATATCTTCGCCTTTTGTTTTAATGTCTGCCTCGCAGATTTGATAAACATCTTGGAACGTTATAACTGATGCTATAAGAAGTTCAGCTGAAAGATGGAAAAATGTGTTAGAAAATATAACGAAATGAATTAAATATCTTCATTGCTCACCAAGGAATTGTGCAATGTATTCATAAACAAGTGGCACATCATATTGCATATCAGGCGCAATGGCCATTGTTCCTATAAGAGCTAAACGATTATCCTCTCGTGTGAGCTTTTTCTGTTTCAACATTTCTACTATTAACATCATCAAATTTTCACGATCTCTATCTTTACGATCCAAAAATTTATTATAAATTTCAATTAGCACATCTTTGTTCACGCTAAGCGATTTTAGTTTGTCCATAGCAGTCTCTGTTGTCAATTTATCATCACGAAATGCATCAACAATTTTGAGCATATCATTGAAATTCTTTTCAACCTCATCGCGTGTTAATGATAAAAGCGCTGCTGGTGATGAAATCGACGATGATGTTGATGACGATGCATTTATCATTGTTGGCTTCTGCTGATGTTGTTTAAGAGCTCCACTAAAGCTCGTACTGCCACCACTTCCACCAATACCACCATGTGGAATTTGTTGTTGTCGTGGCGGTGCTTGAAGACTACGCGATGGACCTCCTCGACTATCTGAATTATCACGTGAACGAATTTGAGATGAATTGCGACTACCTTGATTACTTCCGGAACTTCTACCTGAATATGGCGGTGCACCGCCATTGCCATACATTCTATTATTACCACGATCACCACCACGTTCCATGCTCGAATTCTTTGATCCACCACCACCACCAAATCTTATATTACTACCCGGCATATCAACATCCATGTCGACCGGAAGCATCGCAAATTTGTTCGAGTTCGGTGCTTGAAATTGTTGATAATTTGTTGGACTTCCCAACTTTGGATCTTGATTATTGATTGATGGAATACTAAATTTATTCATTTGCAGTGGTGTTTGACGGGATTTGTTTTGTTGCAATTGCCAACCTTCATTGTCTTGTTGCTGTTGTTGACGACGATTATAATTATTAATTTGATTTCCTCCACTACTGCCACCGCCACCACGTTGACGATCTTCTTTAGCATTTTGACGTGTCTGATAATTTATCATTTGTTGCTCTTTCTCGGTATCCTGTTGAATTTGTTCCAATGTCTTCGGAATTAAATCTTGACGACGTGATTGCCATCCATTGTTTCTCAGATCATTTAGATTTTGAATTTCAAACTTAATACGAGAACTTTTTATCACTTTCAATGGTGAGTTTAAGATATCTTTAAGTGTATTGAAATATTTGTCCAGAGCTTCGCCTCTTTCCTTCTCTTCTATCTTACGACCGATTGTGGTGAGGAGTTTACAAACTCGTTCAATTTTCTCTTCAGTCGGATCTTGTAGAAGCATATCAATGCATGCGTGCATGATTTTAGATGTCAACATATCAATTTTGAAGAGTTCACCAATGAACTTCACTGTTCCATTTGCTCGTTGTCGAACTTTGTAATGTTCTTCCTCAAGACGAGCTTTCTCTTCATCACGATTCTCATTTGCAGGAAGATTCTCAATTTCACGAAGCTTCTCTTCAATGCTATCGAACACAATTGACTCTTCCTTATGTCGTTCGAATTCCTTTTGACATTGCGTGATTAATTTAACTTTGAGCGTGGGTTTCTTTGTTCCTTCGCCAAGTGCTGACGGTGCTGTTGCAATATCAGCCACTTTCTTACACAATTCCGCATATGTTGGGGCAAATTTCGGTTCGGAAATTGCCTTTTCAAACACTAAACTTATTACCCCATCGAGTCTTTCACTTGTATCTATTTTATATGTTTTCTTAACTTGATTAACGAGTGTATCGAAATTTTCAGCTGTCAACTTATTTAACATTGAACGGAAACGATTCAAAAGTTCCGAAGTCATTCGTTCTTCCTCAGTCATATCTTGTCTAGATGTGACTAAATGTGACGGCTTCCATGCATTCTCAGCTTCATTAAGCTTCACATCATCATGCAGACTCAACTGAAGTTTTATAATGCCGGCTTGTGATCCACGATTTCCTCCCTGTACTTGTTTATTTCCTTGTTGACTTGGACGTTTCGTGTAAGGATTACGACCGCCAATTGAATTCACAAATTTCGGTGTTAATGAATTAATTGGATCGAAGCCACTTCGTTGCATGCTACTAGCACCACCACTACCACCGACACCACCACCCATACCAGCTAAGGTCATGTTGAGTGTGTTGGTGAGTAAATTTTTGTTGTCTTTCATCAGTGTATGAGCTACATTCTCTGGAAGTTTCGTCAATGAAGGCGGTGTAGCTGATATTAATTGATCTTTAAGCTTAAGAAGCTGCTCGCGTGTGTAACATTTCTTTCCAGCAGTGTTCAAAGGCGACCATTGACCATCAACATAATTTATTGGGCCTTCTATAACAGAAATTTTTCTAAATGTTTCTGCTAGTTTCGGCATTTCATCACCTTGCTTTGAAAGATCACCTGGTGCTGTTGTTACATGTCGAAGACTTGGCGATGTCATTATCGATTTATCGTCGATGGAATTGTTATTATTGTTATTATTATTATTTGAGTCTTGAGGTGTTGTTGTTGTTGTTGACGTTGACGTTGTTGCTTCAGCGACAACAGATTGTTGCTGAACAGCTGGTTTTGATTGTGACATCTCTTCAACAACATTTTCAGCCTTATCTGGGTGTGCATTCTTTTGATAATTATTGTTATTTGTATCGTTAACATCAAATGATGATGCAACTACAACAACATTATTATTATTATTATTGTTATTATTTTTATGATTAGGAGCAGCAGTTTCTACTTCCATTTCTACTTCTTCGTCATCATCAACAACATCATCGTCGTCATCTCCTTCGTCATCCTCGTCATCTTCTTCTTCTGCCTCCAATTCAAGAGGAACAACTGACATTGAAGCGTCTACAACAGTGACAACCGAAGTAACATTATTATTAATATTGTTGTTGTCTTGTTTTGGAATTGGCGCAGTAACAGGAGTAACAGCACTTAAGGTTTCATTTTCATTTATTTTCGTTTGTTTTACAGACTCTGTCGATGCCACAACCGATGCTAATGTTGGCTCTGGAGGTTTACTAAAATGAATATCGATAATAAATTTATTAAATTTTATTTAAAACAAAAACTTGCTTTCTACTCACATTTTCTTCATCTTATTGACTTGATGTTTCGGAGTAATGTCAACACTTGGTCCATCGCTCATTGCGCTTACAACAGGCGTCGACGGTTCCGATGTTGTTGTCGATGTTAATGCCGTTGAATCTTTATCAAGAGCCTCATCTTTACTTAATTCATTATGAGATGCTGTTATTGCCTTATCGACAGTTGCTATTGATGATGATGATGATCCGTTATTACTTCCACCAGTACTTGTTCCTGTACTATTTCCACTTCCAGAATTTGTTGAAGTCGTCCATGAATCATCCTCAAATATGCTTTTCTTTGTGTTCGGATTAATAATTGGTACCGCTCTGTTACCCATTTTCTTTGCAGTCTTTTGTGGTGGTTGTGATGGTTGTGGTACCTGAGTAGGAACTGCTGCTGCTTGCATTACTGGCGGATAAACTTCCATACTCTGGTAAGGATATTCGTTGGTCTGAGGTGGTGCCATTGAAGGAGCAGCAGCCTGAGGCGTACTTTGACGTTGTTGACCGTTTGTCGGTGCATTCAACTGACCATAGGCGTTAGGGCCTGGCGTTGTATAACTATTAAAAACTGGTGTAAAACCCATATATCCATATTGTGGACGAACTGTTGTTGGATGAGGAAGAACAAATCCAAATGGTATTTGTGGTGGATACATATATTGCTGCTGATTCATAGGTTGCTGTTGTTGACGACGTGGAGCTTGTGATTGTGGACGATATTGTGGTGTTCTTGAATTTCCTGCATTATTAGCGCCTGATAGCACTTGTTGTTGTATTTGCATTGGATACTGTGGCGCCTGTTGAGACTGTTGTTGTTGTTGCTGCTGCTGTTGTTGTTGTGTTGGTGGAGTTGAAGGAGCGGTTGGCTGTGTCATTGGAGTCAACCTTGCTTGATTTTGTTGAACAGCATTAGGAAGAGATTGGGCAGGGTTTGATTGCGACTGTTGCTGACTTTGAACAACATTCGGTGGCCCACTTTGTGTTTGATAAATCGTTTGATTTTGATGTGCTTGTGCATATCCTCCATCTGTTGATTAAATCAATAATTAAATGTTTTTAAAAAGAATTTCCTCTGATAAATATCAGTAAGAAAAAATCATCAGATAAATTTGTTCTTAAAATGATAAGATTTGAAAAGAACGAAAAACGTAATGATTAAAGAATCAAACTATTCTTCTTCTTTAAAAACAATAACGAAACGATAAGGCAAAACAAAATGAATATAAAAAAAAATTAAGATTCTTCTTACTCGACATGTGTCTGATAAAATTTTGAGTTATGTTAGCACCAGCAGGAGTTTGGAATGGCAAGCAAGGAGCTAAATGATACTCGTGTGAGGGTGCCGATTGAACGTTTCCACCTCCACCATTCTGGTTAGAGACTGTCGGAGCCTGAGATTGTTGTTGAGCAGCTTGTTGCTGAGAAATTTGCTGTTGCAATGCTTGAACACTCACAGGAAGCGCTTGCACACGATGATGTGGTGGAGGAGGTCCATTTACCGACAATTGTGGATATGACGGTACAAAATTTCGTAGACTCATATTTGTGTTATTATTTTTTTAACTATCTTAAGTCTAAGCGTCTTTTTAAATTGGTTAGTTTTTCTTATTTGAAGTTTCACTTATTTTCCATTAAAATGGAGAAAAAAAGTGGGCATGAATGTTTCCTTTTTTATCTTTTTCTAGACTCTATTTAAAAATACTTAAGCAGTTTCTTATCCGTTATTTCGTATGAAGAGTTACAAATTTCTTATTAAAACAAATTCATGACGACTATGTAGAAGAAAAAGAGAAATAGAAAATAAATCAGAAATGAAAAGAATTTATCGATGCTTTTATATTGAACTTCAACCGGAAAAGGACTAGCAACTAGATAGTAAATAAATTAGAAAACATGATTCACAGTTTGAGCAGATATCTTGTCAGTTTTCTTTTGTGGTTTTTGTTGTTGTCAAAGTCTCTCTTAGGTTTTTCCACTTCTACTCTTGTACACTAACACACTCTTATTGCACCCAATTTCGCCAACTTTAATTTTTTTTCTTTTCTACGTCAAATCGATTTTCTTTTTGGGTCCAGTAACCGGATGTGGGGAGATTTTTTTCACATAAACGGCATTATTACCGGATGCTCTTAATAATATAACATATTTTTTATAATCACACCACATGCACTTTACACCAGCTGGTTGAGTAGGAAGCTCATTTTGTTCTGTGAACCACGCGAACATTTCATGCTACTTTCCAATTATCCTAGGAATATTATAACACAGTTTCCAAAGATTTTTTTGCATATATTTAACATTTCTAGTCGCTTATATCCCGTACTGATTGAACTCTTAATGTTTTCACTCACAATTTGAAAGAAAAAAAAAGTTCTTTTGTTCTTCGCATAAAAATTATTTGCTTTTTATTTCCCGCCCTACGCGGGCTGTAAAAACCTTCAACAACTTTCAATTATCTATTAAATTCTTATCGCTTTCCTACTGTAAGAAAAACGAATAAAATAGAATGTAGTAATTAATTTTCGTTTAAAATCTATAAGCTTTGCGATATTAAGAAAACTTGAATGGAGAACACCATTTTGAACAGATGCGTACGTACATGAATGTTCAATATGAGATGGTATGAGTAAAAATGAGAGAGATGAGAGGGTTTCGTTTCTTGTTTTTAAATCTTAAGAAACCGTTAAATTTTTTTCTGTTTCGTGAACTATTTTCAACCCTTACGTTTTTCAGATTTTTTTCTTATCATTTTTCCTTATGCACTAAACCATTATGCTAACTCAAATATTCATAATAACTTACCTGATTGAAACGGACTTGTAGTAAAACGTTGTGCCGGAATATTTGGCTGATAACTTGTTCGTCCTGCTTGATTAGCACTCATATTTATTTTCTGACAAAAGAGTATAAAAACAATTTCACTATCGTTTTTTTATGTATTACCAATCCCAAGTCTGAGAAACAAATATTTAAGGGATAGTCACAACTGATAATAAAACAAAACAAAAATTTTAATCCTCGTTTTTTCAGGAGCTCCTTGGCTCAATATTCATTAATTATTCATTACGTTTCTTATGCTGTTCTTTTTATTTTCATTTACACTTCTTGAAATATTTAGATTTCCTAAAAAGAAAAAAAATATTAAAAATTTGGGGTTAGTTAAGGTTCGTTAGATAGCAACGTTATATGTATTGACTTTAACTGATATGAAAAAATCATATCTGTAACTAATTTCTTCTGATAGGGCTCTTAAGGAAGACATTAAATGACATTTTGTTAATGTTTCTTTACACGTCTCGTCTTGGTAATGCTACGTAGCATTGAAAGATTCGTTCATAAATGATGACTAATGTTAAATACTTTGATAATGTTTATTTGCTTGTACATTCATAATAATTTTAGGAATGTGTAAAGGATGAAGAAGCCATACATTTCGAGTAATTGATAAATTTGAAAGTATGATACATCAAAATTGTCATCATTTAGAAACTTGCCATGGTTCACCAACACTTATGAAAAAATCTCACACGAGATTCATCAAAAATTCGTAATTTTTAAATATTCTCGATAATTCAATATGCATGGATGTTCTAGATTTATGGAATAACAATAATTTCCCACTATACTATGATTACTGATTAAATAGATAATTACCTTTCACATTGACGTTAATGTTAGTTATATATTTTATATTTTTCTTTTGTTTCTAAAACTATTTTATTTTTCTCAAAACTTCTTTTTCTGTTTAGAAATATAGAGAATATCGTATCAAATAAGTCACAAGTGTACTATATTTGTAGTATACACAGATACGATAGAAATTATATATAATTATCAACAAATTTGTTTAAATAATTATTTTTATAACTTAATTTCTTTCACTTTTCCAAGTGTCTACACTTAAGTGTAAAAATTTTTTTTGACATACACACACTCAGCTAACTAGAAATCACTTGGAGCGATAAACAAAACTTTACCTATCTGCCTGTCAACTAGATTAATTTATTTTTTAAATTTCAAAAAACCGGTAAATATTTTAAAATGATTTAGAAAATATTAAAGGATTATCAAGTCGATAAGTTGCTTTCAATCAAACTATCTACCTAGAGCAATAATCATTCTTATATTTTCTTATTCATACAGAAGATGACTCAATAAATAATATAAAGCATTCATAAATTTTTCTTCAATGTTTTCTTTTATTTTTATATTTTTAACTTTCTTTTTTTATTTTTAATTACAATAAAGATTTATTATTTAGGTATATGATGACCAATTTTTAAAGTTTCTTTTTTTCCATGCATCTTAACAACTAAAATATTCTTTTAAGATAAATTGTTCAATCGCATCAAATCCTTATCATTCAGTATGATCATCCACTATCACTGAGATTGAATGGCAAAAAAAATTAAGAAAGAATTAGGTACCTAGATAAAATGTAATCAGTTTCATTCAAAAGAAAGAAGAACATTTTATTGCCAATTTAGTAATTCAAATTCTTAAAATCAATTCAAATTTATAAGGGTGATTGGTTCCTTGTTTTAAATGTCTGTTTTTTAATTCTTAGACAATTCATTAAGCTTTTCTTTGATGGAGAGCATTTATAAATTAGAAAATTATAAACGTTTATTCATAAAACTTGAAAAAATTTCATGAAATAATATCAGAACAACTGCTCAATATTTATAAGATCACAATAATTTATTTTATACCAACTTTATATAAAATGAAATTATAAAAAATTCAATGAAACCCTCTTTTACTATTAAAAATATGCATAGATATTTAAAACGACGAATGCAAATTATATCAAGGGATGATCATTAGCCTGATAAAAATTATACAAGTGTTGAATTCTTATCTGTTGTAGAATGTTAGCGATCTTTTGTATCAGCGATTAGTGTTGAATGGTGATACTGCAGGCTCAACACTTGTGATCAACTAAAAGTTTATTGTTTGAAGTTTAACAATTCACTTAAATATATTTAAGTTTAAGAATTCATTGAAAAAATTAAAAAATGTTAGAATGAAAATAATCCGCCATTGACTTAGAGTAAGTAATGGTATAAGAAACTATTTTCTATAAGACTTTTATTACGATAGCTTTCTCGTTTTCTTTTCCTAGAAGAAAATCATCAAAGTAGCATAAAAAAATAAAACCTTAATTAAAAATTATGCCGCGATAAGCTGTAGGAATAATAAATTGCATTAGTATTGAATGAATGGCCAAAACTATGAACAGTTTACCGATTTGACTGTCTGCTTGATAAAATCCTTTCTTTGTGATAAATCATGATTAGGATAATGTGCATAGACTTTCTTGCAAACTGTTTTCATTGTGATCTCCTCCAGATTTGCTTCAGCCAGAATGTCTTTGAGCAGTTTTTTGATTTCATCATCGGTTGGTGTTCCATCTTCGCTTGTGTTTCTTTTGGGTGGTTTTTTAAGTGGTTCGTCATCTTCAGACTCGCCCATATCTTCTGGCTCTTCTTCATCACTAGAAGCAACCTTTCGCTTCTTTTTTGAAACTGTTGGTGCGGCACGTTTTGGTCGACCTTTGGAGGCTTTTTTCTGAAGCGACGATTTGGGAGTGGCTGATTTACGATTTGTTTTCTTCTGTTTCTAATGATTTGGTTTTTGTAATAGAAAGATTTAAATTAAATTTCATTTTGATTATATTGTTACACTTACTTCACTATCATCTGATTCCATTTCCTCTTCTTCATCCTCTTCTGAAGGTTCCTCTTCACTTTCAGTTTCTTGTTTACGTTTTCTTCCTCGTTGTGCAGCTCCACGTTTTGGTGTTGAACGGTTTGGGACATTTTTCTTCTTCTTAGCTGGTACAACTTCTTCTTCACTAAAATCTTCGGATTCTTCTTCAGATTCCTCTTCACTTTCACTGCCCCGTCCTCGTCTACCTCGTCCGCCTCTTGTTGGTCGCGTTGGAACAGAGTTACGTGAAGACTTTCGGCGGTCACCTTCAGAATCTGAACCTCCACCTGATGGATTGTACTGTAAAGCAATTATCAACATATCTTAGAATTATCATCAATCAGAAAGGAAGTCAAAAATATTTACATCTGAACCACTATCAGAATCTCCACCTCGTTTCTTGCGACCAACTCTTGGTCGAGCTTCTTCTATTTCTTCGTCTTCACTACTTCCATAATCTGAAATAAGAAAAAAGAATAAGAAAAAGTTTCATTGAGCAGAGTTATTTTAATCACCATTTGTCCAAACTCTGCTTGCTGTTGCTCGTTTTGGACGACCCGCTGAATTCGAACTTCCACGTCCTTTCTTCGGCTTTGACTTAATTTCTTGCTCTTCCTCTTCTTCATCATCTTCTTCGTCTTCCGCCTCCCCTTCTTCTTCTTTTTCTTCGTCTTCTGGTTCATCTTTTTGGAATTCTTCGAAAGTTTTACCAGTTGGCGCCATAAGAAAGTCGATTATTGCGCTTGAAATGATTTCTTTTGTATCATCTTTCTTAATATCCTGAATTGCAAGTATGGTAGATGTTTGTTTGATAGCTTGTATGTCGAATGTCAATAATTGATCAAGTTTTTTCTGTTTATCGCTCTCTTCAAATCCGGCAAATTTGCGAATGTTGCGTTTGATTTGTGGACCAGTACCATTTTTATCGTAAAAGAGCTAAAATAACAAATTTTAATAGAGTTAAACTTAAATACAATTATTATTTACTTACATTATGAAGTAACTGAAGCTGATCTGTTTTAGCCTTAGCTATCTCTCCGTCAATTGCGGCAATTTCTCCTAGCGATAACTTTTCTTTATCATTTCCAGACGTAGCTAGTGTTTCTGCTGAATTACCATTCTTTTCTCCATTAGTGTCCTTTGAATCATTCTTTCCTCCTTTAGGAATCGCCTCTCTTTCACTCGACTGTGGAATATGATAAGAGTTTTAGGTAAAAAAAATACGAAAATGGCGCCGAAATGTGAAAACAAGAAAATTTGAGCCGCAAACAAACTTTCTTTTAATATTATTGACTATAAATTCGTTTCGAATGATGCATAATAATAGTTAAAGCTCACCATATCAGAAAGCCGCCACTAACAAAGTTTTTCGTAATTACAAGAAAGAATCAATCTGTTGTTGAAAAATGAAATTTGGAATTGTTAGCGGATATTTTATGAATTCATTACAAAATTTTCTATGTCCGACTGCTAAATGTTGACTTGAAACGTTCGACATCTAACGGTAACTTTTTTGAAAATCCTGTTAAAATTTTATATTTTTTATCTACCTAATTCAGATATTGTATAATATGGCGCATTTCACGTTGCTCATGTCGAGGGACATGAAATTCAAAGCTGAATAATATGAGGTGTATGGCTTAATCTCTTACTGAAACCAATTGCACTTCAGAACAGTTCTTGATAAGCTCTATTTTCGAGTGCAATTAGGTAGTTTCAGGAAAAAATTAAGCCATACATATTACCTACACATTTTAAATTAGATACCTAATTATATTTCATTGTCCTATAAATTACAAGCATCATGGGACTAAACCACAAAAGAAGCAAAACAATTTCTGTTATTGAATTTTCAGAATTTAAGGAAGATGAATTTTATTTCTTATAATTAATGCATTCATGTTTATCAGATAAAACTTTCTAGAAGATTAATTATAAATAATTAATATTTTAAAATACATTTTTATTCATGTTCCTTCTTTTTGCGAATTTGTCTGCCAGTTAAATCAGTTTTATCATTAATGACAGTGTCAAGCTCCGAACTTTCATCCGAGTCATCACTTGATTTGTAATCACCAATTCCAGGAAGGATTGCAGCAGACACTAAAGCACTCGGCTGATAAACTTTTAGCATTTGACGAGGTGGCTCTTCGTCAGCATGTTCTGATCGTCGTTTCACTACTGATTTTAAAATGTTTCTTTGAGATGACCGAGGTTGTGGTAAAGAATCTTTTTGCTTTGGTTTTGACACTTGATGGTGCAACTTCTAAAAAAAAAAATATTTTTCTGACATGAAGGTAATTTTACAAATTTTGTTATTTCTCACTTGATCTGACGATAGTGCTTGAGACTCATGCAGTTCAGCAACTTTAGCTCTGTAATCAATGAGCTCCTTAAGTTCCTCTTCTTTTTGTTTTCTCTCTTCAAGTAATTTTCTATTGTCGATTTCATTTAAATGATCAACATCATCATCATCAAGGCCGCGGATCATATTTTTAAATTTTCGGGATTCTTCAAATTCAAGGTCTTTGGCATCACGTTGTTCCTTTAGACGGTCATATAGAGATCTTCCATCATAAGGTTCCTCAGGAGCCACTGAAAGCAGAGAAATGTTTCACTTTGCTTATTATCGACTTCAAACATACTCAGACAAAGATCATGAAGAACTTACTTTCAGGTTGATCACCAGTTCTGACCTTTTCCCATTCTTCTTGACGTTTTTTACGTCTTTCTTCAATATCAGTTTCTCTTTCAAATCCTTGTAGACTCATATTAAATGTCCGGAATCTATTGGAATCTATGTAGGTACCTAGTTATAGTTTAAAAATATGAATATAGGTGTAGTTTAACTTTTGACAAAAAAAAACAAACCTTATTTGATTTTTTTCGTTGTTTATAGCTTTCCCCACAATATTTGAAATCCTTAAGCAATATTAAATTATCTGTTACTTGTACTATTATTGAAAAATGAATCAAATACAATATGTTAGAAACACTTTGCAATAATATCTAAGTTTAACTCAAAAATATGCCGTAAATAGGTTCCAAAAAGCTACAGCAAATCTGACATACTGACAGCATCATAACAAATCTTGCAGGGTTTTTTAGAAAAACAAAAGTTACAGCATTACATTCTTTTGTCGATCGTAAACAAATTTCTAATTATACCTACAACTGTTATTTGGAATAATTTAATTTAACAAAAATCTTGTCAAAGATGTCTATGCGACCTGATGACCATCGTCGGAAGTGGGATAAAAAGGAGTTTGAGCGTAAAGCTCTTGATCGAATACAAAAAATAAATAAAAATGATGAAGGTAGCTTGAGATACCTAAATAATAATAAAAACTATCTTAAAAAAATGGTAATTAACATGAATGTTTTTTATTATCTGCAGCTCCACCCGAACCCCGTGAATTGTTAAAGACGAGAGAATACAAAGTAGATTTGGACAGTAAGTTAGGAAAATCAATGGTCATCAATAAAACTACTCCAAGCAATCAATCTGGAGGATATTTCTGTAATGTTTGTGATTGTGTTGTCAAAGATTCTATAAACTTTCTGGATCACATCAATGGCAAAAAACATCAAAGGAACTTGGGTATGTCCATGAAAGTCGAGCGCAGTTCTTTAGAAAGTGTGAAAGAGCGATTCAACAAGAACAAAAGAAAAATTGAAGAAAAGAAAGATGAGTATGACCTCCAAGTTCAACTCAAAAATGTTAAAGATTCTGAGGAAAAGCGCAAACAGATGAAGAAGAAAAAGCGTAAAGAACAGTTAGATGAGTCTAAAGATGATGATGAAATGGAGATGGCCAAGATGATGGGATTTGCAGGTTTCGGCGGTTCAAAGAAAAATAATTGATAATTGTATTACCTACCTATACATGGTTTGAGTATATTTAATAATATAAAATAAATAAATATCATAATTAATGAGACAAAGTTTCTCTTGTATCTTTACAATTGGAGCTTAAAATGATTTCATTTATTCCGAATGTCCTTATTTTTAAAAAGGAATTTCGACTGCAGTAGGATTTAAAAATCTTTTGACAGTCAGACATAGAAAATTTCGTAGCATGCATGAATGTAAACAAATTTTTGACTTCAAAAGCGGAAAATACTAATTTGCTTTAGAAAGTAGAAATAAATAGTTTCACTGCGATTAAACTCATTCTAATCGCCTATGCAAGAACTTGGATCATAAGCCAATATGGGAAGTTACTTAGATAAACCAGAAACCTCAAAAAAGTCGGAAAACAACGAAAATGAAATCTTGCAAATAGGCAGTTCCTCAATGCAGGTAGTTTATATTGAAAGATAATATTTCGAAATGAAATTTATTAATACATTCATTGTAATTCATAGGGCTGGCGTGTGAATCAAGAGGTAAGTTCTATGTATTTAAAATAATTGTGAACTTTTCATTTAAATTTATTACCGAGTATAAGGTTATGTTGAATAATTTAATTTTCATACAAAATTTTATCATTTGTAGGATGCTCACAATTCCATTTTAAATTTTGATGAAAACACTGCTTTTTTTGCTGTTTATGATGGCCATGGAGGCTCTGAAGTTGCAGAATACTGTAGTATGAAACTGCCTCAATTTCTTCAAGATTTACAGTCATTCAAAAAAGGCGATTACGAACAAGCGTTGAAAGATGCTTTCATTGGCTTCGATGGAACTTTGTTGAACGAAAAAGTAATTGAAGAATTATTACAACTGGCTCGTAAAAATCCTGATTATGTGGACTCTGACATGGAAATAGAGGATGAGACAGCTGAAGAAATTATCAATCTTCACGAAGAAGCTAAAATGCCTCTGAATGAAGTTCTGAAAAAGTACAAAGGAAAAATCGAGACCTTAGCCAAATCTAGTAATGCCCACCGAGCCAAAGAAGTGTCAAAAACAGAAACATCGTCTGCTGCCGGGCCTTCAAGCTCTTCTTGTTCACCAGGATCAAGCGGCAGCTCAACAGTTGATAGTCGTCAAAAAATCCAACAGAAATTAGCATCAGATAATGAAGTCAGTAGTTCAAGCAGCAAAGCAGTATCAGAAAGCGACACTGATGCTCCCGAACCGACATCATCAAGCGGAATTGTTCCTGAACAGGCACCTGACAGTACCCATACCATTCCGAAAGTCACTGGAGCATCCAGCGATGTAACTAAACCCAAACAAAGTACAACAGACTCTTCTGAAGTGAACGTTGAGCCATTGGTACCTGCTAATGGCGTCATTAGCTGTTCAGAACGAAAAATCTCACAAAAACAAAGCGATGATGAAGCAATTTCATCGTCCTCAACTCAAGAGAATGGCGAGAGCATTATCAGTTGTCCAACATCTTCTCAAATTACTTCTGGCGTTTCGTCCGCTAGTAATTTACCTGGAAGTAGCAGTTCGCCTTCTAAAACGCCGATTAAAGATCCGAATCAAATTTCTAGTTCATTACTTCCAGATACAGACACTGATTCGTCATCTGATGAAGAGTTTGATGCTACTTACAAAGAATCAAGTGGTCCAAAGCCATTAAATAGTGATGATGACACCACCGATGAAGATGAACCAGAAGATGTAGATGACGATGAAGAAATCGATGAAGAGGAAATTTCCGGAGATGAAGAAGAAGACGAAGATGAAAGTTTCGATGATGAGTTTATAAATAATATGGCCACTGGTCCTGGAAAAGCTTCAGGCTGCACAGCCGTTGTTGCTTTATTGTCAGGACGTAATTTATATGTGGCAAATGCAGGAGATTCTCGTTGTGTTGTTTGCCGCTCAGGCAAAGTTGTTGAAATGTCGTTCGATCATAAACCAGAAGATGAAATTGAATTCGAACGTATTCGCAAAGCTGGTGGTCGTGTAACACTCGATGGAAGAGTGAATGGTGGGTTAAATTTGTCTCGAGCTATCGGTGATCATGGATACAAAATGAATTTTGAACTGCCGTCAGAAGAACAAATGATCTCGGCTTTACCAGATATTAAAAATATTTCACTTGAACCTGAAGATGAGTTTATGGTATTAGCCTGTGATGGCATTTGGAATTATATGTCTAATGAAGAAGTTGTTGGCTTTGTAAAACTGCGAATCGATGCTGGAAAACTCACACTCGCTGAAATATGTGAAGAGGTGAGATTGACTTAATCTAAATTCACTTAATATCAATGACAATTATTTTGTTTTTCAGTTATTCCAAAATTGCTTAGCACCAAACACAATGGGTGATGGTACAGGATGCGATAACATGACAGCAATAATTGTCAAATTTAAGCCAGCTTTATTTCAATTGCCCACATCTGCAAATGCAGAAGAAAATGTTGAAACTGAGAAAGTTAGCCGTAAGCGATCACTTGAAGATGGTGAAGCTGAAGCATTGCCTACCACAGAAAAGAGACAAAAGATTGAAGATGATTTGACACCAGCTGCTGTTGACACATCAACAGCTTAAATTGTAAGACACATTTAAGAAAAATAATGAGAAAATCCAATTTGAAAATTATTTATAATTTTTGACTTTTTCCGAATATTCATCAGAAACTTTTCCACGAACTTAAATGAATAATTTCTCTTGCTATGCTTAAAGTTTCAATTGAATCTTTATCAAAATTTTGATTCCGTTGGTTTTCAAGTCACAAAACTTCACGAAGAATTCAATTTGATCTTTAAGTTTAAACGAAGTTTTGCGAGATTTAAAGCTGTAATTAAAATATCCCTTTCTCCATTTTTCTTTATAGTTTTAACTAATATTCACTAGTTTTTCAATCATATTATTAAATCATGCAAAATCAACTCATTTTCATTTATTTCTATTTAATGCTGCTGCTCTTACGCATGGCATCTCTCAACTATTTTTTTACCTCATTAAGCAGATACTCATAAAAGAAAAAAGATTGTAACGAAAGAATAAAGAAATCCGGATGAAAACCTATGTCAAACTTTAATATAATATCTAATATTTAAATACTTAGATGTAAATTTAATTAGTTTAAATGGTTTCGAGTGTAGTTATTCTTATAAGTTATTTTAGAGGAAAAACATTCATCATCCGATGTTTCAACAACACTTCATGCTGGAAGCTTCCAGTTTAAAAACAATTAAACAAATGTCTTAAAAAATTTTAAGAAGTTCGTAAAAATGAATAAAGAAATGTTTTTCCTTTAAGTAAATTAAAATTTATGAAATGAAATTAAAATAAAGCGTAAATTTTGAAGTTTCAACTGAGAAATTTAATCTGATTTTTTTAATAATTTTTAAAAATTTATTAATTTTTTAATAACAAATTATTGATTTTGATTGAAGTTGTCAAAAATTTCCTGAAGCTCTGACTCACAGCGTTGAAGGTACTGCGATTCTATCTTTAGTCGATCAAGCTCAAGTGTTCTTTCAATGATTTTCATTTGGATTTGTTGTTGCTCAACTTCTTTTTGTTTTGCACTTGAATTTGCAAGATTTTGCAGGTTGATTGCAAGCATTTTTCGTTTGTCAACTTCTGCTGCGAAATTCTCTAAATGATTTGTGATATCGCTTATTACATTGCGAATATCTGTTAATTCTTGAAATTCATATAAATTAAAGTCAGTAGTAAAATCATATAAAACGAAAACTCATCGACACTTACTTTCGAGAAATGTTTCGTTTTCATATTTCAAATCTTGAGTTTCTTTTGCAACAGTCGGCTCGAGAACCCTCAGAATGTAACTTTCATCAAGGAAAAGTCCTTGCTTTTTTAATTCATCTGCCATTAGAAATTATGAATGACAAGAATAACACTTTAGTATATTGTCGCAGAATTTGTTTATAAGTTATTGTTACCATAACAACATTACGTGGCTCTTCATTATGCTTTCACAAGTTAGCTGCTGAACACATTCATTGTAAAAATTAAATATCAACATGCAAATACTCATTAATATAATTTATTGTCACTGATTGTCACAATTAATTGGATTCCATTAATAGAACATAAATATTCATTGATTGTAATTGTTTTTAATATAATTTGACAACGCAACGGTCAGAACTAGAAATCAAATTAAAATCGATTTTAATACATGCTTTTCAAATCAAGCATGTTACAAGAGTCTAAATATCCAGAAGCGTTATTTGACATGAAATAATTTTTTTTAAGTAGCTTAATTTTCAATATGTATCAATTTTTAAAAAATTATCGTCTACACCATTAAAACGAGAGAAAAAAGCTTTAGACTCTCACAAATTTAAAATCCGCACTATCCAGGATCAAAAATGTGAAAGTTAATATGGAGAAGATTGCATCTTCAGAAAAAGATTTTCAAGTAAGAAAATATGTAAAATATGCTTAAATGTCTAATTTGAGATTTTCTAAACAACTTTTATTTTGCTTTATTCATTTACATCTTTTTCATTTGCCAAATGTCAAATCTTTCAAAAGTCGAATATTTGTGAAAATCATTCTGGGATGTTTCATTCAAAGAGAATTTCTTCTCTTGCAGAATGCTGTTTGAATAATGTAATTGTCGTAAATAAATTAAAAAATGCATAAAAATCTTCAATTGTATGCGTCAATGCGCAGTAGTAAAATGCGTGAAAGATGTTTGGGATGAAAGCTCAAATAAATTCGAAGCTTTATAATTTTCTCGTATTTGGTATCAAAAATGTGTAAAATCCTTTTATAATGTTTAGAAGTGTATGACTCTAAAGTTGGCTTAGTATTGGTATTAACAATATTGCATCATGTGTAACATGAATGAAACCTTTAAAGTTTCAATGATTCATAAAATAATTTTCTTCTTTTATTACCTACCTAAATAAGTAAATACTTATTAGGTAGTAAAATAAACTTTATCTCTGTACATCTTGATTAAAAATAGCAAATTTCTAAAATATAAATTTAAAGTCGCATTGTGCAGAAAAGGTTTTAGTGCTTAAAAGGTTTTATTCTTATTTTTAAATCTTCCTCATGCTTAAATTACTTTGATGTATTTGTTAATAAAAGATCAACTACAATATTATTCTTTCTTGCTTGCAAATTTCCTTTTCTCAATTTTATTTTAATGTTCGAAAGAGAAAGCTCTCTCATCCTGTTGTCGTTTTATGCTCTCTACTCATGAAATTTCATATATATTCCGTGAAATTAATACACAAACACCACAGTTGAGTGAAACCTGAAAAAGTGAAAAGCTCTAGTAGCATCGAGTTTTAGTCAATGGATGTATTATCTGACCATCCGATAAAATTAGTCTGAAATATATTATAATTTCCTTTAGTTATTTTGCGAAATTGCCGCGTTTGTGATTGAAAGTAAGTGTTGGAAATTAATTTAATGTGAAAATTTACATCATTATTATTAATTAAATAGGCATGCCTAAAAAAATAAATTTACCTATCAGTGAAAAAACAAGTCGCTTTACTTTTAAATTTAATTTTACAAATGAACTTTGTGAAAAATTTTAAATTCCCTTTTTAACATAAGTGCTAACATAAAAAATTAGATTCAATGATGCAAATATCCGGCTTGTTAGCGTTGATATAATATCAGATTTCATATGGAAAAGCATTAAAAAGAAAAAGAAAATGGAAACTCTAAAAAGGATACAACATTCTCAATAGTGAAGGAAATAAGAATTTTTTTAATGTTGGAGAAAAATTGAAGAAAAAAGAAAAACTTTGAAGAGAATTTTCTACGTTAGAAAATTTCTCGATATGTAAACCAATACATACAAATGTTCACAGCCACATACACTTAGTGACGAAGTTCATCATAAAACTCAAAACGAACACAAACTCTAAATTCGAAAAAGGAAAACTCGTATAATGAAAAAGAGAGAAAAGTGAAATAAACGGAAAATTTATATTATTGTTAGTTGTTAACTTTCACTTCTAATATTTATTTAGGAAATTCAATTATAGTTAAAGATTTTGATAGAAACGCTCATAATAATTGAGTAAAAATGAAACAATTAACAAAATAAGTTTAATTTGAAAAGTGTCAAATAGAAATTCGATTATATTCTGATTTTCCTTAATTTTCATAATGCTTATTTGAAGGAAGGATCAATTTCTCAATTATGAGCACCGGTGACTAAAAGCATTAAAGCAAACTCTTTGTATTGATTAAGTTAGAGCTTTGTCAATAACAAGTGAGAGCTTACAGGTGAGGAAAACTTTCAAAAACAAACTTTTTTCCTTTTATTTACTTGGAAATAATTCAATATTAACGAACAGAAACTTTCTCCAAAGCACGAAGAGTCTTTTTGTAGTTTTGTAAGGAGTTTTAATAAGATCGCCCAACTCTGATTGAGATAATTTTATATTTAGTTATTGAGATTTTTGTTTTGCAAATATGATGGAATTAATGATATTATTCACAGTTATTCATATAAGTAGATACCTATTTCTGCATTTAAATTATGAAGAGAAGCAAAAAGTTTTAAATAGAAGAACATTAAATTAGTTTCAGGCTATGACTAAGCAGGGAACATCGGAACAATTCAATTAGAAAAAGAATTTTCTCAGAATTGAAAGTAAAACTTTTTAAAATCGTAGTATAAAATTTAATTAATGCAAAGTTATAATTAACTCTTTTCTGAGTAAAAATTATTATGCTAAGCAGAGTACACCAGAATTCGTCGAAATTTTCAGAGATAACTTTTAACCTTAATGTGATTATCGACTGCATACGTAGCACTTTATTAAATTTATTCTGTGCACAAAGTGACAACATCTTCAACAAAATAAAACAAAAAGTCAAGTAGGTATTTTATTTTTCACGATGTTGTAGAATAATTCTGTTTCTCAAAGGAGAAGTTTGAATTCATTTTAAAAAAGTAAATTGGTTGGTGGAGTTTGACTTAAACTCAAATTAAAATTATTTTGAATTTTGTTAGTTTCGGTTTACTTTAATCTCTGATTGCTCCGTATGTAAAAAAAAATTAAAATTTATGTACAATCTCTTTAAAAGCCTTCATTCAATTTTAAATTTATGTAGCGATAAACTATTTCTTCCGAGCTTTTTAATGGCAATCTAAGTATTCATTATTTCGTTAAAGACTTAAGAACTTTTTTTATGTTAGCAGCTTTTTTTATTGATTCTTATCTCCATCCATCTTAATAACTTCGTGAAACGGAAACATTGGCAACAGGAGACATAAGGACTTAGGCCTTGATTTTTTTTTGTTCATTTTATTCGCATTGGCTTGGGTAAAATATCATTTCATACTTTAGGCCCTGAGATGAATAAGACAAATGTTTGTCGTACAACCATTCATCACAAATTGTGACCTAACCAATCATTACATATGACGAACACATAACAAAATAATAGAGCTTTTAGAAATTGTCATTTGCCATCTTTTATTATCAAGCAAAAAAGCTTGAATGGATAAATTAATCTTAATATAGAAGTGATTTGATGGTGGTTTTGATTTAATACTTTTTAGCATAAACAAATCATCAGTATCTCTTTATTATCTATTGTAAATAAATGATGTCGAATAATGAAACAACGATGTTACTTGATGTAACATGAATATAACATTAAAATTATAATGTAATTCCTTTCATGAAAACTTATAGCAAATCAATATTTATTATTCAGTTTCTTATTTATATACACCTAAATATAGTTTTAATTGTTCAGAACAAACACTAAAATTAAATAGCTATTGGATTATGAATTTGAAAAGAATGCAACTTAGTTTATATTTTTTTTAATTATTCATACATTCGTATGTACTTTTCAAAAGATTTTTATGTGAATTCAATGTCGAAACCCGGCTAACCTTAGTTCAAGGCCTTTTTCATGTTTTATTTATCAATTTTTAATTTCTATGTGCAACAATCCTTTATGTTTTTCACAAGCAATAACTTATTTTTTTAATTTCCAAATTTTTAATCAAAAAACAGATAAATTCAAACAATCAGATGACTAAATCATTGAAAGACAGAAAGAAAAAGTTAAATCATAAAAATTGTTGAAGTAAACATTTCTCATGGCAATTTATTGGTAAATTTTTCACGAAGCTTTTCCTGTTGAACCGTAGCAAAAAAATAATACAAAATAGAAAAATATTATATCACGCTTAGCAAGCAGAATATTCGAATAAACCAAGAAACAAATAAATAGTGACGGAAACAAGAATGAAGAAATAACTTGAATTTAACTAGTGGAAGGACTATGGAAGCAATGAAGCTATTTCCTTTATTTATCCGTTTCCATTACCGCTCAGAATAAATATTGGATTTCTTAAGCTCATACAAATTATCGGGTTTCATATATTATGGTGGAGAAAAGCAGAAACTAAATTTGACATAAGGGGAGATTTTGAACAAAATTTCATGGATATTAAAGCGCATAATGTTATCTGAACAAAAAAACGTTGTTCGGATGTATCGGCTATCTAAATAACGTGAGAAATTCTCATAAAAATTTACATACATAGAAAGCAGTTACATGTAACATTCTATAGCAGCAACATTCTAAATTAGATTCTTTTTATCGATTTATAGTTCCAGTAATAATTATATATAATTATATATCTATATAAATATTACTAACAAAAATATCTGCTGCGGGCTGTTTTCAAGCTACAGTAAATTTTTAAGTATGTCATTAGCAGAAAAATCTGCCATGAGCGATTTTTACTCCAACAGATACTCTTGAAAAGAGATGTGAAAATTCTGCTGTTGCATTTATATTATCAGCAAATAATGGAAGCAAAAGCATTCTTGCGAATATAAACTAAACTAACATTCATTTTTTTGGAATAAAAATTAACATTAATTTTTAATTATTATGTACAGAATGCTTTCATTCCTTTAAAATGGTTATTATTTAACAACTGAAGGGGAAAAATCCTGACATTTCCAGGGTTAGGAGAATATCTTTTGAAAATGTATGTAAATGTAAATGACAGTATCACAACATGAATGATGTTAATTAGAGTTGATGAAAAAAGCCTGTAGTGATGTTGTAAACATAAAATGTTGAATTCTGAAATTTATTTACCATTCGTTTTAATGTTTAATTGATTGTTTAATGTTTTCTCTATATCCTGTATGTCAATACAGAGAAGCCATAAATTTTCTTTTTGTTGGGCTTGACCCTAATATTGTCACAATAATTCAAATTCAATGAAAAAAGTAAACGTAAACTTTATCTTACAAGTATCTTCATATAAATGAATTATTTTAATTAAATTGACATTGTTTACCTGCTTTGTAGCAGTCGAGATTAACCTTAAACAGATTGAAATTATCTCAGTAATCAACAGGTTGATGATATCATTAAATCAGATTTGCATAAAACTGTCACTACATTAAAATGACTTTTAACGTGTCTTTAGAATGTGTCATTAACATAGATAAGATTCTATTAAAAATTTCACTGAATTGTCCAAAAAAAAAATGCTTATGTCATAGCTTAAGCTTTTTTTATACAGAAGAAAATTTTTGGGTGAGGTTAGCAACAATGGCCTTTAGCCAACATAAAATTTTCAATTAAATCAAAGCAATAATTTCCATAATCACTTCCATTAATTAGTTAAAAAATTGTTAACTCTTTGTTACACATAAGTTGTTACATTCGGATTAAACATTTAACAGAAATTATTTTAAATCAACGAATAATGCAACCACCATCATTTACAAAAATTTATAATTTAGTTAATGCCAAATTTTATCATTTAAAATACTTAGTCCGTAAACACATATTAACATCAGCCTAGGAAGTTCCCTGGTTTTGTTGTACATAATCATGAATTAATTAAATAATTGAAGGGGAAATTTTCTCTTCTGTCTAGATGTTAGATTAGATTTTATCTTAATTAAAGGGGGAAAAAGTTTGCGAATATTCCGAAGAATTTCCATTATGACATTCAAAATAAAATACAGTCTCTTTGTTCTTACAGATGCTTGTTCAAATCTTCGCTAATGTCCGGGCCTGAAACGGATTGTTTTATAGTTATTGGTGTATCACGACCTAAATTAGCTGCGATCTTTTTTTCTGTCATGCTGATATCGCTATTTCTAACATTTCACATATTGTACGACTCTGCCGTTTACTCAATTCAGGTGAGATTTAAATTTAAATTCATTCTATCAATTGACACAATCACATTATCGCATTTGTGTTTTGTAAACATTTTTCTCTTATTTAAGGCTGCCACGACGATATCAGATGGTAATAAGATAGCAATATTAACAAATCGAGTTTCACATTTAGATAACCAACCGATCGGATTTCCACATCGCTTTCACTTTCCCAAAACGAGTCGGAAGTTACCTCAAGTGAGTATTACTATGTGATCAATAAGAACAAATAAAGTGTAACTTAATCTTATGTGAATTCTTGTTTTCCTTTTTCATTATCCTCCCGTGTGTGTAATGATACTTTAATGGAACGTCTATGCTTGTTAACAAAAGTGTCTTATCATTGGCGTGAGAAAATGTGGAACACGAGCTCTTCTTGAAATGTTGAACCTTCATCCACGCATTCAGAAAGCGGCTGGAGAAGTTCACTTTTTTGATCGAGATGAGAATTACAACAAAGGGTTAGAATGGTATAGAAAAAAGATGCCACATAGTTTCCGGGGACAGATAACAATCGAAAAGAGTCCAAGCTATTTCGTGACACCAGAGGTAGGATATTTCCTAAGATTGAAAGTTTGACTGAATGTTTGATCCTTGTTTACAAAAAGTACCCAAATCTATTCTCAACTATTATTGTTTTACCAAATCTTCGAAAATATTTCTGTTTAAAGCCTAAGTAAGATCCACAAGAACCTTAAAGTATTTATTAAAACCTACAATGAATGTTGTGAAATTCAAGAAGGAAGTTATTTAATAAAGTCTCTTTTCACATCTTGTAAAAACACATCTTGGGAAAATAAATCTTGGTTTGTAAAAAAAATACTTTTCGTTCGAAGTTGTTGAAAGTCATTTCGTTTTGGGCTGTATCCTTTTGAATCGGAAATCCAATTTATTATTTATAATGCAAGATTAAAAATAATGTCATTCAGCCTCATTGGTCTGTGTTTCTTAAAGAGAAATGATGAGGAAAATTCTAGGGCTATAGGAAAAATTGAAATATTTAAATATTTCGCCACATTTGGTATGATACTTATGTCAGTGACAGCGTTTTGGGACACATACTGAATTTTCCATCGTCTTGGGAACATTTGAAGGGTGTGGTAGGAATTCACTACATAAACTCTTTTCCTTAGGGAAAAAGTGTTGAGGAGAGGATAAAAACTCATCACGGACAAATATGTCACGGGAATAAAACTTTTTTAGAATTCATGTTAGTGCTTAGAGTTACAAAACAAGAATTTATTTCATTTTTAATAATTTTGTTTCCTTACGTAACTTTTATAAAATTTACGTATTTTTATATTTTTCAGGTTCCAGAACGAGTCCGCGCGATGAATTCTTCAATAAAATTGCTGTTAATTGTGCGAGAACCAGTAACGCGTGCAATTTCAGATTATACACAATTGAGAAGCCATGCAGCAACATCTATTTTACCATCTTTAACTACTTCAATCCAACAGCAGGCATCACAAACAACGTCATCCATTTCAAGGTCTGAGATTGTATTTATTTACTATTAAAACTTTCCTCTGATAATCTTCGAACACTTTTTATAAGGGCACAGACGAAATGAAATATCCCTTCAACATATTTACAATAAAATGACATACAATATGTAAGATCAAGCTTCAGTCATAATCATAGAAAGTCAGACTAAATTAATTTCTTACTTTCTTTCAAAGTTTATGATTTCTTCCGATTGCAATGACTTAATCATTTCTAATCTGATAAGTGTGTGATCTTATCTTATTAATTAGTAATATTCTGCAACAAGTCACTTGTTGTTTCGATTCTTATGCATAGATAACAGCAATCAGATTTAATTTGCGTTCTCAGGTTTTAATAAATCGATCAATTTTCTCTTAAAGATACCAATGAGCATAAAATATCCGATTAAAAATTCTTATTGTTATCAGACCAATGAGGTTACCGAGTTAATGTTATTAAAAGAAACTTTTTTTCTATTTATTTCAATAGAACTTTTGAAGAGCTTTCAATTCTTCCAAACGGAACTGTTAATATGTTTTATCGTCCGCTTGTTCTTTCGATGTATCACCAGTTCATTTGTAAGTAAAGTATTTTTGGTCTTTTAATCATTTTGTTACATTTTAAAGTAAAGATATTAACAAACATTTTCATTATTGAATGCAGTAAGGTGGCTTGAGATATTTCCACGTGAACAGTTACTATTGGTAAACGGTGATCAACTGATAGAAGATCCATTATCACAAATACGTCGGATAGAAGATTTTCTAGGTAAGATTTCAGTTTAAATAATATTAAAGCTTCTTCTTAGCCATTTAACTTACAAACACTTTCAACTTATTTTGAATTTTTCCTATGGGAAATGAGTTTTGTAAAAAGAAAGCTTAATGTGGGCCAACAACGAAAGTTTTTTCAATGTTGATGATGATGATAATGATGTTTGAAATTTAAGCTTCCTAAATTTCTTAATACATTGTTATATATGTCAATATCCTCAGGTATCGAGCGTCGTATTAGTCAACATAATTTCTATTTCAATGAAACAAAAGGATTTTATTGTCTACGAACAGAGATGGGTGATAGTAAATGTTTACGTGAGACCAAAGGACGTCGTCATCCTGATGTCGATCCGAAAGTGATATCAAACTTAAGAAAATTTTTCGCGGAACATAATCAGAAATTTTACGAGATAGTAGGAGAAGACCTTGGTTGGCAGGAAGATTGAAAATGTTTTACAGTCTTAATAAAGCTTTGAAAGTTTTGTTGTTTTCTTGGATATTTATTGTAAACATTTAGATAGGTAACCGTGAGAATAGTATGATAAGAAATCTAATATTAAATCATGATAAAACTGAAACTTAAACATATCAAGCAAAAAGCAAAACCAAAGAAGTTTTACACGCAAATTATAAGACAATGAAGCTACGCATGTTTTATCAAGAAGCATGTGAAAGCGTAATCTTAAACATATCATGAAAAAACATATCAATTTACATATTGTTGCTTCGTCATTCTTTTATGGGAATTTTTAGAAACGAGAAACGTTTCACAAACTTGATTTCGGACGACGTGAGCTGAAAGTAAAGAAAAAAGAGTAAAAAATTGAAAGATTTTAAATTTTTAAAAGAGAATTAAAGATATGTGAAATAAGTTACATCAAAGAAAATTTTGGAACTCTAATAGTAAATTTTGGATTAATTGGTTTAATTAAATATGTTGAATTATATATCTAGATGGATGACATCAACCAGTTATGTGAACTCCGCCCAAAGTAGTTTGATATTATTAGAGAAATTCATATGAGCAAATAAATAAAATTTTGCAAATGGTCAATTCCTAGTTTATTTAATTTGTGCAAATATAAAATAAGTATCAAATTAAAATTATCTTGATTTACGGTCCTTTATTTGAATATCCTACCCACTTTTGGAAGTTTGTTAGTGAAGTCAATTAAGCTAGCAGTAGTTGTTAAAAAGAAACAAATTCACAGAAATTTGAACGCAATAATTCAAGTTTATTTCTTTTTACAATCCATCTTCTTATAGACAATTTTGTTGTTTAATAAAAAGAATTGGACATAAATTTTGAAAGTTCTAAAATATACCAGGCAGCAACTAATTGGGAGGATGTCATTTAAAAATGCTGATGTAGCAATATTTACAAGCTGATCAATTCACAACGTGAGAGTCGCATTGAAAACTCCTTTTAAGTTAAAAGTTTTACCGTTAGCATGGAATTAAAGAGATGACCTCTTTTAGTAAAATAAAAGTTATCAATTCAAAATATTTTTATTAACAACTTTGAAATCCATTCTTATATTTTTGAAGCCTGTGATAATTAAATAAGCAGTTGACATATTCCATTTTTACAAGTTATCATTTGGTTTCTTACAAACTACCTACCTATTTCTGAATTACTTATACTAGCATACAAATAAGTTATTAAATTTTATAAACTACCGATTACCTTAATTCTACATCTGAAACAAAAATTTTAATTACGTTTTTGTAGTTATCCACTATAATTAATTCAGACATCTTTCCTCCATCGTCAGACACTTCCTACTCTCTTTTTAATTCTATTGTGCATTTTTTATCCTCCATTCAGGTATGTCTTCAACGACATATTTGCTACATGTTTTAGTGTTTTCTTCCCATACATTGTACTGGGTTTTTCCATGTTATGACTTATAAAAAAAACTTTATGACTTACCAAGTTGCGACTTGCAGTCACGTAAACTAAGTTTTCCCATGACATCTTATATAAATTTTCTTTGAAATATTTACCAATTAAAATACAATTAAATGCTTCAGGCAAAAATTGGCCATTATTAAGCAAATAATTGTCATGCCAAAATATACAATTTACCGTCAACACTGAATTACCATAATTTCTATGATTTCAGGCATTATATGCAGAGATTAATTTTTCATTATAATTTAATTTTTTTCTTTTTTTAATGAAAATTTAGAAAATAAGAAACATATCGAAGGTATCTTACTTAATATTTTTTAAACAGAGCTTTCAGTTCATGAATTTCGTTTCGAATGCATACATCCTAAAAATGGAAATTATTTTTTGTTTTGAAATAAATATATGTATGAAGAGCTTAAAACTCTCTTATCATTGAAAACTTATAGTCTAAGAATTATTGAATGAACAAAGCTGAGGAAATGTCACTTATACCTTTAAGCATTTAAGCTTAAGAAATTATGTCGTTCTGATGTAATTTTTTTAAATAAAATAAGAAAAGTAATGAAGAGGGAGAATTTTAGAACAGAAACTCAAAAGAAAATGAGTGAGAGTGAAAAAATTACATAAAAATGATACAATTTAAGCAATATTCCTAAATATTCCTACCACTCTAAATAAGTTCTTCTTCTTAAAAGAAAAAATTTGAAAACTTTTCATAATTCCAGTGAACTTTAATTAAGAAAGGAAAAAGAGAATTTTTTAAACGTTGGACAACATAACTTATGCTATGAACTTACCAAATAAGTGCATAAAAAAGTTTATGAAATATCTAAAAAAAAAAGAAAATTCAAACATGAAAACCGTAAACAGATACATGAAAAAAAATCAGTAACGACTGCATATCAATTTATTAAAGAATTAAAATTTGAGAATATTTTGCTATCGCAAAAGAAATAAAAACATATCTATAATTATGAGTCAATAGATTCAATGAATTTTATCAATTGGAATTGATCTAGTTTATTTAAGTTTAGTTAATCATCAAAATTTAAAAGACAAAAATTAAAGAAATAAAAACTGAAATAGTTATTTACATTTATCAGATATTGCAATACTTATAAAATTCTTGCTAAAATAAAAATCCCAATGCCATATAATTTTATCAACTCTTTTGAACAAATTTTATGGAAAATATGTGAAAAAATTATCGCAATCGGAAAATTTTCTTGTCAATTTTATCTAGTCTATTAAAACAAAATTAAAAGTTGAACAAAGCATTAATTATCATAACTTTTCGGAATTTTAAAATGAATATAAAAATGTTCCATAAAATGATGATGTTCAATAAATTGTTAGAAATTCTGTTTCACATTTTTATGTTTTATTGTTTTTTTAACATCGTCATGACACATGAGTAATAAAAAGCAAAATAAATCTTTCTCTCTATTATTTTACTTTTTTTTAATTGAGTTAACAGTAAATATAACTTATGGTTATTAAATGTAAAAAATTAAAAACAAAACCTAATGAAAGCCCTCTATTTACTATTATTGTTGCAGTTTTCATGCTTCGAAATGAAAACGAGAATAAAAAAATATAAGAGGAAATAAGAAATAAATGTTATATTTGATAAGATAAATGTATTAAGTTGAAATAATTAAGAATAGTTAGCAACCAAAGGAGAGATAATTTCTCCATAATTTAGAAATATGAACTGTCATAAATGAAAACTTTAAGCTCAATCGTAATCTGATCAATCTTCGCAAGATATGTTGCACTTAAATACTTTGGAATTTTAATGATTTGAATATGTAGGGAAATCGTTTATTTAATCTTTCTATCTGTTACCATAAATAGATCATTATCATAATTTTGGTGGCCTTAACTGAATCATTTGCAGTTAAATGATCATTTGAAATTTATAAAAGCCAAAGTATCTTTTGAGAACACAATTTATCTTTCAATTTAGATGACAGTCATAACATGTTTAGCAAGTTTTGGTGTGACTTTACATTTAGTGCATGTAAGGTTCAAGCATAAAAATTAATATTTTTAAAATTGAACCTTGTGACATAAGTAGATCTTTGCCAAAATCTTATGTTCATTGATTAGATTTTCCACAGATTAAACATACAACGACTACGAAACGCCCAATTATATTTATATGTTTAAAATAATGATTCATTTTTGAATGAATTCCTTAATAGCGTTATTTAGATCGACTTATAGGAAGTTGTAAACAATTTAAACACAAGAAATAACCGACACATTCACTGTTAAATTGTTGTGCACTATAAACTATAGTTCGTGGATGAATTCATTTTTGTTTTAGTAAAGCAAGAAAAAGAAAAATACAAACAATGAAAATAAATTCGTAGATGCTTAATTGAATTGCATGAACAATTTATCATAAACATATCTAAATCAGTTTGAGCCTTTTAAGACCAAAATCAGATTTTATTGATTCACAGAAAGGTGTGAAATTTTACTTATTCCATCATAAATAACATGAGGAAATTATTAAAAAGAAAAAGTTACAAAAAATTATTTCATTAAATATTTCTTTGAATGGATACTAAAAATAAAAGAATAAATAAAGTTTATTTACAAGATTTTATTTATTAGAATATATCTACTGTATTTACCGAAAAGCTGTTAATTTTTCAATAATAAATCAAAAACTTTCAAAAATTATAAATCGTTTATGTATGTAGATAATTATCCTGAAAATCCTTTTGAAATGCTAAAATCAAGGAATAATTTATAGGAACCAAAAATTGAATTTTCTTTGTTGAAACAGCGCCATCTTCCAGAGCTTTTTTTAGAGCTTTTTCATGAAAAAATCTTTGAATGTTCCGGAGCTTTTTTCTTTTGAGACCTTTTTCACGTAAAAGTTCCTTACCATGGTAAGGGCGTGCTACTCAAATAAACTATTACTTACATAAAATAATTTAGGTATGATGTTTAAGAGGAACAAACACCTGGAAGGTTAAAAACTTTCTTTAAATTTTATGAAAAATCTAATTTAAAATTGAAATTGCAATCGACAACCTTTCAAAAGAAAACTTCATAAACATTTCAGTTATGATGAGTTTTTTGACTTTTTATTGATTTTTTTATATGAAGCAGCAGACAATTTGACAATATTTACTAATGATTTGTAGAGTTGAACATTCTCTTTTATTTTAAGCAACAATCACAATAAAATATTGTTTTTGAATCTGACATGCCTAACGATTTTTTATGCTCATTTTTTATATATATACTTTAATTTTTAATTGTAATTTATGTAGATCAAAAATGTAACAGTCATTTCATTGTTCTTAAAACTTTGTAATAATACTTTTCATTTGTATGTTCTTTTTTCCTGTTGTTCTAAGTGCTTAGAAAATATTTTTGTGTAATGTTACATATACATACATCAATTTTCTTTTCAACAAAGGTTGAGCTTTGTTTAGGTGATTACAATTTTTTAATGTGAATTAAAAGATACATGAGAATTCTCAAGCATTCTGTCAATCTTTTTTTTCATATTAAAAGCTGCTTCTGTTTTATTTATGAAGTCATAAAATATGGTATGTGTTTATTGAAAAATATCCTGAAAAAAATTTTCTGCTATCTTTATGAATTCTAAATTTTTATATAGTCCGAAAGAGTTTTTGTTTCAGAATTCTATTCTAGAGCAAAATTTAAGTCTTACAGTCAACTCTCGATTATAAATATTTGAAGGGATCGGAAATTTACATGTTATATCGAGTGAAATTTCTTATCGAGGGAATTTCGTTCCAGATTCAACTCAGATGCAATTTACTATCGAGTGAAATTTCTCACCGAAAGCATTTCTTATCAAAAGTTGACTGTAACTCTTTTTAAAACATACAAGTTTTAAAGAATTAGAGAATAGGTAAATAAGACTTTTCGGAAAAGCAATAAATAGAAGTTCATGGCTTAAACGTATTTATGAACAAAACGTTCATAATAATTTTAATTAATGAAGAACATGTTTCAAGTTGAGATATCTGTATCTCAAATTAAATAAAGAGATTCACATTTTAAAAATTTGAACTCTCGAAGCTTTAACCATTAAAATGTATTGTTAGAAGTTCAAATCTCAGTAACTTAAAAGCCTTCAAAACTTAAAATTTTTATTCAATAAATTATTAAGTTATTGCTAAGTTCTGACCAACTAAAAAATAATTCACAATTTTAATTGCTCGTGAAATATAAAATTTGAAATCTACAAATGTAGATATATGCGTAATGTATCTTTTTCAGGAATTTTGAATTAAGAACCTCAGGATATTTGAAAAATGTTCTTTATTTAGATATACATAAGATGAAAGCTTATTGAATGAAACTATCGAGCATTTATAAATATATTTACAAAAATTCATTTATACTATCATCGTCCAGATTTTCAAAATACTGGTAAAAAGACGACCCCATTCACTTGATAGATATATAAACATATTTAAAGAATAATTCAGATTCTAATCATCACACAAATGCGAACCTCATTAGACATCCAAAGTTTTAGTTAAACAGATGCATTAAAAGTTATTTTTATATTTCAATCTTTATGTTATCTTATCTAAGTCAAATTTACCAATGCTTTCGTGGAATTTTTGGCTTATAAATATTAAATGATTGAGAGCGACACAATGAAAAGTATGCTAAATATTTGTTTTGGGAATATTTCTTATCAATTTTTTCCGTTTATTAGAAATATTAAAAAATACTTCGCAAGTTCTTCAACATTAATGTTTATTAAGTCGTTGCATACGTGACTATTTGTTTCTATTCAAATATTTATCCACTTTTGAGCATGGAAATGATCGAGATAATTAATTAACAATTTCTTATAAACAAAAGCCTTGGAGCTTCGTAAATGGCCACAAATGTGTTAGTTTTTCTCGAAAGAAAACGAAGACTGTTCTTGTCTTTCATTCATTTAATTTATAGAGAGTGCTCTTAACATATACAAAATGTACATTTACAGATTAAAAATTTGATAATAAGTCAGTGAAAAAACCATTAACATGATTTTAGTGTCTCCATTGCTCGTATTTCATGGTTTTGCAGTTTTATTGTTCTCTAAATTCAATGTTTGTTTGTCGTGACAAATTAAATGTTACATAGTTTTTATCTTGATTTTTATGGCTTTCAGCTTTTCCTTAAATTTTTGCGCATAGAATATAGAATTATTTTATAGTAAAAGAAGAGCTTTTTTAGAGGGGAGATCTCGAGACATCATGTCGCCAATGTAGAAGGCTTTTTGGACTTTGTCCCACATTTATGTTATTAATTGCAATCATGAAAGCATATGCAGATCTTTATGAATTTATAATCGAAAGCAAATGGATAATGTACGACACTAAGCACTAAAGCATCTTTATAATGTGTTGAGATGTTTGGTGCTCAGCCAATGTTTTATCGCTAATGGATATATTTCTATCCAAAGCTTATATCTTCATCGTCGAATGAGATTTGTACTTCATTATGGGTAAGTATTTCTGTTCAGTTAGCCATAAAGTACACTTATGCGTATCATACACTTGTCAAGCAAGGAAGAATTGTTCAACCAGAATGCCATTGAAGCTATGACTACAGAAATATTTTCTACTGCAAAGGCGGTGGTGTACGATGACCAGATATAAAAACTTTGGGAATTGTTTGTCGATGTAGAAGTTCAGGAGTTTCATTTTTCTCTTTTGTTTTTCGTTTTTTCCATCGATTTCTATGTTTCCTAATTCGTGGAAATTTCTCGGCTCTTTGAAAGTTTCTGTTGTACAAATGACTGAGCTGACATTTTGCATTGTTTCGCCAATGCGGAAGATCAACTCCGTTTCGTGCACATTCGTGTGCATAAGCAGTGAAGCTTTCACAATAGCACATTTGTGAGGGACATTCACACATATCCATCAAACAATATTCAAAATAATTATCAGGATTCACGCGACTATTACAATTTCCAAAAACATTGTGAAGTTTCAATTCGTGACATTTCAATGCGCGCTTCTTTCTTCCATTAATGCACTGTTGCGGTGTCTGATGATGTTCATTTGGTTTTCGAACACATGCTCTTAATCCACCTACTCTCCAGCTATCAGCAAATTTCCTAACATCACAGTCTGCCATGTTGATTCCCGTCCTTGATGTTAAATCATCGCGCCAAATGTTGTTGTAGTTTCCACATAAACCACACAGCTTATTTTTGTAGATCACTGGCGCCTCAACTTGAAGGAAGTTATATCCATCCCAGATGAGTTTTATTCCCAAATGTGACTCAACAATGACTTCATCATCGCGACTCTTATAAATCTTCACCAATTTTTCAATATTATATGGCAGTTGAATTCTCGTTCCATTCACTTTGACCCGAAGCTTTTGTCCTAAATTGATTTTTATATTCGTCATTTTAAAGGTGACAGTTTTTGTCCAACTGGAATGTTTAGCTTGTCTAGCGTCGTTTGTCACTCTAATAGAGAATGTATGATTAACACAATCAGCTGTTAACTGATATTTACAGGAACCTTGGAAACTAAAAAATTTCCCATCAAATGTTTTATAATGTGGATCTCCAAATACTGTGCAAACAGAAGGGCTTTCAATGCATTTGGCACAACATTGACCTTCTGGTATAACAAGATTTTCATTTGGACGACATTTAATTTTAGGGCATTGAGTTTGAGCGCAACGAATCTCACCAGCCTTACACTCACATGATTGGCATGGACCGAGATTCCATGTCTGATTGTTCTGCGAATAAGGCCCAAAGAAATAAAGATTTTATAAAAAGGAAATGAACAAGATGATCAAACCTGATATGTAACACCTTTGTAGACGCATGTAGAGCTGACAAATTCAGTGTCAAGTTTCGGACATGATGGACAGCATTCTCCTGGCTGTGTGAGTTGATGTTCTGGTGAGCATTCGAGTACGGGACATGACTGCTTAAGACAGACTGATGTCTCGTTATGACATGTACATGTTGAACACACATCTGGCTTAACTTTTTTATCTTTAGCTGAAGGGAAAAAATCTCCCATCATAAGACAACCACCTTAAATTTTAAAAACATTTCCTTTATTATTTTTGAATTAAATGTCGAGAAGTTTTTTTTTTATTGAAAATAAAAAGCTGCAAAAAGCATATTTTTGTATAATTAACTGACCTTTGATAGGGGTGTAAATAATATTTTTCGTGCATTTCTTACAGCAACCTCCAGGTGGAGTATATTGAAGGTGCGGGGGACATTGCAGCACGGGACAAACTTTTTTTGTGCAAGTCAATCTTTTCCCATTACATTGGCACTTTACGCAAGGATCTTCTGTCAATGTCACTTCTCGTTCTTCTAAGACAGTTTGCCCATTTAAGTGGCAACCTGGAAAAGAACGCAACAATGAAATTGTTTAATAAATCGACTTAAGAAGTCAAATATTTCTTTATAGAATTGTTTCTTTAACGTCTGTTTCTTTATACGCGATTGCCACATACGAAAAGTTGAAAACAAATACAAGGAAATTGTGGAAATGCTCCAAGCTACACAATGTAATCAAATGACTTTAAAATGGATTTTAATGTACACGTAAGACTAATTGTTAAGTTCTCTCACAATTTAATTGAATTTCAAAGATCTTTCTGACCTTTGATTGCTTAAAACTCATAAAATTTGATTCTCCTTCAACAACAAAGATAAAAATTCATCAGACAATCGCCATTTAAAAACTCTACAGTTATCGAACTCACATTTAAATACCAACACACATTTATTTTTAAGCTGTTTCTTTTACCTTTCTGTCAATGATTATCATATAGCTTCCATTTGGACCACCCAAATGTAATTGATTTTCAGGAATAACTAATAAAATCAAATATTTAGTTGACGTTCTATTTTTTGTTTCAAATTTTCATAATTTTCGTTACTATATAAACAAGTTATTAAGATTTTATTTGTTTGTTTCTTTGAACATGTTCTTGATATTAAGATATTATTTGTGTATTTGGAAGTAAAACGTAGTGATTAGTTCTATTTACCAAAACTGTTTTCAAATTGAATGCAATAATTCGTGAAATGGATTCAAAAAATCACAGTAGACATTTTTCATTTCTATTTAATTTAAGTTACATTTCACTCACCTAAGCATGTAGGGCAGCATTGACCTTGTCTTGGAGGTAAAGGATCATTACAAGGAGTGTAACATTCTAGTAACGATTCCGTCACAACTCCAGCTATGCATTTGAAATAAGAACATGGATCGTCGGGATCACTCCACTCGGCTCCACTTTGAAAAATCTGGCCTTTGAATGTACATTCTGAAATGAAAAAAAATCATAAATAAACTTTATATACTTAAATTGTTTCAATTTACCTTTGCATTTATCACAGCAAGTTCCAGGGGATTTTTTTACTAAAGCATAACAGTCATCGACAGGTGGGCAACTGTCCTTTTCACATTCAATGAAACCGTTCTGAAATATCAACAAAGAAAGAAAAATTTAACATTTTCATTCGTTATCTAGTTTGAAACCAGCAATATAATAAATCATTCTAGAATACGATCATCAAAATATTTGTAATTGCCATCATTTTAAAATTTTATGTTTTTTTCAAATTCATGTTCTGTGATTGCAAATTATCCAGCGAAAGTTTAATTTACTATTTCCAATATAAATCACGAATTTAAATTCCCTCAGACATCTTCTTACTTTCCAATTCAGTTTTGTAATTTGTTTGTTTGTTTGCTTAAGTCGATTATAAATATGTATCTGAAGTATCATGACGTAACCCTCAAGATAGGCGCCGTCATGATTTTTATAAAAAACAAATTTCAATCATCCATGTAACTTATCCATATGCTATATATTTATTAGAAACAAAAGAATATATTTTAACACATTACAAATTTATTTATTCATTTGAGATATTTGTTTTCAGTTATGTGATACCTAAGCCTCATTTACGTTGCTCAAGAGTGAACAATAAATTCCTCAAATCTGACATGATCGCAACTCTTTTATAAACTTCAATGCTATGCAGAGAGAAATAAGTTAAAGGAAATTCAGTGAAAATCTATTTTGCTGCTAAATATTTTGCTTCACTTATGATATTTACAAATAATATATTTAAAAACGGACATTAATTAGACATAGATTGTCAGACATAAACACACATTATGTCTTCACTGATTAAATCAATTTAAATCTTTCATAAATAAACCATTATTAAGAATGAAATTTAAAAGTTTGATGTATACAAGAAGAGCATTCAATAGTTTGTTTTATGTTTCACAATTCTATGCATTAAATGATTTTTTAATTGGAATGAACAAATTGCGATAGTAAAAATATGGAAAAGGAACATAAAAAGCATTTAAGGAATTTCTTTTTAGTTTGAGTTAGATATCTCTTAAAAGTAAATTGATTGCTCACGTGTGATTAGTAAAAAATTTTAGCGTCTGTCAATTTCCTATTTTCTTAATAACAAAAAGAAAATTTATATATGAAAAATAAAACATTTTTTTAAAGTGAAATTTAATGTTCCAAAATTTTTATCGTAAAGTATATGATTTTTATAAATCGGCATCTTTTCCATCGATGACATCATTCTTTTTCTTAAGATCTGGCGCCAGTAGTTTTCGAATTCATCCGCTACCCTATCTTTCTTCTCTTCACACAAAACTTCTCATACTTACCACATCTTCATAATAAATATCTACTAAGTAAATGTTAGAGAAAGAGTTGTGTGTTGTTTACGTTTTTTCCCATTCTGTATCATTAGTATAGTATAAGATAGTAACAGTTTCTCAAGCCTAACACAACACAAGCATTTACATGATGCTCAATGCTAATATGACAAATAAATTAATTTCAAGTTTTTAAAAATTAAGCAGAGGTTATCACAGATCACCTAACAAATAACTAGGGATTGACTCCTATTTTTGTTTTTACATATTTTACTAGGTAGCTGTCTATAACACAACGAAATATATTTAGTTGGCTGACCAAATCTTCAAAAGCAAATAGATGCATATCAAAACATGTCTCAATTTATTGGCTACTTTAAATAATGGCTTCATAAACTGGCCATCCCATTGCGCCTAAAATCAAACAGAGATTATTCAAATTTATGTAGGTATGCGCTCAATATAAAATGTCGAATATTCACACCTTACTCAACTACTAGATTCATGCATTCTTAGAATAATATTATTTCACGATATCTATCAAATAAATAATGGAGTGAGCAAAAGATCAGAAAATTGGGCAATAAATATAAAGGGAAGCTTTAGGTGAAACAAAAGGAAAAAAAAACTATTTACAGCCGCAATCTTGTTATTTTCAAAATAACTTGAACAAGCGGTAGAATCAAGCTGACTTGAAGAATTTCATTACGGAATCTCGAGCAATAAATTTTTAGTATCATATAAAAGTATATATGCAAATTTTCAATCGAATAAATGTTACTCTTGAATGTATTATGGTATGTGAAACCATGAAAAATAAATGTAGGAAGAAGAAGAAGGAGAAATTTTATATAAGATTTGTCTCGTTTCATTTCATATTTTTTAAAGTTTTTTTTAATTTGCCATCATATACATAATAAAAAATAGTAGTGAACAAGGTCATTCGAGGCCGCTTGAAATCTACAGTTGTAGTGGAGATTTTTATATTTTTTGAGAGTTTTCAGTTACTCAAAACTCAAGAGTAAGTATATGTAAATAGTTTTTAACTTTTTCTTCCAAGAAATCGAGTATGATATGTGCGCAAATGTGTTTGTTTACTAGTTTTTATCTCATTCGAAGAGCGTAAGACGTGGTGTGGCTTGTGCTTTGCATTTCAATCACTATAACTAAAGACTTAATCTTCCGATTAATTTATACATAATTTTGAAATTGATGTTCTCGATTCGTCGATCAGAAAATTGAATCAAATGAAATAAGAATTTCAACCATAATCATAGATGTGCACACTGAATTTGTGTTTAAAAATTAAAACTCTAATTCTATGTTTCCTTTTTTTTACTTCCGGTGAATATTACTTAACAGTGCAATATGTAGTAACCATGCAGGTAGTTTCTAAAATAAATTTTGTACTAAATCAAGTATAAAAATCATATTCCAATTGGCTTAAATATGTACACTTCATCAAAGAAGTCAAAAGTCTTCCCCTTCATGTTTAATTAAATATTTTTTCTTCTGGTCAAGAATACTATTTTGTTTCATAATTTATTTTAAAGAAGAAGGCCATTTATTTAGTAAACAAGGAATTATCAAAACTATATTTTCAAGATTAGTTCATGGAAAAAACAAAATCATTTCAGCCTTAGTAACTTACTCTAGTTCTTGAGTTTCGTTTTTTTTTGTTTTTCGTTTTGAACAAGGTTTTGAATGAGAATTGGGAAGATAAAAAAGGAAAGAAAATGAAACTAGTCATGTTGGTCATTATTTTTCGGCGCACAGGCGCCACTTGAATGATTTACAAAGTTTAAAAATTCTTTCAACAGGGTTGCGAGAATTACCAGTTGGAAAAAAATTATATTTGTATGTTTATTTCACGTAAATGTGAAATGTCAATGACAAAATACAAATTACATGTAAAAATTACTTTAAAGGAACATTTATGCTCCTTCAAATAGCTTTCTTGTAAAATTGTAAGAAGGTCAACGATCTAAAGTCTACTGATGCTTTTATTGCTCTTATGAAATTATCCTGCATTACAAATTAAATTGATATTTATTTTTTGTACCAATAAATATTAATTTTTGGGATGAAATTTAATAGAAATTTTTATACGCAGTAAATATGAAATACTGAACTTTGTATTGACTTATAACTTATTTAAATCACACGATTCGTCTGAAAAAGAATGATAATACTATTTAAGTGAACTATGCAAGGATAATATTGGAGACAAGCTACACATACATTAAAGAACGAAGCAAGTCAGGTACAAATATATATTCAAACTTATAACTCTGTGTATATTTATCTAAAACACCCTCAATTTAGCAATTTCAGTTTATTTTTAACTTTTTTACGTTCCGAGTAAGTTTATATGGTTTAAAGTTTTTATTTAATTTTTTAGAAATCGCTTTATCGACAAATAAAATTGAAAGTTCTCTTTGAAGTAAAGTAAAATAAGTTGTTTGATAAATTTCGTTTGAAGCACCCGCAATTTGTTCTGGATTCAGAAGATTTATTAGCAAAACATGGAGGCTAGACTGATTTATCATTACTGAATTTCGGAAAACTTAACACTGTTTTATTTAAACTGACAGAGAGTTTTTATTTCATCATTCGCAAAATATCATTTCTGTTCAAAGCTGATAAATATTAGTAAAACAAAATTCTCCTTAGTACGGCGTTTATAGATACTACGAATAATTTTGATGTATGTAGCAAGAAATTAGTTATCGAAAGTACTGACCTGGCATATACATCGAAAACAGTTTACATCTAAATCTCCACTTAATCGAACTTCTTCGCCTTCATTTGTGCATGGCGCTCTTGATCCATGAAAGAAAAAGTCACCACCTGTCACAAGAGAATTAAAATTAAAACTAAACCTCATTAAAAATTGAATTATTAAAAGTTTCACGCACCTATTCGATGTGAAGCATGGATTTGTTCAATTTTGTAAAATATGAAAACTGTAATTAAAAAGGATAATCTTTGTAGGACGACCATTCTTTGCTGATTTATCTGTAAGAAAATAAAGAAATTATCTAATAAGATATGTTCAAAGGATGAAGAGATAATTATTATAATAACATCATTTCAGAATTCAATAATTTTTTTTATTAAATTGATAATTATTTGCAGCTTTTGTATTTCCACTGAAAATTTAATAAGTTTATTTTTCCTTCTTTTATTCAATCAACATTAAAGAGTCTATTTAATGTATAATTAATAATAAATGATATCAAACACTTTACACAGAATATACGTGTTTGTTTTCATCATAATAAACTTCAAAGTGTTCTTGACTAATGATGACGATGATGTGGAATTGTTTTCTGACTTTTAATTTGCTAACAAAAGAAGTTTATTCATTAAACCAGAGTACTGAAGATTAAAATAAACTTATTACGTTTACTTATGTCGACAGAATGAAGCATCAAAAATCATCAAAACTTTTCTCAATGAACTGTGAAAGCCTTTTGATGCAAAACTTTATTCAATGTTTGTTCAAAATTGAAGTGCTAAAAAGCGCTAAAGGTGTTGACGTTAATTTTTATTTAAGAGATGAACTTATTATTATCTAATGAATTATAAAGAAATAAAGATGACTATGTAGGTGTCAATTAAGTGATAATGTAATTACATCTCTAAGTAAATAATTACAATGAATTTTAAAATTAAGTTTCATGTTCGCCCTTCTACAATTAAAGCTTTTTATTCAGAAATATTTAATTTATCGATTCCAATCGATAATTTCACACATCAAGACTAAAATTACTAATTAATATTAGAATGTATAGCTGAATTTTATTCAGCAAACTCTGTTTTTATGTACATAAACAATTTATCATTTTTTAAAAACCTACATTCATAAAAGCTTCCAATCTCTGTTATTTTCATTGCAATATTTTTAATAAAGTATCAAATATTGTCTTATCAAACATCTTTTTTAATATTATTGCTTTCATATCGCTACGTGGGTATACGAAGCACAAGTTGAAATAAATTAATTTGATTTTCCCATAACAAAATAATTAAGATATATTGTGGAAAAAAGTAAGCTAAATTAATATTCGAATTATATGCAAGTATAATGAGAAATGCGTATACACTTGCGAAATACGAAAGCACTTGTAATAATTTAAATTAAACTCGTTCTAAAACACAAATTGTGCCTAAAGTTTTCATAATGTTTCATAATTAACTTATTTATTAAGATTAAGTCTAAATTTCATTATCTGATAATTTAAATAAATAAAACAAAAAATAAGACATTACTCATCATCTTAACTGATGACTTTTGGAAATTAAATCGCTATTTTGATCATTTCAGTAGTTTTAAATTTTATCCAATTAGATTTCCTATTCATTGGAGTTATGGTAGTAGTTCGACTACCTGTTGATATATAAATAAAGATCATAAGTGATATCAACAAAAATCAACGAATCAACAACATTAGACAGTTGATTTGCAAAAACTTGCCTCATTTTATTTGAACAAAAAATGAAAAGTACGAATCGTATGAATAATTTTAACATATCTAACGACATAACATAATGTTCTACGAGAAATAACAAGAAATTTAATTCGCTTTTCTAGTCATACTTTAAAAACGTTCATTGGAAAATTCAAATGACTCATTTGTTATTTAAAAGATAAAAATAAAAATAAATAAAAGTATCTCAAACGCGTTTTATTACCCATTTCATACCAATTTTAAGACATTCAAATTAATTTAAGTATTTCAAGATAGCAAAAGGCAATACTTTATGTGCAATTACACGATAAGAATTCAGAGAAATACTGAACATTTTTTTTATTGTACACATTTCATTTCGTAAGCTTCAGTTGTAGATTAATTATTTTAATGTTGAATTTCATCATATTTTTATTCATTTCAAAGTATTAAATAGTAAAATATTTTTAAATAGCCACTAAAAATATTATCTCAAAGGATAAAGAAATTTGAACAGATTTCATGCTTCTGTTTATGTATAAATAAAACATTATCTATTTGAAACATGATTTTCAATTTATTACGAAATATTTCTCACGGACTTATGACGAAGTAAATCATTGTTTCCCGAATTAAGTGAGATAATGTACTATCTAATCTTAAAAGAATTCCATTAAGGCAATCAAAGATTTTGATTAAGTATACAGTCAGCTGTTATTTTTTTACTCTTTGATATTCTTTTGTTTTATTATTGATAAGTAAAAGTGTGACTATCACGCAGTAATAAACATATGACAATATATTGGAGTTTTACAATTTCGCAAGATGTTGAAATATTTAGTTTCAGTTCGAAATTGTTTGGAATTTGTTAAGTAAAACGACAATCCATAGATCCCAGATTAGTCTTTCATTTCTGAAATCATAAGGTGAAGTAGGAAAATTGTTTTAATGACCCAAAACTGAGAATTATATTGGCGAAACATGTATTAAGATAATTTATACTTCTGATCACAGAACATTCATCATGATTGCTCTATTTTGATATAAGAAAATTGATAAAACTGATCACCAACATTATCATTAGGTAAATAGCTACAATATAATTATATCTTTTATTATGTTAAACTAAAATTATATTTTCAAGATTACGTTATTAACGTTAATTTTCATCATTTAAATCCCTTTTACATTGAAATATTCTCCGGACTCTCTTTGCATCTAAGATTTTAAATTATATATCGATATGTGGTACAACCTAACTTCTTTACTACTTAACAGAGAAATTTTTGAACAATTATCTCAACATTATGAGTAGTTTGTGATAATGAAGATCTAAAAAGAAATCTCCGACAATCTTAATCAAAGAAAAACTTTATTTCCGAGATTACAAAAATTAAATAATTTTAAACTATTTGAATGTTGATTAGTGGGTCACTCAGCCTCATTGGGTTTAGTTATTTACTCTGTCGTAAAACGTAGGTCTTACATTTGAATCCCATTTTGGTCATGACTCATATAACTTAAATAAACACCAATAAATCAAAAACTGATGAAATGATTCAAAACATTTCTTAATCGCAAAATATTGCATAAGAGATAAAGTCACTTTAGGTTATTTTTAACAAAGAGAATAAAATTATTTTCTTTGGAAAGCGGAAAGCAAAACCTCTTGAATGATAAAAAATAATCTTTCAGATTTGAAACTGATTCAGTTCCAATTTTTGAAAATATATTAAGTTAAATTTTCTAAGAAATTGAAGTTTACTAATTTTAATTCTTGATTTAAATTTTATTTGATTTGTTGCTCTTTTCAAAGTTGGATTAGCTAAGATGCAGTGTTTGTTTCATATTGTATGCTAAAGTGAAGTTTCGTGGGAAAAAATGATGTAAGAATTTCTGTATTTGCTAGTTGATCTAAATATTTTTTTCATTTTCATAATTAACAATTGCAAAAGGTTTTAGTATTCTTGGCTTTTGTATAATGTACACAGCTATGAAAATATTACAACTTTAACTTGTTTATTGTACCACGATCTTGAGATAACATGTTACTATTTATGAATCAACGACAATAAATGAATCAAAATTAATTTTAATTTTGTTCTTAATAAATATATTTCATGATAGCTTTTTTATTACTTATAGTACATTAAATTTTCACTATTCATCTGAATCAATTTCAAAAGAATCAGAAAAAAAGATGTTTAAGACTTTTTAATTTGATTTTATCTTGCAAATAAATCTTTCATTATCATCATAGATATGAATCAGGTCTTGGACGAAACTTCATTATCTACTTTCAAAAGAGTAACTTCGGCATTTCGTGGCAAATTGATAAAAAATTTGAACTAAATGGTTTTTTTAATGAAACTTGCATGTCAAAAATAAAAATTTGAAGTGTAAGTGAATTTCACTAATCGACTGCAAACGTAAAAATCGATGCGTTAGCTTTAAAAACCAAATCCTAGTTGAAAAATTAATATTCGAGCACTTTCACTCACAGATTATATTGTGTCAGATTTGAAATTTAATGTTTTATTTATAAAGAACCTAATTTCAAAAGAGATCTTGAAAAGTTTTCATTCTCCTGTGTTGTCAAATCTGGCAATATCTTTTGAAGGATAAACAATTTAAATGAGACTAAGAAAGAAGTGATTAGACCTGTTACATCTTGTTGTGTGTAGTGGTGAACACAGGCAAATTTATAAAGATCTCATGACTTTTCATTGGCTTAAGTATTTCTTAATGTTAAGTTGCGCCTTTCTTTAGATAAAATATAAACAGTTAAGAAGATCTTCATATGTCAAGAATTTTGTACTTTTGATTTGGAAAATTGTTTCAACTTAAATAATGCGAAAAATTAGCATTCATGACTTAAGACTTTAAATTCGCCAATACAGGCTTTTGAAGGAAAATAAATTGCTGACTCAATTATTGTCGTCAATAACAATAAATGATGCGACAGTAATTTTGGTAACCGTTTAATGAGTAAAAATCTGTGTTCATATATTCTTCTATGCGTATTTATTTTGTTTAAAAACTTACCTCTTTTACAGTGAATAATTTACTAATTTTCTTTTTAGAAAATATCACGGGATGTTGGTGAGTGAAGCAGAAAATATTATCACATATATGCTTCCTTTCTTTGCAGTATTTTTTTCTAAATTTCTTATTAGCATTTGTCACTTTTTATTATTTTAAAAACACAAAATAACTCACAAGTGTTATCAAATCACATACGCATAATTTTTTTTTAATTATTCTCGTTCTTTCTCATCTTTAGATCGCAAATTTTCTTTAAAAATAAACTCGTAAACACATCCACTAAATAATTCAATTCTCTTTCTTTTTCATTTTTTTTTTTGAGAAACATCAAAAAAAAAATCGTGTCTTGCTTTTATTTATAGATTATTAAACTCTGACTCTTAGACTCATTTTCGCGCGCTGAATCATCTGCTAAGTAATACTAGGAGTTATCAACTATAATTATTAAGATGAATGAAGCAGGCACAGATGATCATTGTCACCAAAAATGTTCTCTCAAAGTTAAGCCCTTGCGAGCTCCGTTATTAATTTTTAACCTCTTTTCTTAACTCAATGAAATACTGTTTGTTATGATTTTACCACAACTATCTTCGTAGTTCTTGATGCATATATCTTTAGTTTATTATTCTTGATGCACTCTATACACTGATATTTTCAGTACATAAAAGAATTAAGTTCATTTGTTTTAAAACTTATGAAAATATGACAAGCAAGGAAATGGTAAAACCAATTAAAAATAAAATATTAATTCTGAATCATAACAAAAACCCGTCGTCGTAGACATTCAATACATTCCAACTTTTTCTTTTCTTTTTCTTCGCTCTCAGCCTTAACGAGAGATGCTTGTTGTTGAACGTATGCGGGTTGGCAGCAAGTATTTTACACTAAGTATAGCAAAAAATATATATAATGAAAAACCATAATCACAAACTTGAAACCGCGCACATATTTTTTATTTTTTACATTTTTTAATTATTGAACTCAATGAACCACGTCCAATGGCTATTCAAATAAATCGCACTGTGTGATAACCGATCACGGAATAATTTTTTTTCTTACTCTCACGGATCTTTTCAACAGTTCACGTAATTAATTTTTTTACATTTTTCTCATCTTCATTCGATCTTTTCTGAGTTTTCTTATAGTAACTATGTGAATCCAATTCCAAGATTTTATGTTAAATTCGAGTACTATGCTTTTTTTAATATTTAAGTTTGCCTCCTAAACTCGTGTTCCACAACCGCAAAACGTCAGTCTCGAAAGGCGCTCGAAAGAAAACTGTGACTAAAACAGAAAATACTTTTTCACATTCTCACTGTTTATTTCTTTTGAGTATGAATAAAGAAAAGTTTTCGATAATAGTTGTGCGAGCAATGTTGTTATATTAACAGTATGAGTGCTTCATCAATGTGTATGTACTAAAAGCTCTTTTAATGGGGTTGCCTAGATAGTTTTCTTAAGACGAAGGATAAGATTTGTATTATTTGTTATACATATGTGTACAAATATTAGCTAATATTAGTTATACAAAGTTGTATGTACATAAATATGTATCTATCAAAAATCGCATATCATGAGATGTTAATTATGCTTTTATGAAAATAAAAGTTTTTTTTAAATTTTATATTTTAAATATTTTTAAAATTTAAACTTAATTTTTATCAAGAAGTGAAGACCATAAATATCAGACCTTGGCTATTAATCCAAGAAATACAAAAGAAAGGTTATTCAGCCAAACAGGTGCCTGCTGCTACTTGAATGTTGGTGGCGTTTCATCAGGGGGCATTTCATGACAGGAACATAGATTAGGAAAAAAGTATATATCCTTCACAAATGTTCTGTTACAATTTGATGATATTTTACGTTTTGCATTACTACTTAAAAACAAAAATATGTGTTAAATGTTTAAGAAAATAATTTAATAAATCAATTTGAGTGAAGGAATTTTGGCAGTAATCTGATTAAAGATCATTATTCATGAATTTCCCCTTGTATTGACGGAGAGATTTTGATTTGCATTCAATGAGAGAATTTGAGAAATTCAGCTCAACCAACTAACACTATCAAAAAAAGAAATGAGTAATATTAATTACTGTAAAGACAAAAACTAAAGAAAACAAAATATTGTTTGAAAGGAAATACCATAATCAAGTGTCTATAATGAATCTTAACTCTGGGACAATACCTACTTAAAACAGAGTAAAAGACGGATAATTTCAATTATTTTCTTATTAAATAATTTATATTTAACTTACATTTAATAATTTGTAAACAAATATTGAAATAAGAAGAAGGTTCATCAAAAAATGTAATAAAAGTTTCGAACTTGATTTTGAATTTCATGTTGTTACCGATGGAAGCATGCAGCAATTTTGAAAAAAAACTGCTCATTTTATGATGCTTCAAGGCGTAGAGTAAAATTTGTTCAGTGACGATTTAGAACTTTTTGAATTTTTAATGAATCACTGATGATTCAAGCATTTTCTGATGAAGCCTCCTTTTGATATTCTTAACGATCTAGTTAAACTAGCAGTCAGAGTCATCATTCATTATAAATATTTAATTTCTATTCATCTGCATATGTCATGGGATGTCATGAAAGATTTTTTAAGAAGTCGCTACATGTGAATTGAACCACCACACTTCTTGCTTTATATATACTCATGTGGATTCTACAGTAAAAGCAGAGAACATTTCCTTTTATGGTTATCAAAGTTATCAAAAGAATTATTAGCTTTTCTTTCTCAGAAAATTTCCATTCGCTTGTTAAACTCTGCAGCAGAAGAAATTTAAATCAGCATGAACTGAGATAAAAGCGACAACAAATAATTTTAAATAAAATTGCCTTTCTTCTATTTCCAATTTTGTCATTTAAATAAAATTTTAATAATATGAAAAGATGTAGCATGCAGAGAAAAAGCATGATCATCATAACAGATGAGATGATTTTCAACAGAGATTATAGAATTTTGGTTTAATGAACTTATTAATACCTCACACAATAAGTAAAATATGGAGCAAGAATAAATCAAAAAATTTATGCTGTAAGCAGATAATTCCATGCCATTCACATTATATGAAGTATCGCAAATTCTTTTTATGTTTCATTCGTTGCACGGAGATATGTAGGTGTGACAATAAAATAGGGTTCGATCTTCACCAGCTGTAAAAAAGTCTTCAAAACTGGTGTAAATTAACAACTTGTAGGATCAAATCCTAGAATATCATGGAGACCTTTAGATATTATGATAAATTTTATTAAAACGACGAAATATTTTCGTCGAACACTACAATGAAATTCATAACTTCAATAAAAAAAATTAATTTGATGTCTTATTTTATGAAATTTGTTTATGAAAGCTACATAAAAAACTGAATGAGAAGTTATGAGGAATATTGATATAGATGAAAGATATTCTATTGATGTAATTATCAGTAATTATTTAAATATAGTTTCAATGAGAATATAAATATAAGTATCATACTGAAATGCTTTATTGATTAACTAATAAAATGGGTGGGTGTCAAATGAATGAAGAATGTTTGTTAGTGCTTAAATGATGCCACAATGTCGATGATTACTTAGCTATGATGTATCATCTTGAGCAAAGAACTATGTAGATATTTGATAGAAATTATTTCAATTCTTCTGAATTTGTTTCTCTAGGTTCTAGAGAAAAATGACGTTGAAAGAGATTCCATTCATGCTGTATTGCGTGATATTATTTTATTAATGATGTTTCTATGGGAAAAAGCAGTATACCATTATTTATGAAACATTCCACATACACCCACGCACATATAATGTTCAAAATATATTCTCTTGTTTCGCTGAAATTGATTTTATGATACATTTGCGTATCAGATTGTTAAGTGTTGAATTTATGAAGTACTAAAATAAGATCATATTCCAAGCGATAAACTAAAATAGAAAACAAGACAAATCCATTTTGTAATCAATTATCTCTAAGAAACATGACAAAAAATAAAAATAAAAAATGCGAGCATCTTAAAATGTTGGCATTTGTTTATGTTTTCATCTTTTCGCCTTCAACTTTGTATCAATTATAAGAAAACGAGTTCATAATCATGTGAGCTCAAAAAATTTCGATATTGAATGAATAATAAATTTGTAGTTTTATTTGTATAATTCTTTCAAGAGCTTTATTAATTCAAATTGTTTTTTATAATTGCTTAATATGTTATAATCAACTGTTAGGATGATTTCAAATGAATGTCTTCTGTATACAAAGTTTGTATTAACAAAAATGTTTGTCTCACAGGTAAAGTATGCATTTATGCTACTTTCAATTTATATGAATATAACATTGAGAATACAAATAAGTGAAACAGTTTTATAATTATAAATCTTGAATGAGTAGAGAAAGGAATTTGATATTCTTGTAACAACACAATGACATTTTTACGAGTTCTCCTCATTCATAAATTTTTTACTTTGGAACGGGAAAGACATTTTTAAGCAAACGAATGAGAAAGTTAAATGTTGTCACATGACATAGCGCATAATTGATAAATTCAATTAAGAATCGAAGAAATAAAAAAAATTCTTCGTATGCTTGCATCAACAGATGCATAATTTTCGATATGCATTTAAAAGAACTTAATTAGCTTCACTCATGTTCAGAATGCAAATGATATCAAACTATGGACTTGTTCTGCGTAAAATTAAGTCGTAATTTGTGCATAAAATTCTATATCTATAAATAACGTCAAGAAATCTAGTTAGGTAATTGCAATTCTTATCTAAATCAAGAAAATATTTGTTAGTCCCATTTAACCGTTTAAAAGTCCAAACTTGTTATCATTCTGAGATCAGTTCCAACATTAAATGTTGGCAATGCACAATGGGAGATTGAAAAACAATTGATTCAGTTTCGTTTGACAAACCGTTTCGTTATTAAGCGAGAATGAATTACTTAAAAAATTGACCAAACATGTTCTGCAAAAGTTGATGAAAAGTAAAGTGAAAAACCATAAAAAACTCGATGAAAAAGAAACAGTTGTAAGAGAAATGCCGGTAAAAAACGTAAGTCAGAGTTAGTTAGATTGAAATGAGTAAAATACATTTAAGTCAATATTAAGAGAAATATATTTGTGCTCAGCTAGAGCAAAGATTTGAAATTTACATATAAGAAATCAAATAATTCATTTGTCTTAATTTTCATTTATTCTAAGGAAACAATAATTTAGATTGATGTCAATTATTCAATCAGAAATGAAAATATTACCTAATTCGTAAAACATAAAAAAAGTTTAAGTTGTCTGTAATTAAAAAGAAACAACAATTAGGTAAAAACATGTTGTGAGTAAAGAAAGTAGTCATATTTATTGCATTTCTAAAAAGTGATTTGATGTCAATTAAAATAATTTACAATTTTATATTTTGGTGAGAATGTAGGTAAGTGTCAAAAAGTATTTCAAAACACTCATTTAAATTAAAATTTATTTAGTTATTATTCATACTTGATATCCGTGGATATTAGTTTTGTGTTGCTTAAGCATAATTGACGACCTATTTGTAAGAAATCAAATATTTACTCAAAACACTTAAATAGAAGATCTTAAAAAGAAACTTACGCAAAAGACGTTTCACAAAAAGGAATATCACATTGATGCTCTTTTAAGCCTAAATGATGACTCCTTTGGTGACGTTTAAGCGCTACATTTGTGAACCATCCAGGCTTATCGGGACACATTGGACATTTGTGAATTCTTTTAGTCTCATCATGATACATCATATGCTTCTGTAGCAGTGCTGGCGTTCTAAAGATTTTACCACACACGTTGCAAGGTGTTTCGCGAACGCGATGAACATTTCGCATGTGATTGAAGAGAGAACGTTTTGTTGGCCGTAACTTTGAGCAAATGTCACATTGGTACACCATATCTTTAGGTTGTCCAATGCTGTGGAGAACAAAAGAAAAATCTCTTAAAATTATGTTTAATATTTATAGCTAATCCGCTTCATTACCGATGAACATTTTTCCTATGAGTTCTAAGCCCTTGAACATTTGTAAATTCTTTTCCACAAAGCTTTAATAAATTAAATTTGAATAAGAAAATTTGTTAAGTTTGAAAATCTAGAGAAATTACCTCGCATATGACTGGACCTTTCATAAGCAGACTTGATGCGTTCTTCTCATTTCCACTGATAAGATTTCTCGAATCATGAAAAAGTTTATGGACCGTGTAACTCTTTAAGTTGGGACATTTCTTCTTGCAGATCTCACACTCGATAGGGTTGTCAAAGTCTTTCTTCTCAGATTCTTTACAGCATTGGCGACAATGATTTTTAAACTGATTTTCTGTTGACATGAAAACATTCTTACAAATCGGACAGAAATGTCTTGAGGTTTTTAATAGTCCATGCACCTTCACTACATGCGTGTTGTAGCCACTGAGTTTATTAAAAACTTTATCACAACCGTCCACTTCACATTTCACTTCTTTGATTGAACATTCATGCGACTTGAAAGTTTTCTTTCCAGCAAATTTCTAAAATAAAAGTTTCGATAATTCGATTCTTCAGCTCTGTTGTTGATTAATTAAGAAAAACTCACCAAACGACAGAAAAAACATTCGTAAATTCTCAGAGCAAAAGAATTCTGTTCAGGATTTTTAATTATGTTATCAACATCGTTAATGTCGTATAAGGTCTTATTGGATGTATTTATCATTCCTTCATAATCTTCTCCATCGTCATCTTCATCTTCATTCATAATTTCAAATTGTGGCTCTAAACTGCTATTATTCGCTATTATTTCAATGGGCTCGTTTTTAAGTAAAATTTCTTCTTTGATTATGAGAAATTCCTTGTTATCGTCTTGAATAACCATCTTGTAGTCGCTGAAGTCTTGACTATCGTATGCATGGTCGTTGAAGTCTTCGTCGTTCTCATCTCCAATGAAGGAAATGTTATCATCTAAATGCTCTTCGACAATTTCAATTTGCCCACTATGATGCTCTTCAGGATCAGGTTCTAGCATTGAATCATATTTGAACCAAGACTTCTGATCCTCCGACTTAAAATTTCGAATGAGTTGAAGTTTTTGATCAATTTCTCGCATTTCGGCCACAAATTCATCTTGAGCTTTGCGACACTTTTTACGAAAACTGTCAATTGTTACAATTTGTTGAAAGCATTGTTCACATACAATTTCACTAAATACTTCATTATATTGAGGACTCACATCCAATAACTCTATCATATCAGTGGGATTGATTGAATATGCTTCAAGTTTCTTGATGGCAACAAATTTTTCATTTTGTGATTCAAAACAAAAGCGACACAAATTTTTTAAGTCTTCTGCCTTCTTACGACGATCTTGCATTAGAAGCTTTTCTTCTTGTGCGCTTTTGGTACCACGAAGAAGGTTAACGCTTTCTTGACCGACATATGCGCATCGTTCATTATCAAACTCAACTTCAACCTTTTCTAAACCTTTCCTTGACTCGCGATAATAAATAGTTGGGACTGTTTTCTTTAATAGATATAGTCGTCCTTTTTTCTTCTCAACAACACGATCAGCGGCAAAATGATCCTCACAAATTGCTGAACACTTTTTCACTTCAAAGTTTCCTTTTCGCGTAAATTGGATCCATAGATTCTTAAATTGTTCATCTTTTGGAAAACGATAAAAATGTTTGCCACCACGAATAAATCTATTACGACATCCAACAATCGCACAACCTCCTGGCATTTTTAATTTTAGTTTAAATGATGAAAAGTGCCGTATTTTGAAACAAAAGCCTTTATTTATTTCAAAAATTCTGGAATTTTACACACAATGAGCATATATGACTTAATTTTCCTTTTTTAAATATATTTTATTTAATATATTTTTATTTAAATTAACTTCTTCAATAGGTGTAAACGTAAATTGAGATGAAATACAGTTTAAAATCAAAAGTTATAGCGCAAATTTAGATATTAAGATAAATCCGTGGGTTTCATGCATATGAACATTAGTATGATTTCGTGGATTCGACCTTCAATGAAGCGCCGCTGAACGTTTGTTTACAATTTCAAGTTTTTTTTCTCTTGTCAACAAAAATCTTATCAGAAAAATGCATTTTCCAATCGTAATCTTAATCTATCTAATCCTATTACGCTAAAACCAAAAAAATTAATAGATGTAAATACGAAGCATCTATATAAAGTGTTATTAACTCTGATAATCTAGCTAAACGAATATGTCGTTTTACTAAAGATTTACTTCTGTGAAGTTAAATAATAAGAAACTATAATCCTGATAATATTTATAAAATTATAAAAAGCATTTATAGCAATGGGTGGTCGAAGGTGTGCTGTTGTTGGTTGTAAGAGCCGAACAGTGAAGAAAGGAGAACAAGGTGTACATTTTTATCGAATCCCAAAGGAACAACCGTGGAAAGATATTTGGACGACTTTTACACGTCGTGGTAGTGATTTTGAAGTGAAAAAGTTCACTTCAATTTGTCATGAACATTTTGCGGCATCTGCTTTTGACTACAAGAAAAAGTTAACTTTACTCCAGAAAAATGCCGTCCCCACAATTTTCAAACGTGATACCTTGAATGGTCTGGAGACCGTAGTTTTGACTTTTGACAGATCCGTACTTCACTATGTTGAAACTGATACATTACTCAATCCTGCCTATGATAAGGAAAAAAGAATTCAAGAAATTCTTGAAAAGCGTAACACGAAGTTGAAGGAAATTTTACAATTATGTCGATTTTGTTCTGATAGTGGCGATGGTTTTCTTCAAATAAATACTTTGAAAGATTATTCTATAAACCCCACAGAAATGATGAATCTCTTGGGCATCGCATCAGATAAAGACATTTTTAGTAATTTAACTTGTGAGGAATGTTTTCAACAAATCATTATCATTGATGGATATCGAAAGCGATGTCAAAGAGCTCAACACAATCTCAACGAAGAAATCAAAGTTCTCGATGTTAATTTAGAAAAAATCAGTAAGATGTGCGTGGATGGAAGTTCATGGATGAAAACTGAGACATGGGACGATGATGATGATGATGCTGATGATGATTACTTTTTGAATGATATCAATGTTCGAGAATCCGAAGCTAATAGTAAGGAATATAAGCAAGAACAAGACTTTCATGAGATAATCCTAAAAGAAGAGGGAAATGATGTTTCATCTTCCGATGCAAATCTCAAAGATTTCTTAACTTTATCAGATGAGAATCTTTATGATCATATTACAGGGTTTGAACAAATTGAAACATTGACAGGAAGCAATCCTTTTTGTGATACGGAAATGAAATCCAAGAAAGCAACAAAATCGACTGCCAAATCAAAAACACCTAAAAAAACGAAAGGAATTAATGAAACTTGTGCAAAGATAACTCTAAAAGTCGTAAAGGTTAAAAATGAAACCATGTTATGTCAAGAATCTAAACAGGAAACATTTGGTCATGAACAAAGAATTATTCCAATGAAGAAACGACCTCATAATTTGAAAACTTATGAATGTTTCTTTTGTGGCATTGTGAGTTTACGGTTCCTTTAATAAGATAATAACGTACAGTTTAATTGCATTAAACCAATTTCTTAATATTTCTTGTTTTTTTTTTGTTAGAGATTTGATGGACAAGATGCTTGGCGACGACATGATTGTCAACAAAAAATCCTCCGATGTGAAATAGAAAACTGTGGAAAAAGTTTTGTAGCAATAAGTGGCTTCAATCAACATATTCAGCATCTTCACAAGCTTCCTAAACTCTCTCGTTTCTTCTGTGCTAGTTGTAAGGTGTCGATGGTGAGAACTGAAGAAGACTTCAAAAAACATTTGCGTGAGTGTGAGAACAACGTCATTTCATCAGCTTCATGTCAACCAATCACATGTGAAATTTGTGGTAAATTATGTCCTTCGCAGAAAAGTTTCGCTGTTCATCTACTGTTTCATAAGAATGGAGAAACGTATACGCCACCGAAAAAATGGAAACCAAAGAAAAAAGGGATCTTCATGTGTGACTCTTGCGGAAAGAGCTTTGAATACGCTAGAAATTTACGAGAACATATTCAGAGAATGCATAAAGAGCCTGATCCTAATCCAATCATTTATACATGTGATTTTTGTGGGAAAACTCGAACAAATCGTCGATTGCTTTCTAAACACATCAGAAACGTTCATACCAGTCAACCAACACCTTGCCGTGTTTGTGGTAAAATATTCAGAAACAAACCGTTGCTTCAAGCACATATGATTTATCACAAAGATTATAAACGCATTCATTTTTGTCCAATGTGCCCTGAGAAGCCACCTTATGTAACAGCTGTTGCACTCAAACGACATCAAGAATCAGCTCATGGTCTCGGTCAAGGATACCAATGTGAAATTTGTTTAGAGACTTTTAGGTGAGTTCGAAGTTTCTTTCATCTCACAGTAATTTATTTAAAATTTAATTCTTTTCAGAACAACGCCTGGCTTAAGTAACCATAAGAATACAGTGCATAATGTTTACCGCTACAAGGCTCAAGGATATGCAAAGGAATATGTTTCATATTGATTCAATTATTTAACAATTTTGTAAATACGTTTAAATTTGAAAATAAAACAAAATTTTCTAGCTGGACTCTAAAAATTTATATCCAGGGGGTATGAAACTACGTGTTGTTTACCTTTTTTCAATAATATTCTTCCGTGTTTGGCATTCAAAAGAAATTTCTTTTATTCCATTTCAAGAGAGTAATATAAAATGGGAGGGTGTTCTGTTGAAGGATGTCGGAATAGATTCTCGCGAGGAAAATTACATTTCTATCGCTTCCCCAAGGATTATCGTCGAGACTTATGGATTCAATTTACGAAGAAAGGAAATGCTTATAAGCCCAAAGGTGATACTTTTATTCCAGACAATTTATAAATCATTTTATGTCTAATAAATTATGTTCGTTTATGTAATAGGCTCCTCTACAATCTGTGAAGTTCATTTCAAAAAAGAATGCTTTGTGGAGAAGAAGGATCGAGTGCATTTGTCTAAAACAGCTGTGCCAACAATTTTTATTAGACCTACAAGTCTCATTGGTTTAGAAATGTCCGAAGTTCCTTATGATGAAGTGAACCATCAATATTATGGTCAACAAAGCATTGATTTACTTCAAAATAAAAGCAGTGACAAAGAGGAAGAAGAAGAAGTTCTTTTAACCAAAAGGCAACAAAAGCTTGACGAAGTAAAAAGTCTTTGTCGTTTCTGTTTTAGTTTCAATTCAAAGGATGACAGAAAATGCGTGCCAATGTCAAAATTGGAATCATATTCAATTGATTTGAAACAATTTATGACATTCCTTGAGCTTTCACTGGAAACGAAAGATAATTTTGGTAATCTTGTGTGCGAACAATGTTTTCAGCAAATTGTTGAGATTGATATGTTTAAGAAGAAGTGCAAGCAGACGTATGATGAAGTTTATACCGAAATTCAAGAGATAGAAAATAAAATTTTGGAAGTTCGTGCTACCAAAAGTAACAATAAAAGTTGGTTTCATAATGATCTTAGTTTCACTGACTTTGAGCAACAAAATGATCCACAAACAGAAGCACCGACGTCTATTGAGATACTTGAAGAGCATTTGGTTGAAGACAGTGATTTTGATGATGATTATAATCAATATGCACATCCGTCCACTGATAATCAAACAATGCCAATTGATCATACTGACGATCTTATCGAAGAAATTCATGATGGTTACAAAGTTATCTATCAACAAATTCCTGAAGAAAATATTTGTAACAATGAAACAATTCTAGAGGAATCCTTAAAAGTGTGTGACCAAGATATTAATATTCAAGTGCTGACAGACGATAACGTGAAACAGGAAAAGCTGAAAGAAATTCCACAAGGCGTTGACGTCTATGACATCGGATCTACTGATGACATCATAAAAAATCCTGAAAGGAATCGATTTTGCTTCAGAATCTACGAATGCTTCTTTTGTAAAATGGTAAATGAAATTTCCATGATTCTTGATTTTTTATTGACGATTTTTAATTTTTTAGAAATTTGCTGGCAGGAAAACTTATGTGGCTCATAAATGTTCGGTGACGGAAGTAAAATGTGAACAATGTGAGAAAGTTTTTAACAGAATTCAATCATATAACAGTCATGTGTCTCATGTCCATGGATCTCTTCCTGTTTCTAAACATTTCTGTCCTCTTTGTAAGACTGTCATCATGGCAACTCTTAATCAGTTCAAACAACATCGCCGACAATGCAACAAAGAAGTGAAAAATCAACCTATTGAGTGTGAAGTGTGTGGAAAAGTATGCAACAATCTTAAAGGTAAATTAAATGATTTTGATATTAAATGTTACGATTAAAAATGAATCTTGAAATTCCAGGGTACACGATACATAAACTCTTTCATGATACGAGAAACTTCACAACAAGTAGTGGGGAAAAAATTGTTTCTCAAGGACTTAATGTGTACAAAGGTTTAGCAATTTGTGAGGTAATTTTCTTTCGTTTTCCTTTCTGAGTTCTTTTTATTTTACGATCAAATTCTCCTTAGCTTTGTGGTAAAGATTTCCAATCAAGTGTAGGCTATCGAATGCACAAGAGAAATGTTCATAGGATCGGTCAAGCTGAAGACGAAACATTTCAATGTCACGTCTGTTCAAAAATTTGTCCCACCAAAAGATCATTATTTGATCACATGAGGAATACTCATCGAGTACAGCACAGTCAATGCAACGTCTGTAATAAAATATTTCGCACAAAAGTTCTTTTAAAGAAGCACATGATATACCACGATGAAACGAAAAGAATTTACAAATGCAAGCTTTGTCCCGACAAACCCGGATATTTTACAAATGTTGCACTCAAACGACATCAGAAATCTCATGTTGGATCTAGAGATTATCGATGTGACTTTCCATTATGTGAATCGGCTTATACAACAAATCATCAACTTAAACTTCATAAAATAAACAAACATGCTTCAATATTTAATTAAAAATGCAAAACAGCCAAATAAAATTTTGTTTTTTCCTTATAAAATTCTGTTTTTTATTCATTTTAATTGTTGCTTATTTATCACAATTTTGTTCATGTTCACAATTTTCAGATTACTATAAAGAGTTAAAGCAAGTTTAACATTTCCTTTTAAAAAGAAAATGGAAATTTCCATTTAAAAATATTGAGACATTTTATGCAATCAAATTGCAAATCATTTAAAATTTTATTCCATTATTTTACAGAATGTCGTTGAGATTGACTATAACACCTGAAGAAATTGATGAAGATCAAGAAGAACAAGATGATATTTCGATTGATGAAGATCAAGAAGAACAAGATGATATTTCGATGGATGATGAAGATGATATTTCGATGGATGATGAAGATGATATTTCGATGGATGATGAAGATGATATTTCGATGGATGATGAAGATAAAGATGATGAAGATGATATGTGGATTGATGAAGATCAAGACTCGTGTTTCTACGTGGATTTGAACAATATCCCAAAATATTGTTAACAGCATCTTACTTTGATGGTCCAAAAAAAAATTCAGAGCATTTGGAACTCTGAATTTATTATTCGGCCAAGGGTTTTAGATTCGGTCCTGCCATCTACTTCTTTCGGGACTGTGAAAGGGACTATAGTTGTTCTGCTGCATTAGTTGAAAGTAATATTTAAATGTAAATATAAGAAATCAAAAATAATTCGATTTCTCAAGAACGTTTATTTGGATGTCTTATCGATCTCAAAAGTGATGATTCTTGCGAGTGGCGCCATTTTTTTGGATCAGCCGAACGCTTTCGTCCACGCTTGTTACAACGACGAGATCAACGTCCATTACCTCCACCACCACTGGTGCTGTCGTGGCGTTGAATAGTTGGTGTAACAGCTTTCTCATCAGAATCGAAATGAGAATCAATGATATTTACTAATTCATCTTCTTTTAAAGAATTTAAGTTTTTGACAGTTTCAACAATTGCGTCACGTTATCCATCGCTCCACATTTTCTAAAGACCTTTCATTTTATTTTATTCTTCAGCAAGAATGGGACGGAATGCAACAGCACAAAACTGTTGATTTAAATTAAAAATGTGTTAAAATTAAATTTGATTAAAAAAATGAAAATGAAATTTTTAAAGTTACCGTGATAGAAGGGAGATGTCTGGAAATTTGATCGGAAAACTTTTCGCAAAGATGTCTGACGTGAAACACTATCTTCACGTTTTGCAATCTTTCCCAATTCATGTTGAACTTTTCTCAAATAAATTTGTTTGCAATCTCTCTGAACTTTTCAGGTTAAACTTCCTTCTTTCTATCGCCCGCCATGCTTTTCACTCGCTTCAAAATGTTTTCAAATCGTTCCATAAGACGATATTTGTGCATGGCTTCAATAACAATGTAAGGCGTAAATTTCGTCTGATTGCGATACACGAAATGATTCAATCTTTGGCATTGTTGGTGTCTAGCCAATCAAGGAAATCGAGGAGTGCTGCGATTTCAATTTTTGTTCTAATTACCTGTGAAATTTGTTACTGAGGTTAAAAAATAAAACAGCGTGACGAAAATTTCATAACCTTACCTATTACAAGGCCTTGTAATTTTGTAAAGATTTCAGCAAACGGCAGCATCCGACGTTAATTACACGAATCTGATGACGTTGACGTGCCCAGGATTCAAATGCATTAAAAGTATTATATGTAATTGAAATTGTGCATCTTACGAGTAAGCAGCAATTAACAGCAGCTAACAATCTAAATAAATGTTCAAAGGATTACCAAAAGATCTATTGAAGATTATTTTTACTGCTTACCTCATCAATTAAATGATGGCCTGTTGTGTCGATGTCTAAAATAACGGAACTAAATCTTTTTTAAGCTGGAGCGTTTAGTATCTGACGTCTTTCTTCTTTGACTGGCAAAATAGAATGAAGAAAAGATAAGATTAAACTTGTAGGGTCCTTCGATTTTCAAATAAATTCATTGGGGGTAAGAATCATTGATCATCATTTTCAATTTAAAAATTCGACTTTTGAAATTTATGATGATTTAGAAATCTATTTCAAAAGAAAAAGGTATGTAATAAGAAATAATAAAGAAATCTATCTATTAGAAATCTACTTCAGATGTTAGATGACTTTAACTAATTTTATTAATATTTCTAGTGCGAAGGCTTAACTGAATTTCACACAAATCGAGATTTCTTGTTCAAAAAATTGTGCAAATAGGAATTATTGTCAACAGGTTGATGTCATTTATTTAATCAGAAATGAATTTATAATCGTGAAACATAAAAATTTTTCAAACAATTTCGGGGAAGACATTCTTTAAAATAGTGTTTAAAATTTCAGGAATAATTTTTTAAAAAAGTTTGCAGTTGTTTACCATTTGGGGATATGTTGTGATTCTCAAAGAAGCTTGTAACTAAATAAAAATTTTCTCAAAGGGGCTTGTAACCGCTGACATTTCACGATAAAAAACAAGTAAACAAACGACGAAAAAATAAATTTTTAGGAACAACTAATAATTAAAGTCTTAAAGAAGGAAAAGCCGATCACAATTAAATATTGGTAAGAATTTCGAAGTGAATCTAATATTCTTAGTACAGGAGCAAATTAAAAATTTCCTGACAATGAAAAGAATTCTTAAACTGACTATCTTTCTAATAGTATACTTGCAGAAAACGAGTAAATTTCGAGTAAAAACAACCAGTTCAAAAGACAATGGGAAATTGTGCGGTTATTGGTTGCAGGCCTTTCTCTAAACTTGATAATCCTAAGAACGACAAGCGTGTACGATTTTTTCCATTCCCAAAGGAACAACCATGGAAAGATATTTGGATTACTTTTACACGTCGTGGTAGTGATTTTGAAGTTACTAGTAGCAGCGGTATTTGTGAAGAACACTTTTCTCGTGCAGATTTTAATGTCAAAAAGAAAAACAAAATTTTAAAGAAAGAAGCTGTTCCAACAATTTTTAAACGCGAAACCTCGGACGGTGGTCTGGAGACCGTAGTTTTAACTTTCGATAGGTCTATACTTCATTATCTAGACGCTGATACTTTGCTCCCTCCTGCATACGATAAGGAAAAAAGAATTCAAGATATCCTTGAAAAACGTAACACTATGGTGAAAGAAATATTGCAGTCATGTCGATTTTGTTCTGAAAGTGAAAAAGATCTTCTGCCGATAAATAAATTAGAAGATTATACAATTAATCCCACAGATATGATAAATTTTCTTGGCATCGCATCAGATAAAAATTTTTTTAGTGATTTAATTTGTGAGGAATGTTTTCAACAAATCATCACTCTTGATGCATATGGGAAGAGATGTCAAAGAGCTCAACACAATCTCATTGAAGAAATTAAAGTTCTTGAGGCAAACTTAGAAAAGCTTGATAAGATGTCCTTGTATGAGAATTTATTTGATGAAACAGTAGCATGGAACTGTGAAGATGATAATAATTTCAGCGATGATGCCCAGTCAGAAATAAAAAATGACGACTCAATCAAGAATGATATCAAAATTAAAAAAGATGTTGATGTGAAAGAGGAAAATCTAAACGAAACTGAGATGACTTATGCTTTCTCTGAAATAATGATCAAGGTAGAAAAGTTAGACGATTCAGTTATACAAAATGTGGTAACAGATAATGTCACCACCTTTCATCCCCAATTCACGATCAATTATGATAGTAGTAATTCTATAAACAATGATTGCACAGATTTTATTGATGCTATAGACTCAGACATTTCAGATTTAGAAGCTAATCCTGATGATTCCGTTCTGAAAGCGATTGAAAAAAACAAAGCTTCGTCGAAAAAAACATTGATTGATACTGCTGAAAACTTGAAGACGTCAACTGCAAGAAAAAGAAAGCAAGAAAAAATGAATCTTCAAGATTCAGAAACAAAACCCGATAATTCTAAAGAGTCTAAAAAAAGCAAAATTTCTGTTGAGAATCCAACGACTGTTGCTAAAAATAAAAAAGAATTAAAAACAAATAATAAAAAATCGAAAATAAGCAGTCCTGAGGATTCCGATGATTCAGATTTTGAAATTAAACCAAAAAAATCTGTTACGAGAAAGTATAATAAAACCAAAACTTCGACAAAAGCAACGACGAGCAAAAAGAAGGAAGATGTTAAGGAAAATTCGGTAGCAGATAAAGCTGGAGAAAAATCAAACTCAGAAAAACAGAAAATAGTTGTAAAGAGGAAGCCGGCTCCTAATCTCAAATCTCACGAATGTTACTTTTGTGGTCTGGTAAGTTAGTTAAATATTCAACTTATTGTGTGTGCATAGTTTCATTGGCTCAAGTCGCTTGGAATTGGCTTAAGCTTCGTATGATCTCCTGGGTACAATCCCCCACTGGGTCATGAGATAAAGTGAAGTTTTGTTACTTTTCCCTTTATTGACTAAGCTTTAATAGTCCAAATTTCTGTTAATAAATATTAATCAAAAAGTTTTTCTTTATTTGCTTTGTGCAACAAAAACCGAAAGCAAAGAGAACACCAGAAATCGTCCTTATACGGATATAAAGTCGACTCACTCACTTTTTTTATTTAATTCATTTTCTTTATTTTTTTAATTTCTTTTTAAAAAATAATATGAGACAAAATCAAATCATTTTAATGTTCTCTGTTATAACTTTTCTATTTTACCTGATTTAATATGCAAATACTTTATTTTTATTTATTGTTAGAAGTATGCTGGAAAAGTGGCTTTTAAAGGACATCGAAATGTCTGCGAACAGAAAACTGTGATATGTGAATTCGAAAATTGTGGAAAGACATTTTCATCATTGAGTGGGATTAACATGCATAATTTACACATTCACAAGCTCCCAAAAATTTCCAGATTTTTTTGCACCTGTTGTAGAACTACTATGGTGAAATCAGAAGAAGATTTTAACCAACATTTTCGACTGTGTGAAAGTAATGCAATCGAGTCAGTTTCAAATCAATCCGCCACATGTGATAAATGTGAAAAAGTTTATCCATCACAGAGACATTTAGCTGCTCATATGATGTTTCACTCAATTCCAACTAAGAAAACATATAAGAAGAAGGCAGAAAAGAGCGGATTCTTCATATGCGACACTTGTGGCAAAAATTTCCCGTTTCGATCATACTTACGAGATCATATCAGACGAATGCATCCACCACCAAATCCAAATCCAACAGTTTATGAATGCGACTATTGTGGAACAACGAGAAATTATCGAAGACTTATTTCAAAGCATATTCGAAATGTCCATAGGCAAGATATATCGACTTGTCCACATTGTGGCAAGATCTTCAGAAACAAATCACTTCTTCAATCTCACATGATCTATCATCAAGACAGCAAACGCATTCATTTCTGTCCAATGTGTCCAACCAGACCACCCTATGCGAAAGCAATTGGATTAAGACGTCATCAAGAAGCAGTTCATGGCCTTGGACCGGGATATCATTGTGAAATTTGTTTCAAAAACTTTAAGTAAGTTGGCTTAATTAAGTTTTTCATTAAAAAGTTAGTTCATAATTTTTTTTCTTTTATTTCCAGACTTCCAGGAACTTTAGCAAATCATAAGTTTCTTGTTCATAAGATTGCACGGACAAGAGTTCAGATAGGTCATGCAACAGAATATGCTAAAGAATAAAATGAATTAAAGAATAAAATATTAAATAAATTTTTCTCATAATTTATTGTTCCTGTTTTAGCTTTAATTTCTTCAGTTTAGTTTTTTGCAAAACAAGTTAATGAAAATATTTAAATATTTTTTCCAGCTGTTGCCTTGCAGTGCTGCTTGATATCTACACAAATATCTTCAATTTGTTTAAAAAATTGTTCAATATGGTTCATCAAACTTGAAAATTTAAGGCTTTGACTGATGAAAAATCAAATGACAAGATTAAGATCGTAAAAAATAAATTAATAATGACTTAATGAGCGTGTAGCTCTAGAAATATTTTTACTCAAAATTTGAAATCTACGAAATAAAAGAAAGCAATGAAAAGAAGAAAACTTTTACAAATTAAATGAACTCTGACGTTTAAAAGTCTCATTTCTATTTCAAAGTTTTTTCACAATTCGTGCGGAAATTTATTCAAAAGCAAAATGTAAAGAGCTTCCTTAGCTTTGTATCATACAAAGCTTACACGTCGTGTTGAGATGGGAACGAAATCTACTTTTTGTTCAACTCTTCCTCACACAATCCCATTTCCCTAAATGATGAATAATTAATCAAAGTTTATTTTGCTACAACTGAATGAGAAGTCAAGTGCAAAAGGTGTGTTTGTCTGTTTCATCTGATGGTGGTAAAATGATTTATGGGCTTATTCACATAGATCCTTTACATGCTTGTGATATTTTTATGAGATTCTTAAGCAGAACAAAGTAAATTTACTAAAGTTTTAAGTAACAATGTCTACCTACAAATGCACATCAAAAGTCAAACAAGAAGAATAAATTTAAGGGAGAATTTACTTTTAATTTTAAACTGAGCTTTAAAGCTTTGAAATTTCAATGAATAATTAAATAAATTGAGTGGAGAGGACAGTGAGTAGATGAAATATCTAATAAATAAAACATAAACTTAAAATGTCGTTACTGTTTAAATACTTTGTTGCAACGACCTAGGAAATAACTTTAAATATTCATCTTGAGACGGAAACTAAACCTACAAAAAATGAAAGCAATGAATGAAATTAAGAGCAACTATTTTTCACTCTCCTTCAAGCCTTTTTCCATCTTTTAAGTAAGTTGATTCACAAAATAGCCATTTCAGAAATTGACTACCGGGAGATGTTTTATTTGTAGCTTTGGGATTTTCAACTTGAATGAATTTTAAATTAGCCCTATGAAGTACACGAAGACTGGTGTGAAAAAAAGTTAAATGCTCAAGAAAATAATGGTTCAAAGCTTCAGAAAAGGGTGTTTTAAATAACACAAAACTCCTTGTGATTTACTATTCATCTGAATGCTTGCTTAAAAGAAGTTGAAATATTTATAACTTTAACGTTGTTGCATATTTGTATTTGCACACATATCTACCTTAGCACACAAAATTTAATCAGTGAACAGGGAAAAAAAAAGCTTCAATTTCGTTAATAATCAAATTGCTTTTATAAATATTTAACTTCAAAAACGATAACTTTTCATAAAGCTTTTCCATGTGGGAGCATTTTCCATTATCATGTTTTCCTTCCTTTCATAATCCATGTTTAGATCAGCAATCCTAATTTAACCTTTGCATCGTGGAGCCCCAATTAAAGTAAAGTTCCCTTTTATGGTCAAGGAGATTATTTTAAAATTTCGATTATATGCCACTTTGATTAAATGTCTGTAACAATTCTGTGAGTTATAAGAAACATTGAACATGAAACAGAGTCAGCTTGTGTAAATCACAAACATTCTGTTATCATTGAAGTGTAAGTTTGAAAAGCGGACATTTACATAAATGTTGGTAACAGTGAAAACATAATATTCACATACAAACATATTACATTTGCATACAACCGAATACTCCTTATTAACTGTGTTCCAATCTCGACACTTTCTCGACGAAATAACAAAAAAAAACTATTTGCATTGATTTTTCCTCTGTCGTTAACTTTTATTAAAACAAAACAAAAATTGCTGACGCTTTTTTGGCACTCATGCCATGTTTTGTCAATTTTAAAATGCTATTATCATTGTTTTATCCATGGAACGTCAATAAAATAAAAAGCCAATCAAAATTTGTTATAATCAGAGATGGGTTTAAGATCAATTTTCTGTTTCTTTATTTTTCAATATCTCATTTAAGTATCAAACACTTTCACTTGTTAGCTTTCTAATGAAGGCTATGAAAGTAGGAAAAAGTTCAAAATTACTGATCCAAAATAAAACTAAATATTTTTTACTTGTTGATGAAAGCATTGTGAATTAAGTACGAAGCGCTCCCAATTGAATACAACATTTTCTTCTGTCAGCGATGATGTTGGCGCATTTTTTATTATTTTTTTAGAAGGACCCCAAACGATTATTCAAATGTTTTCATTTAAGTGGAATGTTTAATGGAAATTACATGTTAAGAACTTAATTAAAACCATTGAGCTGTCCCAAAATAGCTGCTATTAATCTGAGTAAAAAGCATTTCATATATTCAAAGCCATTTAAACATTTGTTTTTACAAAGCAGAACTATTTGGTCACCTTAATTAAGTATCAACAATTTCATTCAAATCATAATCCTCTGTCTTAGAGTGTGATCTAAGATTCAATAAATATGCAAATTCTAATTCAATTAACGATAATTCTCTGAAAGCATTGCTCAAGTTCCGCAAACTTTATGTGCATGTTTGTTTTCATCATTTATTTTGAAATTTTACGATCAATCCATAATAAATATTCAAACGATTGTTTTCGTCTGTAATAAGATGTAAATTTTACTATTCAAAATATAAGAATCGATATGATTCTAATAAATCTCTGACAGACATTGGAACATGTTTTGAACATTTAAATGAAGGTAAAGCAAAAGCATAAAGAACGAATGGGAAGTGAGTAGTGTGGAAATATTTAAATGTTTGTGTTTTTCTCGTAAACTTTTTCCACATCTTTTTTCTTGTCTCTTTTTGTTTTATTGTTCTTTTTCCATGGAGATATATAGAACAAAAAATTGTCCTATACACGAGAAGTTATTGTTCTTTTACTCGGTGGAACATTCTGTTCAATTGGCAAGACATTCGTGGCTATGAGTACGACTCTGCGACTCGACTTTATAAGGCGGGTGAAAGAAACAGGAGTAAATTATTTTTATGTTCTTTGCAGAAAATGGTAAGCAAACAATGAACATCAACGTAACGAATGTCCTGATGGCCTTTGCTTTGCTCATATGTTAAAGTTGGTGTGGCGTTCAGAGGGAGAATATTTTTGGGTGGTGGGATGTGGAATGTGGAAATGAAATTTCTTCTTGTTTTTCTCTTAGTCACGTCAAAAATAAACAAGAAAGAGTGCAAACTATGGACGTTTGATACAAAATCTGAAAGCTGTTTGTGAAATTTAATAAACTGAGTTTCAGTTATTTAATTTGTGACCATAAAAGTTCAAAATATTAATAAAAGTTGTGGAACAATAAAACTTTTAATTTATATTTGTCTGCTTGTCAAATGAGAAAAATTAAAAAATTAGTTAAAAGCGTCGCTTTTAACACAGAAAAACTAATCTTTATCAGGTCATTCCTTCCACAATGTTTAAGTTATTCAGCATCATAGATAATTTAAAAACGTCTTGTAGTAAATATCTTACCATGAGGGTAAAAAAAGATCTCTTAATTTATTTTGTAAACTTAGCAACAAAATTCGAATTACAAAAACGAAAACAGTAATGGTCTGAAAGCTAAACAAGACATTGCTGTCGACGAATAACAATGCTTTATCTAATCTTTTTCAAAATATCGAGATAATTAAATAGACTCTGAATGTTCTCATTCACTTCTTGAATTATTTAGGATTTTAACAAAATGTTATCTTCTTCTCCTTTTCTCATATCAACTTTACTCGTTGATTTCATTTCATTTGTCATGATTCAATTTTTCTCAACCATCAATCCTTAATCTTCAGTCCATGTCCAAGCATAAGTGATTGAATTAATCTTGATTTCTTCTCATCATTTGATGGTAAAAACAACCTTCTTTACGAATGACACAAAGTTATGGCATTTGAAAGCATGATAATTATTCCATGTCCATTGGTTGAAGATAACCACGTCGACGTCTGCCCCGGGTGGAATGAATCGCATCAATTTCATTTGACACTCATAAAATGTCATAAAAAATTAGATCACCAACATATCTAAGTATGCTACATTAAACTTAGCGAAGGGAACTCATGAATTGTGTCAGGGGGTAAATCAAGCATGTTGCTTAAAGTTTTAACTTTGTAGCTTTCACACTTGCTTGCTAGAATGGTTAACAAGTATTCAATACCACAAAACAATCATGCGTTAAATAGATAAACCAACTAGAATTGATTATAATTGTAAGTCAATTGAGATGACATTAAGTTGAATAATATTAGTTTGAGAAACATTATTGACAAATTCATCATCTAAACTTTCACTTATGTGCCATAAATTTAGAAATTCAATATAAAGAAATCATCTATAAATTATGATTTTTTCTCATTGTGTTTTAAAAAAAACAATTTTTCAAAGTTTAAAGTCGCGTACTTTCGGAAATCATCTTTTAAAGTGTTCACTGTTATGCTGGAGAGTAAGTATGGTGAAAAATTGTTGTTTTGTGTCTGCTGTCGTCACGTAATCATAATCCATCATTTCTCACATCTTGAAAGATTGTAGTTTAAGAAAAACATTCTTACGAAGCTTTCGGTAAAGCGTGAGGAAATATATATTTTAAAATGTTTTTTAAACTTTTCTAGCAGCATCTGAATTCATTCTTTCTACTTCATATAAATGCTAATGTTAGTATGTGAAACGATCCAACAATTTTAACTAAGTTATGGAGATGTTAAGATGAAAAGTGATCTAATAACAAATGCTTATTTGCAGAGTCAGGTGTAGAATAATAAAATTTTGACAATCTTCCCTTAACTAATTGTCTTCGCTCTCAATATTTGAAATTATATTTTAAAATCGTAAACTTTTCTTCCAATTTAAAATGTTTATCGATCAGATTTACTGTCATCACCTTTTTTAGCGTCTTCTTATGCATATTTTAAAGTATTTTCATTCCTTATGAAATCAAGATTGAGAGCGACACTTAAAAAAAAATATGTATGTGAGTTTATGTAATATTTATTTACATTAAAGTGACTGACTGGGTGTTGCAAATTCATGTAAATATTATTATTAAAGATTTTTTACAACATCAACATACTTGCATTCAAAAGTTTCTTTTCAGCGTTTATCATGAAGTTTGAACAGAATTCGCAGCATTTTTGTCTATTGTTCGATCACGATTTCCGTTAAAAAGAAACATAAAAATAATTTACTCTTGTTTTTTATCCCGCAATATGCTTATGTCGAACAAAAACTAAAACTAGTTTGGAGTTTATATGATTCTCTGAGTCAACGTACAATATTTAAGTTTCCATGTATGGGACACTTACGTATATCCTCACTGAATATGTAGGAAATGGAACAATAAAGCAAAATGAGAAAAGGAAGGAAAAACGTTTACGACAAAAAAAAAGAACACCAGAAATAGAGCAAAGATTTATTCTTACACTACACACTTTCCGACTTTCCATTTTTTAAAATCATAAGTTTCAATGTTTGACATTGATTTATTCAAAGTGGTTTTCAATTCTTTCAAGTTAGATATTTTAAAATTTAAATAATAAAGCAAGCACTTTCCAGCAGACAGCTACTAGAAAAAACATAAAATAGTACACAAATATGTATATTCAGTTCATTTTATGATGTGCATATATAAATAAATATTTAAAAGAGAGAACAAATATGTAGTAAAATGAAACTCATCATGTTCGATTTTTTATCGAGTTTTTCAACGAGTGGTAAAATTCCGGAACATAAACGCAACAACGATGTCTCTTAATTGATTTTTATACCAGCACTTTGAAGTTACTTTCATTTCATTTGGGCTTTCATTTCTTCTTTTTTCCACTGATAGTAACAAATTTGTTCAGTTGCATGGCTGTGAACAGTTTCATAACGTTTTGACTTTTCCAGAAAGACAATGGATGATAAAATTGACACAACATTCACTGCATATTTAAGAAGATGAATTTCAATTATGAAGTTTATAATTCACCTTCACCATCTTTTGTAAATATATTTGTGTATCATGCAAATATTTCTCATCTACACATGAGCATGAATATTTTGCTTTCACTGCATTCAGAAACAGCAAAATATTCATGCATAAATTAAAAGTGAATAAAAATTAATTTTATGCTTTGTCATCATTCTACCAGCAAGTTGTCCTTTCAGCACTACGTTGATAAACTTTCTCTTGAAATTAAAGATTGCTTGTTTTGTTAGTTTTCCGAAATACAATTACCATTATATGTCAATAAGATATCATACGTGGCGTAAGAGAGATGATGAGATCGACGTATTTGTCTCTCGTTTCTTTGTTTTCCCCGCAATTATTTATGATTACTCTGAAGCGTCTGTCAATGTAAAGTGCTATCGATTGAATCTTTCATTGTTATGAGGTTAAAATATAACATGACGATTGTGATTGTAAAACTCTAAGTACTTATAAGCACTCATGAAGTTTCAAAAAGGTCAAAATATCTTTATGTGGTATCGTGACCGAAAAATGATATTTTATCTATAAATCAGGGATTTTGTCTGAAACAGTTTTGTGGATATTAGTAATTCAATTTAACAACATTATATTATTTCACTTTATCTGAGTGCAGCAGTGTTGTAGTTTTCACTTAAATGGATTTCAAGTTGCTACTGCTATTTATGTTTTGATAATTACTAATTAGGTGATGTAGAACAATCAATTCTGTAATTACCATTTCCTTCATAAAAAAACCTGGCATTTGAATGATAATTTATTACATTTAAGTAAATTCCATTTGCAATGATAATATAAAGCATAAATAAATATTAAATGAACCTGCTAATAAGGTTTAAATAATTAGAAATAAAATAAAAACTCTCACAATTCTATTTGAATAATTCTTCAATTGATTATTAAAGGCTTAGATATTAATTTAAATAAAACATTCAAATGTGAGCTTCTACAGGTGTTTATTTGCATATGATGAAAAATTCAATTTCATGAGGAAAAAAATTCTTCTATTCTAAAAGAAGAATGAACATTTGAAAGAGCAATAAAATAAGCGACTTTTCTCGTGAAATTGAAATGAAAATCCAAGCCGTCAATTCTCACTTGCATTTTGGCAGACAATAAACAGAGAGTTATTTCATTCATTCTATTTTTGTCTTCACAGCACGTCGTTGGCATAAAAGGTATTAAATGTTATCAAAAAATATGAATAAATATCTCGACTTTTTCTGTAAATAAAATAACAAAAATAAAGTTGGAAAATCCACGAGTTTATCTAAAAGAAGAATGAACATTTGAAAGCATTTAGTTTAAAATTCATCTACAGATGAGATTTTAAGGGTAATTGATTTATTAAGAGTGACCAGCTACGTTTCATGGACCATTATTGGAAAATCGAATGCATGTTAAAGAGCCACCACTGGCGATATAAATTGATATAAAATATGACGATAAGTCGTGTTTTTAAAAACCACTTGTTTGTTTTAGTTTTAATTATGAATTTCGATACCTTATATTATTAAAAAGTAAAATAACAATGCACTTAGTTAACATCAAAACATTTTGAATAAATATAAACAAGTTGAGTTTATACACGCATCTGATAGGTTTGTTCATCATTTATTTATTTTTATATTAAAAGGATGAATTCAAAAACTGGAAAATAGGTCTACATAACAAAGGAATTTCATAAATAGAACAATTTATGAGTATGTACATAAATAACCATTATGAATCGGCTTGATGGATTTTTGGATCGCGAATTACAAAATTTTATAATACTTCGAAGAAATTCTTTCTTTTTCACAACGAAAAATATTCTTTTGATGTTTAAAAATTAATTCTATCGTTTATACGCTTTTTTAATAAAGAAATCATGCAAACTTGACAAGTATTTTACATTAGGATAAATTTTACTTGAACAATTTATGAGAAAGTTATGCTTCAAGAAGTTCAATTATGAAATCTGTTTTTATTCTCAACTAAACTTTTCTATTCTCGGGAAAGATTTTATTTTACTCTTAGTTGTAAATATTTAGTTCATGTAATAAATAAACAAGGCAACGGGGATCATTCAGGAACAAATACAGAAAAACGAGCAAATTTCATTATTCATGCGTATGCTTGTAAGATACCAGAAGGGAGTAAAATATTCAATAAGGTAATTTATAATTAATTGTTTATTAAAAATTAAACATGTTAAATAAATTATTATTATCAACTTTTTTGCTTCATGCCAACTTTCACCAACTCGTCGTAATAATTTATTATTAGGTAAACTTTCTTAAAATAAAATGTCAAGAATTTCCTTGGGGATATTCGAAGAAATTCTCTTGGGGAAGGAAAACAAATTTTTTTTTAACTCATCTCCGTTGTTGGATAACAAAACAAACTAGAAAATATTTCCGCTTTCCTCATTAATCTTATGAACGAGAAGGAAAATGTTAAGTTACCTCAATACTGGAGTTTAAATCAGGATTACTTTTAAATACATGTTTGATCGTAATCATGTAACTTCTATTATCAAATGCTAAAGATTAATGAATTAAATAGAAATGAGATTAGTGTAACCAAACTTTATATTGTTTGATTTTCGGTATTAACTAGATTTAATTTAAACTCTTTGTAATGGAAAAGTTCACTCGACGCCCACACAAAGGCAAATTTGTTTATCTAACAAAACGGTCTAAATCAGGTAGAAAGATAATAAGAAACATTGTTTCAGTGTTAAAGTTTTGTATGTTTAATTAATTATCTAGCATTGTTTTTCTGCCTAAATCTTGCGCTAAACAAAGAGTATTTTATGTCTTTCCTAGATTATGTATATTGCCATTGCTACTTTCGTGTAGCGAAAGCTTGTTAAAATATCAGGCTATTAATTATAGGCGACAACACCTTTCACCACAATAAAAAATACGTTGCCACCAGGCTGTCGACATGAACTCAACTTGAAGTTATACAATAAACAAAGTGAAAGGCGAAAATGTTGGGGGGTGGAAGTAACCGATTAAAATGAAAATGTGTAAATACGTAGGAACATAAGAACACAAAGCAATCCTTTTGAAAAATTATTTTCTTTCCGAATTTATGTTTTTCACTTAGAAAAGCTAGATTGGTTCGTCATATGTTCAATCAATTACCAACGTTTGCCTTCCTTTGCTTTCTCTCTGCTGCTTCAATCTGTTGTCTTGGATCACTTTTCGAAATTGAACCCATTTGGTTTTTCTTTTGCCAAAAATTTAAGAATGAAAAAATAGAATTTTCAAGTTTGAGTTTAGGATTCAAATTTATTGTTGAGGTTTCATCTCCTTGAACTAAAAAATATTTTAGATAAAAGTATGTTGAGCAGACATACATAAATTTCATCTGAAATGGGATATGCAATAATAAATTCTATTGAATCATAAAATACAATAAACATATTTATTCATTTCGTATTGAGAAAAATGCACCAGAATAATTATTTACATATCTTCCATTTCCTTTTTATTCTCTCAAGCTTTATTGATGATCGATTTTATTATATTCAAGAATGCTCTAGGAAACTGATTTGGTGATTTACAATAACAATAATAAAATGTTCTTTAATATATTTCAAAATGATGTTTCGTGATTGCTCATCGACTGTAGATTATAGTAGGATGTCTCTGGTACAGTCTTTAAAGTTAATCGCTACATTACGTTAGAAAAAAGAAGAAACAGGAAAAAAGAATTAGAAATGGAAAGTAGAAAAAGTAATAATGATTTAATAGATAAATGATTTGTAAAACTCGATTTTTGCTCAATTTACAATTCGACAGATATAAAAAAACGATTTCAATGTGATTCAAAATGAAATTGAAAGCAAGATGCCCAACGATGTGGAAACAGTAGCAATAAATCTCGTGAATGCTTACCGGTTCATTAGAGCTGCAAACAGGATTACTTGAGCTGGTAGATGCGAATAATGAAGGCGAGATTGGTGGGGGGAATCTATCTAATGTAGCAGTGTTTAAACTTGTTAGTGGATTTGGGAAATGTCCGACGAATAATCTTTGTATTTGAGTATTATTCGGACGATGATGGAGTAATTGTGACTGTTGTTGTAGATATCCCTGTTGATATTCTATCGGTAATGATGTCAAATCGAACTGCTATGGAAATCAATAATAAAAGAATGTCTTCGCATTAAATTTTTCCGTATAAATGAGTTAACAATAATTAATTATTAATTATGCATGGCTTAAGTCTAATTCAAATTTCATTTGATATCTCATGAAAATGTTTAAGCCTAATTTGATGAGAAAGATACTCGTAATACGTAATTACGAGAAAGCGAACGTAAAAATACGTCAAATCCCTTGGATACTACAAAAATCAGTCTCATTCCGCTGTATTTTATATTCGCTTACGCAAAATGTGATTTATTTGATATCATAATCCGAATAAAAACACAAATTTCAAGGAAAAACTTTTTGGCGGCTACCAATAAAAATGCCAAGTAAAGTTCAGTAGCAGAAGCCAAAAAAAAATGAAAAACGAAAAGAGAAACTCACCTGCTGAGCACAAATGCCATTAGAATCGATCCGTTTAAAATTATTATTCATGTGAGGGCGACCCAATGTGGCGTCAGAATAAATTATCATATTGTTGGCTGTAGAATTGTAAACAGAAGCAGCAGCAGCAGCTGCTTGTGGCTGCATTGTGGGAATTCTATAATGCATTGAGCCATAAATCTGTTTGCTTGCCTCTTGCCATTCTTCGAGTGTATGTGGGATGATGTCAGGATTTTTATCAGCACTATCAGGCGACTCTTGTTGATGTTGTCTTTGTTGTTGGTGATGATCCATGATGTCAGCATTATGTGGAATTGACGGAAGACTTGAAACCATCGGTTTTGAATCTAATCTCCTTGAACCTCTTAATCTTGCTGCGATTGTTATCATCAAAGCTATCGAGATGATTCCAATGATGCTTCCAGCTAACATCATCAGAAGTTCTCGTTTTTGCATTAAAGTTGTCGTTACGGTAGCAGCTAAGTCCGTATGCTTCTCAGGAACTTTTAAAGTGTAAGTTAAAAGGGAAAAAGGCATTGATCTTCCTTTTTTGTTGACTGCTGACAAAACAACTTCATATTCACTGCCAGGATTCAATCCTTTTAAATCAAAAGTTGGGGTCCTAGAATGATATTGAATTTCAATCTTAAGAAAGCATGATTGTGGAAGATATTTTCAGAAATAAGTAAAAAGACATGAAATGTAATTCCATTAAATATTTTGAGATGATAAGACCAAAGGTCGAGTTGGTAAATGTGGATAAAATAGTCAAGAAGGGTAATTTAAAACAAATTTTGCATACCTCGAAGATATCGATGTTTTCACAAATTTCTCTCTTGCAAAGTACAACTCAGCAATAAAATCTTGAGGATATCCTCCATCTTCACCTTCGACACAAGTCACTTGGAAGGAGAATTGCGTCTGATTACCTACAGAGCAATTTGTTAAAGCTTCTGGCTTTCCTGCTGGTACGACTTGAAAAAGACAAGGTTCTGTTTGCATCCCGATTGAGTTGATGCCCCAACATAAAACAGTACCGTAATCATTCTCGGTTTGAGGTTTAAAACGAAAAAAACTTTTCACATCGATGCTTGTATGAAGATCAGTAAAATCAACGAGCGTTGTATTGAATTTCCACCTGTAATCAAATGCAGCTGGGTTCGATTCAACTTCACATTGGATGGTGGCAGTTTCACCACGATCAACATTGTAAGTTTGTGGCAAACCAGGACGGCATATTGGCGAGTCTGAGAGTTATAAATAACAGAAAAAAGAATAAATTTCGATCCAAATATAGAGGGAAAGGAAAGTTTTAAAGTAAGCTTTAACAACCAACACTTTCTTAAAGCTTTTGTTTTTCATTCTTTTGTCCTTTCATTTCAGGTTTCTTTAGCTTCTCGGACGAAGTTGGATGACATTTCGATTTTATCCATTGTTTAGAACGAAGAATGTAGCAAATATGATTAATCATTTTGATTATACTTACATAGAACATTCAACTGAACTGGTTGGCTAAAACCGTCACCCTCGGAGTTACTTGCTGTGCAAACATATTGCCCCATTCGTTGTCGAGTGATGTTCTGAAGCACTAAAGACTGGTTTGAAATAATGATGCCTTCCTGTGGATTATTCTGAAGCTCATTATCATTATCCTGGGGATTAGAAGATTTTTTTTGTGGTGAACAACTTTTTATTTTTTTTTAATTCTTCGTGAAACTTTACGAAAAGAAATTTTAGAGAGTTGAACAAAACGAAAAAATTCTTACGTTGTGCCTCCATCCGACTCGGTAAACCGAAGGATTTGCTTTAATATTACATTCGAAGTAAACATCCGCTCCTTCATTCACAGTATTTCCTTCGACAACAGGATTTGTACCGAATTCAAGAGTTATGAGTGGAGGATCTGTTTGACGAGAAAATGGAGCAGGAAGGAAAAGGAAGAATGAAATGAAACAAATTCACGGATGAGTTGAGACGGTAAAGAATTCTCATCATATTTAAAGTCGTTATATTACATTTGTGTGGCATATTTACATTATACGATGTGATGTGTAATCTTTTTTCCTTTTTTATTGAATCTTCATTCTTCTTAAGCGATTTTTTAATTCAAGTTTAAAACGACTTGACTTTAAAATTGTGATGATGAAAATGCTTTCCAATTTACATAAAAATTTTACAATCTATTCATTCAGTGATAAAACATTCAATAAATAGAAGAAGCAACTTCAACGTTTTTTGAAAAATATAAATTTTCAATATTTCACTATTAGTTTTTGTTCAAAACCATAAAGATGAATTTCTATTTAGTCAAGTGTTTAAAATTTTATATTAAAATTGAATTGATATTGTTTGTAGTTAAAATAAGAAACATTTGTTCATCATAAAATTATTTTATGCTTGTTTCAATGGAGTCATCATATTTACATTTAAGTTTCTCATCAACATTCCTTTTTTGTCAACCAACAATAAGAAACTTTAGTTAAAAGACTCTAATAATCAACAAATAAGGAAATTAATTGTCATGAAACTTTTTCATTGCTTGAAGTTCTACTTTCAAATTTGCCAGAATTTATAATAAACAAGCAAATTGTATTTAAAACGAATATTTGTTCAAAGAAGAAAATAAAAAACTTACGATGCAAATTTAATTTGAATCCATTTTCGTTGCCGGAATCTGGTATCAAAGGATTTTCTGCCCGACAGCTTAGAAACTTTCCTTGGTCCTCAATTTTTGGATGGTAGGGAAGTATAGAACTTGTTAAATTTAAATCCTTCGTTGTCTACATTTCAAGTAAATGTCAAGCAAAAATGTGATGATAGAAAAGGATTAGAAATGAAAGTTTTCAATTACGTTTTAGCATAATTTTTATTTTACATCTCTCTGTGGAAAGCCATAACTCATATCTTACTTGAAATTTAGTTTGAAAAATGTTTAATTAGTGCCAAAGATATCATCAACTTAACAATAAGTTTCAACGCACAAAAATATGGCTAACCGCTATTATGAATCTCATTTACTAAGATTTTCCATCTTTTCATTTAAAATTTCATAATAAAAGCTAATTTTGAATGTAAAACTTTTGTATTTCCGGAACATATTTACATAACGATTATATTTTATTTATTGTGTCAGTGAGTGAGAAAGCAAGAGGATGATGACACTTGGAGTAAAAGTAAATATAAGCGAAGAATTAACATTAGACTGAGCGACACTCTAGGTCTTTAAAGTGGCTCTAAAGTGGCTGACAAAGGTAGAAAATTTGAATATAAAATACTCCTCTTGGTATTAAACAGACCGTTATGTGAGTGCTAATGAAATGAAATTACGAGAAGCATAAACATTTGTAAGCTTAGTTGTGAGTCATTCTTCTTCACTTATTTGTATGCAGCATCGCAACTAAATACATTGCAAGTTGCAGCGAGAAGTCTTTAATTTGGCACGTCTTAACAATAAAATAATTAAATTTCCGTTGTTCAAAATCCAACTTAATACTAACCGTTTCTTTTGCTGCAGTTAATTTTTCAGAACCAAGCCACCAACTAATTTGTGGAGCAGGACGTGACCCTCTGACTTCACATCTTAAATCATACAACTGTTTAGTCGACATGAACTTCAAATCTTTGATAATTTTCACTGTTAAAGGCCGCACTGGAAGTATACAGTATGTTCAACTATTTAGTTTCATTAATATTTTCTTAAATGCATGTTGGAAAATAAATGTACAATGGAAAACGAGTAAAAATTCAAACAAAGGAGCTGAGAAACAATAAATTTTTGAGGCTGCTAATGAAATGTAATTAGCTATTCAAACATTAAAATAATTATATATCTTCCTTAATTGTATACAACACTAAGTAAATGTATAAAGTCATCATAAATCAGTGTAGGATAAAACATCGAAATAGCAAAGGAAATTTTGCTTGAATTTGAGTAAATTCTAAGAAAAATAATTAAAATTGAATGTTCAATTTTACATCTACATAAATATTTAAATAATTTTAATCTTTAATCAATTTTCAAGAAAGGTTTCCATTAAAAATCATTGCTGTGAATTAATTTTCTAACTTAGAAAGAAATATCGAATTGATGCTTTGCCCTATAATCAAATCATAATAATTAAGAAATTATTAATACTTAATTGAAAGGTTTCAACTTACAATTTAAATCTATCATAACTGATGATGTTATTGGATCGGTTAAATTATTGTTTGTGGATTTGCATGTAAAGCTGCTGAGAAGATCTTTCCTATTAAGATTCTTTAGATGAAGCACATTTCTCATCTTTTTCTCGGAAAGCTTTGTAAGAATTCCTTCTAGTAATTGATTGTCGTGTCGCCATGTTAACTTTGGAAGTGGATCACCACCACTTGAAATACATGTTAGATTTATGGAAGACCCTTCGTTATAAGGTCCAAGGATGTAATGCGAAATATGCTTTCCCTGTTCGTTAAGAATCAGGAGATTCTCAGGCGGGATGATGACCGAAAGATTAAATTTAGTGTTTTTGGTTGGAGTTCTTGTAAAGTCGACACGACAACGATAAATCCCTTTATCATCTGCTGTTAGATTACTTATAGAAAAAATTGCTGGATTTAATGAAGACGTATTGAAATAAAACTTTCCATTTATACTAATCCCATGATGGCTTCCGCCATCAATAGCTTTCGAATCTCGAGCGTCGTAACTATAAATTGGAGTTGTTTTACCCTCCTTGTACCATATCACTAATGCTACTCTATCATCTTGAATATCTGATGTGAGATTACATGATAACTGTCCGCTTTTGCCGACAACTGCTTCGATTTTTTGAACATCATCGGCTAGAAGGAAGAAATAAAAAAAGAAAATGTAGACAGGAAAGATTAAGTTAGGTTTGGGAAATATTTGTGTTGCTATGCTAAACAGTAAAGCCAAGAAAATGAAGGAAAGTTACTTTTCGGTCTTGTCTTCGTACAATCGTAATAATTTATTCAAAAGTTTGTTCTGGATCTTCTTTCTCTCCTTGCTTGTTTGTTTCATGTTTTTCCCCATCGCTCGTTTGATACATTAAAGTCTGCTGTGATTTATTCTTTTCATTTCAACTTCAGCAGAGGTCAGGCAAAATCTTGTAAATGTTTTATATATTCTTTTTTTTACTGGAAAAAGTTGGTGTGATTAAATCTCTGATAAAAGTGAGAAGAGAAATCTAAGCAGTGTGAACCATCTTCGAAATGAACGTGTCAGAATTGTTTCGAAAACTTTTCAAGCTCAGTAGATGAAGATCATGAATAACTTTTATATGTTAAGTTACTATTAGATATATACAAAACTTTTGAATATTAAATGACAAAACCACTTTTATTTAATTTACTACAATCATCTCCCATTTAGTTTTCAAAACAAAAACTGTAAAAAAAATGTTTTAATGTTGTTTATGTAGCAAGCATAAACAAAAATGTATGATAGATTTGAAATGACATTTTTTACATTCATTCAAAGAATGTAAAGCACTTAGAGTAATGTAATTATGTAACTAATTGAGGAATAATTTTTTAAAAATATCTCCGACGTTGTCGCATTCATATTTCTAATTTTATTATTTCTTTATTTATTAACGAAAGTATTTCTCAATTTACATTTTTAAAATGAAAGCTTTCTCCTTATTAAAGCAAATCACAAGAATCGAACGTTCTTTGAGGACATGAAATTAATTAAAATTTCAAGAATTCGAACAAAAACTTCATAAAAATTGGTTCATCAATTAAATTAATTGAATTAATTTTGTATATATGAAACGCTTCTTCAAAGTTCAACAATTTCAACTGAATCACCTTTAATTAGTTTTTATAATTGTCACGAAATTTAATACGCAATTAAACAAGAACAAGTAAAAATATGAAATGGAAACTGATTTTGTTCTTCCTAAGTAGTAATTAAGCATACGTCATGCTTTATATATTAAAGTACTCATTTCATGTCATTATTACTTTAATTAACACATTTTCCAACATCTTTTCACTAACGTTAATTTGCGAACTCTCATTTCTGTACATATTCAAAATCTTCTCCACAATTTTCCTTATCAAGAATGACACAGAATCTGTGTCACAGATTTATAATAATCATCTTAGGGTACCTTTATGTATAAATAAAATCAACAGAGAGCTTTCATCTTATGTCAGTCCTTTCTGTATTTGTGTGTGTCTATAATGCATAATAAAATATTCCATTTGGGTACTTTAATGATATTTAAAACTTCTAAAATGTGAGAAAATTAGTTTTTAATCATACTTAATGATTAACTGTAGATGGAAGCTGTACCTAGAAGCTTGCTAATTAGGAATGAACTATTGCATAGTTGCATAAGTTGTACAATATCTGCAGATATCGAGTTTCCTGATAATTATTTTTTCATATCTTTTTACTTATGACATTTTCTAAATGAATAAGATATGTAAATATGTATACATAGGTATTTAATTAAAATATTTTTCTACTTAGAGAAGATGTTCATCAATAGAAAATTTCAGAAATATGACTTTTTTATCCTTTAGAAAATAAAAGCACTTACGATAGTTTAAAGTTTGAACATAAATTCTGACTTTCAACACTTCGTAAGAATAAACTTTTTTAACTTAAAATAATTTAAACGTCTTTCTCTCATTTCGATTGATATATTGTTGCAACATAAATAATAAACATAACATTTCTTATGTAGAATTCCTCATTTAGAAGTTTAATTTATTTATTATCCCAAGTTATTTCAGTTACAATGATTTTTTGAATAATTTTCACAGAGTTAAGGAATATATTCTTTACAAACTCAAATTAAGGTATAAACTGATATTGAGATGAAATTTTGAAGAAAAAATGATATCAAGTCACATGAATAAATATTTACATCTTGATACAATTTTGTGTGGATAAATAGTGAATGAAGAAAGTTGGCTTTGAATATGATTCTTGAGTTGATTGTTTTGTTTTGAAAAGAATAAATAAATAGAAATCATCCATATGCTCCAACAACGAAGCAGAAAAATTCTTTCAGATATTCATTTACAAAGAATCTAAAACTTCTCTTCTTTCGTCTTTTCAAGAAAAGCTCCAGAATAAGGTTTTGGCGGTCGATGAAAAATGTGTTACAGTCTACTGTCTCGAACCAGACGAAAGGAATAAGAGATAGATATGTGAATAAAAGAAGTCAAAACAAAATAGATTGAATAATGCCTGGCTTTGGCTTGTTGGTTCATTGTTGAAAATCCGAATTTTTCTACTCTTTGTTATTGGGAGATAATAATGAGGTGTAGGTTTGGTATAACTTTAAAACTACAATTTTTCATTCAACTTTTTCTATTCGTTAACCGCATATGGAAAAATTTGCTCAGTTTCCACGATACCACGAAAAACTTTACGTTATTTGAAATCATATTCTGTTCCACAAATTAAAGATCATCATTTTGAATCTTTTTTACTAAAAGATTTGCAAATGATGGATTTCTTTATTGGTAGGTAGGTAGAAGCATGCATGTTAATCAATCCTATTAAATATTCAAATAAATTTTTCTTACTCGATTCATTCTTGATGTTTCCGAATGTCTTATCCAGTAATAATCCAAATAATAGTAATTTTAGGAACTTTACAAACTGCAACATTATTTTTCTCTGTTCCACTAATTTTTTCGATAATCAATTTACATTTTGTTGCAGTATTTTTGACAAATCATTATTATTAGATAAGTATTATTTATTTCTTGTTATCAAATTTACACATTTTTATTTCATGTTCATATGACTCTTAGTCTATCCACTACATTTTAATATATGCATAATTTTATTTAAAAAAATTAATAAACTTTTAAAACTTTATTGTTCAAACTTTGGTCTTAAATTGATTTTTACCGGATATCGTTAAAATTTGTTTTCCTCGCAAAAACCTTTAAAATATGGTTGAGAAAGAGTTAGTTAATTTTTTAATAAAAAATCTTCCTCAATTCTTAAGTCTGTCCATTTCAATCGAAGTACTCGGAAAAAATAGAAATTGCGAAACATTGGAGTAAAATAAATGATTTTCTTCTCTCAACTGATGCTGCACGAGAAAAAATTTCTACATCCTTGCAAACATCAACCAAAGAAGTTTTCTCTCTTTGATAATGATTTTCATCATCATCATCATCATTGCGAGCGTGAGAGAATTTAAATTCAGATAAAACAACTTGGGACACAACGACGAGAAGGGAAAATCTGAGAACATTTTCTAAAGACTCGCGTCTATGAAACATTCAACAAAGGGTGTATGCTGAAACTGATAAATACATGCGATGTTTTAATATTTCATACAGAAATTTTGGAGAAAAAACTATTTGAAATGCTCCGAAAACTAGAACCTTGCATCGATTAGCTTTTAATATTTATGCTGTTCGACTATGTTTTTCACATATTTTTGTTTTCTTTTCTAATCCAACCCAACATGTTGTAGTTAGGTACCTACTTGTAAAAATGAAAATTTTCTTCTTTTTTTCTTCTTCTTTTTTTTCGATAAAGATTAGGCTAGATGAGACAATTTTCTGGCTCAACAAAAATAGAACTGTTTTACTCAGTGTGAATACATTGCAGATATTAAGCTCATTATTACCAGTGAGTTGATCGCTCTCATGACAATTAACTTTTTGATCATACAAAGAAAATCTACTTAAAAGACCGAGCCAAAAGTCAATAAAGGACGTTGAAAAGTCATGTTAGTCTTTTTATGGAAACAACTACTAAAAATATTTATGCTTTAACAGTTATTTATGAAACATAAAAATATGATTTTTTCGCGTGTTGTCAAAAACTGTAAGATTTTCAATTTAAAAAGGAAAAGAAATTAACAAAGCCTTTTGAATTAAGTTCAACATTTTAAATTTCTTCAGGCAAATTGACTCATTCTAAATATAATAACCACTGTTACAGTTGCGCAATTTTCGTCGGTATAATTATCTAATATTCTCAAGTGCACATATTTTGATAAGTATTTCTATTTTCCCTTTCTCATCCCATATTAAGGTTGAATTCCAACATATTCGAACGTAGCCTGCAAAGAGAAAGAAGGAAAATAGAAATAAAAAAGCAATAAACTTCAAAGAGAATGAAGCTGGGAGCAAAGGAAGCAGAGGCAGAAAAGGATAATTGGATGTTAATAACATCAATAAAGCTTTTGAGCGTTACATGAAAAGTGTCCTTTTCCAATCTAACAAATCACTGCTTTCGAAGTAAACTTGTGTCGTTTCTAGATTCGTTTTTTTGTTTTGTTTTGTATGCTCTACCTCGAGTAACAAGTTTAATTCAATTTTGAACTAGCTAAATTTATTTCCCTTCATACCTGCTGCTTTAACTTAGATATTCGTTCCATTGTCTGCTTGGAGGATGTTCTCTATTTTCATGTACATTTTCTGATTGATCTTTTCTGACTTCATTGTAATTGAGTTAGTTAAATTATCATCAGCATTAGAATGATCTGGAATTCATTTATAAATGTTTCTCACTTTTATTATCGCACACAATTCAATAAATTCAATTTAATATCAAAAGTAATGAAAAATAAGAATAGTAAAAAAATAGAAAATGATTTTTCTTTTCGAAGAAAGATGATGTCAGCGGTGATATAAATCTTATTATACTTTATTCCCTTCTATAAGTGAAGTGTGACATAAGCCTCAATCTAAAATAAAAAAAACTGAATGAAAGCCTATTCAAGATATTGAAGTCAATCGGAAGGTTATTGAAAGTGACTTATGTTCTCATTTGAATCCCATGAGTGTTTATCTAACATTGCTCTTCACTTTTTCGAAGTAAAATCTTGAAACCTCCGGATTGAAATTGAAGCTCGATGGTATAAAGGAAGAACCATTAAAATCATAAAAATGTTTGAAAAAATTGCGCTTGTGCGGAAGCCTCTAAAATTAGAACTCGTTGTAAAATAATATACAACACGTTAGAAGCATTTGAAGATCTAATAAATATAAATAAAGCAACTCAAAAGTCGCAAATGAACGATGTTGAATAAAAGACATGTCAAGGAAAAAAACGTCTTTGATCGATCTTAACTTAATATGACATGTTGTTCATTTTTCCCCCCAAGGAAATAAAGTAGAAGAAGAAGAAGAAGTTGTTGGATTTGAACAGCATGTAGATGAATAAGACAAGCTTCTATAATAGAAATGGGTGATATGGTTCGGTGATACATTTCATAATCACACTTTCCTGTCTATTTTCTCATGTCAACCTCAATACATTATTGGAATTGGAAGTTGTACCAATTACAAATTACCTTAAAAATTTTGTTTTAATGAAGAAACATTTTACTTTGATTAAAAAGTGAGTTTAATTCGTTGCAATTTTTTTTAAAAGCATGAACAAATGAGAAAATTTTACATTTCTCGTACTTACTTCATTTTGAAATATTTGTAGTGAAGGAAAAAAAATTAAATTATTTAAATAAAAATAGCAAGAAATAAAATGTTGAAAATAATATTTAAAGAGAAACCCATCGAAAGAAAGAACACCTTCCCAATAGTCCATGTTGAAAGAAGGAAAAATGAGATCAATTTTTCTTTATTATGAGTCCCGGAACAAAAATGTTTCAGGCAATAAAAACAAAAGGAAGAAAATTTCCTCAATGTCCTATTACAGCAAAATGGCTTGGGCTCCGGCTTTCAAATTGCCCAATGTGTGTAAGCGATAACTGAGGGAATGAAATGAAGAAAAACCTAAAGAGAAAACAGGATTGAATTGATCAATGAATGCGTGTATAAAGAAAAAGCACTCATGAATACATGAATAAATGGGAGTGCATTTGCATACAAATTTCCGTATGCTATACCACCCATAATCTGCATAAACCGAAACCATGCCTTACTAAATATGAACAATAAGACAAAACATTGCAAAATGCTCATGATTAACCATCACCATGCTCACCAATGTCTTTCTTTTTGACTCAATTTTCGAATGTAAACGTGTGATAGTCTTGAAATCACCTGATACTGAAAGTAATTGTGAATTCAACATGAAAATTAGCATAATACATGTTTCAAGGCAGACAGAAAGAGTGAGTGAGTGAGTGATGTTGATGTATTACAATTTCTCTTTCCAGCATAAGCATTTTTCTGTTGAACATTTTATCTTATTCATGTGAGAATGTTTTGTAGATGTGTTTTGAATAATTGATGTAATTTGAGCATCTCAATTGAGATGTAATTACAGTGCAGAAAGGTGAATTTTATTTTTGGAAAGAAAATGAAAGTAAGTCAAAACAGTTTTTCTAAAAATGCTAGACGCAAGAAATAGTTAATAAGTAGTCAGAAGATGATTGCTTTGTGTCTTAAGTCACACGCTGGAGACATGGGAAAAGATAAATTTACGGTATCTACAAGATAAAATTAGATTAAAAGAAGATGAAGTAATTTTTTCGTAGCTTATTTTCTTGGTATGCAGATTTGATTCATCGAATCAATTATCTCATAATGAGATACTTTTTGTTTCCAGACTCAAGTTTTCCCTTGAACTTAATGTTGTTATTTTTAGAAACAGAAATATTTAAATCACTTTAGTTACAAATCTTACGCCCTCATGTTCAATTTTGATGTTACCTCAAGCTAAGAGTAAAATATGACACATTATTCATTTGATAGGATAATTCATCATAATGTTTTATACAAGAATGAATATTTTCCTTTTGTTTTCTTTCTTCTTTCATAAGTTAATAATTTCTGTACGTTCTTTTGATGAAGGATCGCTTTAAATGATGAAACAAAGGAATATTAAATTTCCTTCTAGGTATTGAGATATTTGGTAATAAAGTCACTTTTGAATCACATTTTTCAAGTTATGCTTGTGCAGTTGATTCAAAATGGATCATAAATCAAATTCGCTTATCAGATTTTAAGAATTCATTTTTTGGAGGCTTTGTTTCTAAAAGAATGCTTTTTGGGCATCAAATGGAATCTATAATCAATTTTATTAGAAATACGTCACTTCATTGATGCAAACAATCGTTCAGTTCAATGGACAATTTTAACTTTGTGGTTGATTGTTCCAAATAAATGAATGTCAGATGCTTATTTGATTTCAATTTCTTTTAAAGCCACCATCATACTCAACAATATCTGTTTATATCTGATTTCTAGCATGAAGTTGGCATAAGGTGATAGAATTCTATTGATAAGAGTTCCAGGTTGCTTTATTGTCATTTTGTGGCATCCATGGTGACGCTTAATTCCAGTTCAATCTCTAACGAAAATATTTCAGGCCATAAATTTTTATGGTTCTCCAGTTTGTGTCGAGATTTATCAGGTAAAAAATAATTTTTCATTGCTTTACGTTTGCTTCTGTAAATATCGGCTTATGCATTGCCAATAAAACAAAAAGAAATGAAACAAGAAACATGATCTTTCCACTGATAAGACACTGAAATTCGTATCTCACTTTTCCTCATGAAAAAGGTTGCAGAAAAAGAGAGAAAAAATGGAAAGAAAACACTCGGACCCAACCGTAGTGATGATGTCGCATCTACTCCATCTACTGATGTTCTTGTAGAATATCAATTTCACTTTTTTTTTCAACCTCCAACTCCGACCATCCCCAAGTACACAAGAAATTAAATTAAATTCGTAATTTCCCATAAACAATAAGCAAACAAGGAAAAAAAAATCTTGCTTATCACTCGGTATCCCTTGTCACATCAATATAATTCAAAAAGGACATTTTTGGGTTTTTTTTGGTTGCCTCTGTTTTATGCTTTGGTATTTTTGCACGACATATTACTCGGAAGCTTTTTTATTCTTGTAAAAATTCTTGTTTCGGCTTGTTTTAGAAAAAAAATCGATTTTAAGATATTTAAGAGTGAAGGCGTTTTCAATCTATTTGAAGTATTCTATAAATATTTTTTACATTAGTGAAAGCAAGAAGAATAAACAACTATCAACATAAATGCCTTAAGAATATAATAGAAAAAGGGAGCTTTGAAGGTTTTACATTTTAAATTCATATTTCCAAGAAGCATAAATATCAATCATTGCCGGAGAATTCTTTGTGAGGAAAATTCGAAAAAAGGTTTCAAGTTGATAAGCTCACTATCCCCCCCAACTATGTAAATGACAAGACAAAAATCACCAATTCCTTATACATTTTATTATACAAGAAACATTGTTAGTTGTGGGTATCGTTAATTTCAATTAATTTCAAAATTAATTCGTTAAATAATTTAATTATTGAAATTTAATAACAAAATCATGTTTTTTCCGCTTCAGAAGACGCAATTTAACTTTCGTGGTACATTTTAATATTTTTATCAAATATGAAGGACTTATTCTGTAGCTTAATTTGCCAACAATAAATTTTAATGAATATGGATTACTGGCCGCTTACATTTTGCAAATTATGACAATAATTCTTTCCTAAAATTCATTCTCTTCACACAAAAAAGCTTTACAAAATAAATCTTCAAGACGCACTTGCTTTAAGTGGATGAGAATGAAAAAGAGAGAGAAAAAAAACTCAAAGAACCATCCATCTAACAGAGTCGACCCAATATGATGGTCATAAATCTAATAAGCATCTAAAAAGCACGCAGCCTCCACGAGTCAACCAGCTTTACAAGCATACAATGGTTGGAGGTATTTAATATTTTGATAAATAAATTGCTTAATTTCTCAGCTATATCATAATATCACTGCAGTAAATCCGCTAAAGCCATTTTCACATGATTTACAAAAACAAGTAAGCCAGAATGGGAACAGCAATGAATGGCTTCACATTTATCACTTTTTCATCAACTTTATTAAGATTTTTTTTTCCTTCCTTAAATTATTTCTAGCATGTAACTCAATGATTGGCATTCTCCATTCTTGTTCAGTAAAGTAAATAACGCATTTAACTTATTGAGTTATTAATAAAAGACTCGATTATTGTGCACATAGATATGAAAAATAGAAAGAAAATAAGAATTATTTAATTTAGATAGAAAGCAATATTACAATCCGGCATTATGTTTTTCATACTGAAGCACTCGAAGAATAACAGAAAGAAATGAAAACTGGGGGAATTTCAGCTTTGAAATCGTCGAGATTTGTAAATTATACTTCCTTACGTAGAAGACAGTCGTTTCTTTTATGATGATCCATTGCTATGTTCGTTATTGCCTTTGAAGCTTTGGATGCATACCTTGTACAAATTTATAAGTGCAACTGTTTGTTAAGCGTCCTTTTAGAAAGATTTCTTCTTCTCTGCTGCTTACATGAAAATATAAATATGCTTTCTTATTCAAGCTTCAATGTTCAAGTAGTTGTGGTACTGAAAAATGGTTTTGCTCTTGGATTTCCAACTGTTTCGGTAAAGAGCTCTCAAATTGAAGACTTTGATGGGAATCATCAAACATATGCGTAGTTAAAGAATCTATAAGTTACAGTAACTCGATAAGAAAATATTATCTAATTAACTTACTTATGTTGGAAAATACTTGAAGCTTTCGATCAAAAAAATCTTAATGTCGTCTGTCTCATGACAAGTTTAGGACCGAAAGAAGAATAAGAAAAAGTTATTAATGGTGAAACAAATTAATGACAAAGAAATTTGATGAATTATGAATGTGCTGTCGCTATTGAGCGTGATACGAAAAATGATTCTCTTCGGAATTGAGAAGAAGATTATGATTGAATGGAAAAGCCAATTTAGCTTTTCTTATGAAAAAAAGAATGAATGAAAAAAGGAAAAGAAGTGAATTTGTGTAATGTGTATTAAGACATCATTGCGTTAATCCAAATAAATATATATGTTTAATACATTGAATTCAATATTTTGGATGAGAAATCATAAATGAACATCTCATAATCCAAAAACCACATAAAGATTTCCTGAATCTTATTTAGAAAATCTTCAGTCAGCAATACATTAATTTTTGGGTTTGAACATTTTGATTTCTATCGTTTTTCATTTTGAGAATAATCGTCAATTTTAGTCATGTACGTGTAATAAACTGAGACTGGCTATAAAAGAAATAGAGAAAGAAGGGAAAGTATTGATGCTGATTTATCCGATTCTGAAAGTTTGCTATAAAAGGGTTCCGAACCATAAAGCATTATGAAACATTTGAATGAAGACAATCATTCTCAGCAGATATGAAACAAGTTAATGAATAAGCTGATGAAAATTAGTTGCCATACTTCTTAACTTATTGATCTAACTAATTGTTCAATAATGGCAAATATTTAATAACTTCAAAAAGTAAAAAGCACTTAATTGAATATTTTTTTGAGATAAATCTGTAGTTACTTATACACTTTTATACATACGCATGACATTCTCTAATTTATGTTATATTGAAAGTTTTTCTCGTTGTTGTGGAAAAAGAAACCAAGTAGAAATCTCAATTAAGTACATATGTAATTGAAAAAGTTTATAGATTTCTTTTGCTTTGTTTTTTATTTTCTTGCTTTTTTTTATTACTTTCTCTTCGAGAAAAGTTTTTGTCTTTAATATTTGTTTAGTAATGAGAAAATAAGAATTATTTTCTTGATCTTGCTTTTTCCTTCGTTCATAGATAAAATATTGCTAAAGTGGTCTCTAATTTATTTTCAGTAAAATAATGTAAACCTAATTAAGATCAAATTTTCTTAAATTCCTGAATTTTTTTTCGCTCTCTCCTATTAAATATTTTGACAACAATTCTTCTCATGTTTAGCTAGATAGAAATATTTTGTAACTTTAATCTATTCTTCCAAATATTTAAAATATAAAAATTCAGATACTTTTTTGCAAAATAAAACTGAACCAAAGAAAGTGACAGTTTTTAGATTCTTCTGTTCTGGTAAACGAAATTTGTTGTATATTAAAATTGTATCATTCGAATACAGAATATGACTTCGGGGTTTAAAAAGCAATACAAACAATCAGAAAAACAAATTATTCTGATGAGACAATTTTGAACTGAAATAATATACGAATGTAGCATAGTGAAGTCGTTGTTTTAGGCATTTTTTGTTGAAATGATGAATCTAGATTATAGTAACCTAATATGAGAAAGATTCTGGAATGTCTTGCGCGAGACTGATCAGCTGGGGGCTTTGAATGGACAAGGAAAAAATCTTTCTTCCATGAAAAACCTCAACGAAATGCTTTTTCTTTCTTCTATCTAACCGCAATATCTATCTTAACAACAAAACCGGAAATTAATTTTTTATCTGTCTGTGAAACAATCCAAAAGGGAGGAAGAGTTTTAACTTCTTTACTCTATAAATATAACTTCTTTATACTTGTAGCAATAAATATCTATCAAGTATTTCGTCCACCACAAACTAAAAATAATGAAGGAAACTTTGTTAGATTCCAATAAGAAAGGAAGTAAGGAAACGAGCTTTAAAGCTTAAATAAAGTACACAAAAAGGAAAATCACTTATTAGAATAATTTTGTGATCTAGCAAATGTATTTATAAAGAATGGCCTTAACAAGCATCTATATATATATATATAGAAATAAGTAGATACATCGATAATTCCATTGTGCGAAGGGAAATTGATGTTTCTTTCTAAAACAATTTATTAAGCCGACATTGATAGTAAGTCCTTCAACAAGAAAGAATAACATTAAAGACCAACGATTTATAGAAATCAAGTAAACTTATGAATCGGACCGTCAGTGACGAAAACTCAAAAATTGTGAAGTCAACAAAGAAGAAATATATAAAATTGATTCGTCATTCGTTAAAAGTTTCAAAGAAATGATAGAGAAAAGCAATCATGTTTAACGATTGAATGTTGATTGAATAGAATTTTCCAATCATTAATCAGAAAACCACAACATAGTAGCATAAATATTCAGACTATAAACTATTTAGGTCAAGAAATCGAATTGTTGTTTGCAAGATTAACAATTCATGGTCTTTCCTAGCTAATAGAGTGTTGTTAGTACTTATAAACAGGACCTTGACCTGTCTGTTCGAATTGTCTTCTCTTGAGTGACTCGATATTTGACTTACAAATGAGATGA